CACTAGTATCCACAGAATCCGCCAGAATCTACTAGGATCCATAGAATCCGCCAGAATCCATGAGGAGCCGCGAGAATCCAAGGAGCCAGGAGCCGCTTTTTCCCCCTTGGTTCAAAGTTTATTATTAGCAATTTCATTTTTAGATATGAATTTTTAAATAGAGTCAAGAAAAGAAAACTGGTGATTTGCTTACTATTCGTACTCATTGTTCAGGTACTGTTAGTAACCAGAAGTAGAGTTGTTCATAGAATCCTACCGACGTAAACCATAGAAATAATACAGCAACGAAAATCAATTTATTTCTATGCATACGACCCTTAGTATATCCAATTAGACATATATCACTTTCATCAATTGGAAGTAGAGGTGTAAGCCGACGAGCTCAACAGCGGCGGCGGCTAAACTTAAAATTCTAGTAGTTTTTCAAGAAAAAAATTCTTTCTGTTTTTTTCTTTTTTCATGTGAAGCATAAAAATTCTCTTTTTTATCCATTTGAGAACAATACCTATGATTGTGGAGAACTCCTACGGATGAAAACAATCGAAAAGTTGTTCGATGTATATGCTTCAACGGCGGCGGCGACTCCCATTATTAAAAATTTTCGCTCATTACGGCGGCGCGGCGGCTGAACTCATTTTCTTACGGCGGCGACGGCTGAAGAATTCTGAAAACTAGGCACGATTTTGCGGCGGCGGCTCAGTCGTACGGCTTACACCTCTAATTGGAAGGTCATAAAATGGAAGTGACCATCAAGAACAAAATTAAACTCAAAATGAGCCCAGAGCATTGAGTGGAAGAAAAATAAAATAAAGTAATCTAGTCAGTAAAAATTTTGTTGTAACGATAATTAATATCGGAAATGAATTACGCATATATTTTTTAACCAAAACCCAGAGAGAAAAAAATAGATAATTATTCATTGGTTTGAAACCGGTACTTTCAAAAGAGCCTATACTCTAGAAATTCTACTTTGATGAATTTTAAAAAAGATATTGAAAGTCGTATGAACTGAAGAGTATGAAAAACAATATCTTATACGTCGTCTCAAGTAGAGATATAAGCCGTCAGTTGGGAAATACGTTGGCTCTAGCAAAAATCGGCTGATGGTTTACAGCTCTAGTCTCAGGAATACCTGCATGTTAAAATACTTATTTGTAAGTATTATTATCAGCGAAACAAAACTAATAATATTTCATCGTCTCACAAACAGAGATGAACAAGTACACTGATGTATGTTACGTATTTAACAGTTTCCGATTAAATTCATTGATATCTCTAACGATATGAAAGCTTGTTTATTTGATTACGGACATGAAATGAGCTTCTTTCATAGAGTGTTTATGAATAATTGAATTAATAAGAACTTAGAAACGTTTGAAATTGATATGAAATATAAAATTATTGAAATATTTGTTTTCGAGAGCACTTTGAAAATGATAACCTTGAAAATTTCATAATTTGTACACTATTTATACAAATATTCTCAGCTGGTTTCAAGGAGTAAATCATATTTCTATAAGTGTCAGATCGCATATTTACTGAAGTGCTTTCTTATATTATCATAAAATGTCCAATCGAAGGTATTTTTATATTCAAATATATTCCGCATTTTACATTTCAAAATTACTTTTGATTTTGAATACGTCTCGATGAATTTTTGAATTCTATTCATTTATTTATTCAAGACTATCATAAAGTAAATTTTAACATAACAATAAATCACATGCGTGACAATAGTTTAGATATAAACAAGACTGGCTATTCAATTACAAATCAATCTTTTCCGTATCACTTTTTGATTTTGCATTCGTTGTTTCTTCATTTGTAGGTGTATATACTTCTCGAAGACAAGATGAATCTCGATTTTTCAATACTCGATCTTCGCAAAGATATTTTTCGAGTGGAATTTCATTTCGTACTTGTTTGTCAAAATACCATTGTTCAATATTTTCTTCTTGTTCTTCAACCATTTCTTCACACTAGACACAAAAATGAACATTAAACAATCAAACTAAACAAAATTATACAGATAATTTGACGAACATATTTTTTTAGTTGAGTTATTTCGGCTGAAGGAGCATCCCACATTGTATCGGGAACATCTAAAACGACTTTCACGCCTTTGTTCCTACAAAACAAAATACCTATCAACAAAAACAAAGAAACAAAAATCAAGTTTACCGTAAATTCCATAGAGTTTCCATTGTTTGTGATCGACCACGAGCATAACGCAATGAGCCAGGACGTTCGGCATGAACATTGTACTTAAGAAATCGGTCGCAAACATTTTCCAGTGTTTCAATTAAACGTGTTTCTCTAAAAACTCGAAAGAACAATTAAAGAAGAAAAAACAAAACTATCTATAGGATACATACGATTCACTATATTTAGTTCTTTTCGGTTGTTTATTATCAAGTGAATAGCTAGTTTCAATAACACTTGGACTATTATGTGCTTGGAAATTTTCAGTTAATTCTTGAGCAAGTAACTTGCAAACTAAATAAAACAAGAAAATGATATTATATATTACAGTGAGGTAAAAAAAAAGATCTCTATTTCTGTCGTTTTTTCGAGAGGGAGAGAAACAAATGCTTATTATATAACTGATTCAATTCGGATTTAATCGATATTTTCAAGATACCTTCACATTTAGTCGGTAATCGACTAGGATCATCAGCAAAATTTATTGACAATAAACATAAATTAACAAATAAAAAATATAAAAACATTTATTTTATCTAAAATCAAAAGATAAGTCATTCATATTAGTATAATATAGATTTGAAAAGGAAGTTTAAATCAAATGCAATCAGTCCTGCAAAAGAAGCTTATAAAAATTACAATGAAATCATGTCTGCTCTAATTTTTAATAGACTTTAGAATGTTCGATCGGTTTCGTATATTGATATGCCCACCATATAAAAACAAATTGAAATGGAAGGCGAGCCAATAATAAGTACTTTTGTGGATGATTCTGTGACCAATAATTCTGTGCCATTTGAATATTAGCCGGATCTTTAAAAAAAGGCATTTATTGGTATCAACAAGAGCGTTTTCCTTAAATCAACTTACAAATAGCAATAAGTAATGCAATAGTAAGCCAAGCACCGAATACTCGCGTACGTTTCAAGTATAACATTAAACCACAAATAATTTCAGCAACACCTGATAAATAAACGAGTTCGAGATGATACGGCAGGTAGGTTGGCATAATTGCAAGATAAAATTCTGGTGTTACAAAATGAAAAATACCAGCAATGATGTATAAAGTAGCCATTACATACATCAAAAATAAACGAAGTAATGGTGGCATATCGATAGTTTTCAAATAATCTACAAGAATAATTTTTGAATAAATACAAAAAAAACCTTAAATTTTTAGAAGACTTTCATATAAGTTTTTTGAAGTAAAACAATAATTTTAAGATATAATACCAGTAAAAATTGTGTCGAAGAAACTATTTTCTTAGCCCAACGTTTAAGATGTGCTGTAAATGAGAAAAAAACCATTGAATTTTCGCCTAGTTTTTGTTAAATTTATCTATATTCAGAAACACTTTTGAGCCTAAGATGTAAAGAACAATTATTTGGCTAATAAGTAAATTATAAGAACCGTACTTAGCTACTTAACTCACATCTAATCCAAAAAAGTCTCCAAATAGATCAAGGTATTATATCAGTAGAGTCTATAAAAAACGATTTTCAAATACTTTCATCTAAATCACATTTGATATCTGTGTTTGATTGTGTCATTTCGATATTGTCCTATAAAATATTCAACTCACTAGTCTAAATATGAGTGGTTTTTTGTTAGTAAAAAATAACATCATATTTCCTCTTTCACAAACTAAATAAGATATTTCATGCTGGCAAATATTTGATAGTCACGTCAGTGCTTCTAAATAGATAACCGAAATTATGAAAGAAATGCACAATAAAATCTCTATTCTTCATGATAATATCAATCAATGTTTCCATTAATAAGCTCAATAAAAATCCTCTTAAAAGCTTCGTCGAATCAACTAAGCAAATAAATTATTTAAAATTTTAATTCCTTATTTTAATCGATGAACAGTTAACAAGAATCGTAAGCATCAAATATAAATATTCTTATTCAGATTTAGCGAAACAATTATTAGCGATTGTTTATTACAAATAGTCTTATAAGCACAGCTCTCATCAGACTAGATAAGTTGCCACGTTGTTCAGAATACGTAGAATTCAAGAGAAAAAAGAAATTTGCCTAATAATTCCTATCATGAATCATTGCGCTGTTAGTTTTCATACACGCGCTGCAAAACAATTCGAACATCTATTATCTTATCAAATCAAGAATAATTGTATTAAGTTATATTGAATAGATCTCACCTATGTTTTACTGAATCTAATCGTTTAAATACAAAGAGAAATCAGTCCACAATGAACGGACTGCTGAACTGTTATATTTGTACATCTTTGAACTAAGACATTGAATCTTAGAAATCTATGGGTTTGTATCGTCTTTGATTGATTCTATTCTTACAATGCTTTATGTATTCTAGCAATCAGATGAAACTTCAAAAGACTATATTTACAAAGCAGAATCGAATAGATCTGATACAAGCAATCTCGTTTCTTTGCAAAATTACCTTATTATTTACTTTTGTTTGGTCTAAATTAAAAAATTGTCTTGAATAAAAAAGACAGTAAAATAATTTTTTTTAATCAAACATACCACTGTTTTCTTTCCAAACGTCTCTTATCTACATGATTTTCCCATTTTTATTAGCGAAGTTCATTTTGCATGTCATAATACTTCTCGATTGATCTTCGTTTCATTGTTTCTTAATTTTTCAAGAAAATCATTTCAATGCAAACTTTTCTTTTTAATATATGTTTATCTAAATAATATTATTATTGTTTTAGTTTTAGTTTTTAATGTAGATCATATATTAACAGCAATAGAAGAGAAAAAAATCACAAAAGATTTATTGTCACACACAAATAGATAACAGAGTTTCTATCTACTTTTTTTTCTAATGTAATGCATATTTGTCAATTTCTTGTATTTCAAATTTAATAATTGATTTAAGTAAAAAATCACTTATTACATATTTTATATTTGGAACAGCGGTATGAAGATATTTTTCTTTGATTTTGTTTAAATTTTTTTCATTGGTATCACATAAAACGATTAATGTATCAATAGGGCTATCAGTGTTGTATAATTTAGCACCGGTTAATTCAATTAATTCGATGATTTCGTTACGATTAATCGAACCTTGACATTGACGACATTCGATTGTAAATCCGTATGTTGTTTTCGATGATGGGTCGTTGAATAAGTATTTATTTTTTGATTGAAAATCTTGCACTGATAAACGCAATGTTGTATGAGAATCGCTTGCAATTTCAAATGGACGTTCATCGACAAATGCGTTCAAACGTATACATTCGTTTATCCAACGTGATGATACCATAAATATATGACGACGTGCCGCTGCTTGAACAATTTTTTTAGTTATTGTACAGTGTAAATTTTTTTCACTATCATCAATAAGTAAATGTGTCGTTGAATTATTAACATTTAGATTGGTTGCTAGACCAACTTGAGGAAATTGACGAAGAAATGTTACAACATTAGCCTAGAGAAATGAACTCGAAATTTGATACTTTTTTCGAGAAAGTATATTTACCCATTGATGAGCAAGAAGACTGGTTGTAGAAATAACGATCTGCATAGAAAAATAATTGATACAAAAGGAAAAAAAAATTCATTTTTACTTTATCAGCTGAAATGAGTGAAAGATTCGATGGTTTAAGTAATGGTATGAGGGCTTCATATCTGCGCTTTTTTATAATAGATTCAGGCGGATTATCAGTATTACTGTGCTAGAAAGAAAAAAGAATATTATATCAGAGATGAATTTTTTTTCTTATAGTCTATATCATAGTAAAATCAATAGTTTTCTGAATTTCTATAAAAAGTCGGATTTTTTTGTCTTTGAAATTTAACAGTTTTCTATGTTCAAAATAATATAGTAAATAATGTCTGATCGATTAAATCCGAGCTGGAGTATAAAATATTGGCTGGCCGTGCTCTTTAGATATTATTCTTCACTGGATAAGCTGATCTCCTCGTTTAATGTGTCAAATCACATAAACGCGATAAGAGATATCATAGAACTAGTTTTTTCATGAATTTTAAAAGAGAAACAAATTGCTTTTCTAGCTATTAAGTTAGCTATGGGATTTTTTCGTAATCCTCCATTATTGACCGGTAGTATTTAATAGAGTACTATTGAATACTATGTGATATTGAACATTAACTAAATTTTCTTCTATCCTTTTTTTCGATTTCATGTAGATTTACGAAGTCCGCATGCAACCATTCAACATAAATGCTCTGAGATGCTTATTGTCTCTCGCTGTAGAAATAGGTTCGTTAATTTTGATGAAGAAAGAAACCTGTTGATCATCAACTTACATTTACGTCTATTTCTTGAACATCTTTGGCTTCTATAAAAACGAAAAAAAGAGTAAGATTGTACTAAAATCATAATACCACGAAGTAAAAAGCTGCAATACTTTGTTTAGAATGAACAGTATCACTTTTAGGAATCAATCTTTCTTCGTGTTCCAATTCTTTCGTTAAAGTATTAGGGTCATGCCTATAATGATCATTAAAAATAATTTATTATAAAAAAAACTCAAGTACCGTGTACAAAAGATTTGTGCTTTTCGCGGTACTTGTCTAGTACATGATGGTTGTCCACAAAGAAAACGTATTTTTCCTGATCCATCGCGATACGACCGGTTTGTTAGTGGAAGCTTTTGAGTCTGATTATTTTTTAAAAAATGCATTAAAAACAAGACATAAATTGTTACTGGTATTTTACTTTTTCTGGCGATTCATATTCGTCTGAATGATTTCCATTAATATCTTTATGATTTATTGGTGCTGTAATCTTTGGTGGCAATGGCGAAAGAAAATCACCCGTTTTTTCAAGTGACAATGGAGGAGCTGTGTGACGTTTTTGATTTCCGCGATTGTTTTTATCTTGATTTCCATTTACAGACTGGATTTCGTGTCTAAAATAAAACAAAATAAAATAAAGAATAATGGAAATGAGAATGAAAAAGAAGTGAGAAGTCAGAGAAATAATAATTGTTTGTTTCTCATTAAAAAAATTTGATTTAAAAAAAAAAGTAATTACGTTCGGCAGTAAATATCGGATTGCCGTTTGAGCATATTCGTGCATTCTTCTTTCTTGCAAAGGTACCGACGACGACCTGAGCTATCACGAAAACTACGTATACCAGTTTCTTCATCTACTTCAACATGACGATTTGCCTAAATAACCAAAGAAGTCAAATTTAAAATGTAAACAAATAAACTAACCTTTGTTCTTTGTCTAGATGAAAGCGATGAGACATTATTAAAATCGTTACTACCGTCATTGTAATCATAATCCATGGCAGAATCTAAACATAAAAAACATTTCATGCTAAAAAGATTGATCATATACATTTATATATGATTTTCATATGATAAAATTCACTTTATCATTAGAATCAAAAGTCACTCAGTAACGAAATATTATTATTCTTAATGTTGCTATGTATAGAATAGTTTTCAGCAAGTATCTGACAACTAAATTAAGAAATGCTAACGTTTCTTTTTTTCTATTGAAATTCTGTTTTCCAGAAATATTCCAAAAGATTTGAACCAATTTTACAGTTTTTAGTGCAATATTACATTATGTATACTGAGTTTCAAGAAACCAGAATCCTTCTTAGATCTAGAAATGAACAATTGATTAGGTACGTGGAATCGATTTTTCTGCAGCATAAATCAGTTTTCATATTGTATGACCTATATATGTACGTATGTAGGACATTTGTGTTATTAGAAAAATCAGTTCACTACTAAAAATAGTGATAGAGTAGTACTAGTACTTGTACTGCATCAGCCTTCTTGAAGAGAAATATCTGTATGTAATTGAATTTTGGAACTGCCCATCGGTTCTACTCTGACGGGCAGAGATAGATTTGATAACTATGGCATACTATTCCAATGCGCTGAACTAAAAATATTTGTCTTGGAACAATGAAAGCATACCATCTTTTTTTACAACGGTAGTAACTTTTTGTCTCAATCCCTAATTATGCAAGTATGTGATGGATAACTATGATAGAACTATTCCATATTGTTTCCTGATATTACTTTTATGATCTCAGTGTTACTATGCTAGGTTTTTTGTTGATCAAACAATATATATATATATATATATATACGGTTTCATATAACAAACATCACAAAAGAAATTCTTATATACCATTAGTTCCATTTTCATTTTGTTCATGACCATTAGTCGAATCCAAAGTATTGTCTTCTTCTGCCTTTAAAATTTTCCAAAAGAAAAATTACATACACAAACGTTAAATATATGCTTACTTCTATCAATACTTCTTCATCGACTATTTCACTATTATCATTGAGTTCCTCTTCATCTACTAAAGCAGGAAAAAACGATATAAGCGTCTAATAATTTAATGTTATATACCAAAATCTAATTTCGTTGAAATATTAGCAATATCTTCTATTTCTGAACTTTTTCCTTGCGAATGTCTAAACATCATAAAGTAATTCACTTTTTATTTTATTTTTCTTGTTAACTTACATTCGACAGAAAAAATCAGCTACATGAGTTAATTGTATATCACAATCTGGCTTTGAACACACGTAATATCGTCGAGCACTTGGCCGATTAGACGATCGAACCAAAAAATATCGTCTACCTGTCGTTTTTGAAGTAATTATTGTACGTTTAATAGATGGCTTCATCTAAAATATAAATATTGTCAAACAATTTCATATATTTTTTTCTTTCATTCTTTTCGTTTGCTTGCTTCAACAATTCATTCAAAGCCGACAAGCTGTGCCATTTTCCACTCAACTGCATACGTTTTCAGAGAGCTACATAATAGAATCAAAAACTAAGAAGTTAACTGAAGTAATGAATTGTTCGACAACAGTAGATGTAGAAAATCGTCAATTTCTAATCGGAAACTTTGGTGCATCAGTATTTATAACAACATATATTGGAATCTATGGGATGGGAATTATGGTTTATTTTGCATGGCAATTTATGAGTGATTCTCGAGAAAGCCATGAAAATGAAATTCCTGGTGAATTTTTTCCAACTTTGAATCATATTAATGAACGACAAGGCGTCTATAGTATGAATTAGAAAATTTAAAAAAAATGAAATCTTAAACATGAAACTTCTTTTATTTTCAGATCAATTAAGTAATGAAAATTGGGTTAGAGAAATATATAAAATTTATTATGCAGATCAACCCAATAATTCAGCATTGATTGAAGAGAAAACCAATGAATGTTACAAAAAATATAGTACAAAAATGCAAAATCTCAAATCACGACATGCATATTATATTATAGAAACTCAAAAACCACCAGCACTGACGACCATTTCAAGTAGTCAATAATGCGCATGTATTCTTTTTTTTGAACTTTTAATAGAATGCAAATATATTTTTTCCTTTTTACATTCAATATAAAATACCGGAGAAGTGAACATTAAATTGAAAAAAACAATAGAATAGAAGTTATCTTATTATTCATTAAGAGACAGTGTATACACACTCATCGGTGAGCTATTATCTTTTAGATTACTTCGGAACAAAGCGATGTGATTTCATATGAATAAAGCAATAGTTGAAAAAAAAGAACCTTACTATTGCAAGTGTCTAATCTACATACATACCTGTGTATAAATATACGATACGACTGCACATCTTCATGTGGGTCAAGGTAAAGGTAATGCGCAGAAAAAGATATATATGAATCATCTTGTGTTCTTTTGTTTCTGTCGCATACGTACAATAGTGTGTCGGTGAATAGGAACTGCTTAAGACGTCCGAAGATTTCGAGAGAAGAAAACCTAACGTAAAATCTCTCGCATCTATTAAAGCAAGATATTATCTTAATGATAAAACTTCATTCAATCGTATCATAGATAATAATCAATTATCATGACGACAAGAGATGAATCATAATAAAAGAAATATTTCTTTGAAAATAAATTTAATACTATTACGGCAATAATCTATAAATTTATCATTTAAACATCTCAACGTATCTCAATTTTTTCGGGTCAACAGTTTCTAAACGTACATTTCTTTCCTGTCATTTAATTACAACATAAACGTACATCAACACGCACATAGGTATTCAACTAAACAAAAACCAATCAAATCAAATTTTGATTTGCTTCTGTTCTTTTTAATTATTGACCAATTATGAATGCAGCTAAAGTACAAAATTTCATTTCAATTTATTTATTGTTATAGCTTAGAGAGAAAATATTAAAAATTTGAAAGTACTAAGTCATGGAATCACGAGTAGATTTCGTAGTTTATATTTTGAAAACGCCATCTATCGTTTAACTATTTCACATAAAAATCGACAAATTTAATCGAAGTCCTTTGCTTATGTGCAGTAAATCCTAACAAATATCTATGGAAACTACATTTAAACAATTTTCATAGAATTCAATACCAAAACTATCAAACATATTTGGTTGTGTTTCTTTTTATTTGAAATTCCGAAACAATACAATAGCACTTTATACAGTAAAACACATGAATGGGCAAATGTAGTATTTGTCGTGAGAGCCATCGAGTATAAAAGAAAAAACAATAAACTGAAAGAATATTTTAGAACTGAAATTGTGCATTATTTCCATTATTATTATCGGGCACAGCTTGATTAGAATTCATTATTCCAAAGGAAAATTCGTTAGTAGGATTTGGCGTTGTTGGTGCTTGATTCATTGTTGAAATGCTGTCATCATCCTGCAGTAAATAAAATATTCATTGTATTTTTCTGTTTCTTCTACTCGATTCTACTTACGGTTTCATGTGAAAAGAACTTTTCTATTATTTCATATGATTGTTGATATATATCTTTATTTGTATGATTTTGCAAGTGTTCAATTTTATCCAGACCTAATTTTATTATTAATCAACAAAATAACTGTAGACTAGAATTTTTTCTTCTGACATACCTCCACATTCTTCTATCTCTGTAGTAAGAGCTTCAAGGTTTGATATTGTTGTTTGTTTAAGTATATTATGAAGAGCATCAAGACATACTTGTATTATTTGTGCATCCTGTTGTTGTAATAAATTACTAGAAAGCAGTCGATATTAGTATTAGAAACATGATTTTGTTTTTTCAAAATACCATAGAGGAGGTATAACATATTGTGTAACGATATACTCAATTTGTTGGGCTGAACCACTCATAGTTAAATTTGATATACACCAAGCTGCTTCTTTTTGTGTTTGAAAATCACCCTATTAAATATAATCGACTTCATTTAAAAAAAAGTAACAACAAATAATGTCTCTATACGAACGTATTGTAAATGACGAATAACATCGGGGATTAATTGCGCATCTATTACGGCTTGAACTTGTTGTTGATTACCAGCTGTTATATTTGATAAAAACCAAACAGCTTCCTTTAAATGAAAATTATAGATTAGTATTTAATTGATAAATATATTTATGAAATCTTCATTTTACTCGAACTATTATTATCAAATAATTTCAACATGATATCTACTAAATGAAGGTTAAAGAGTACCGTAGCAACTCAAACTGAGAGTAATCGTGAGCTATATGATTACTTTTAACGACAAGTTTCTGTATTTTATTCAAAAATTAATCGATAAAATAAAATAAACATAGTGAATGTAAAATCATTATCGCTCAGATGTTCGCTCTTTTTTTTATGACGAAATACAATTATCTAATGTATCTATAACCAGATGAATTGCTTGTTGATAGCTTCAGTTTTTTTTCCTGTTCTTGCTATTGTGCTTCTCTCATCTATATCAGCTTGTATTCTCTGGGAAATAGATGCAAGTAGGCATTTGCAACCGCTTGACATATAACATTATTGCAAAAGATACTATCGTTCCTGTAACAATCCCTCATCAATCTATATGAGTATAAATATAATAAAAAGTCAGCTGGACCTTTAAAAAAAAATATCATGTGTCATTAAGGAAAAACCTTGATCTATTAACATCATTCTATGAGTAGCTGTGGATCGATTTAGGACATGGAAGATTATCCAATGGCAAGATAATAGATTTGATTTGAGTGTGTGCTTAAATCAAACGAGTTTGTAGATAGTATCTTTCTTTGCCATCAACAAAAAAGAAATAACAAAGAATGCATGAGAGAACACACTAATGTCTATCGATGATAACGTTATTATGAGTTGTACTTTTAAGATTCTTCTTCACTAGCAAATTGTTTTCACATCAACAAGAAAAAATGAGTCATTTTAATTCTTACTTTGTTGAGTTTATCTTTTTGATGTTTGAGTAATTTGGGAAAATAAGCAAGAGCTCCATGATTAAGAACAAGTTGTGTTTGTTCATCAGTACCCGTGACAACATTGCCAATTGCTCTTAATGCTAAAGTTATACAAGTAAAATTTAAATGAAAAAAAAATGAAAACAGAAGTCTATACCAGCTGTAACAATCTTTAATTCATTATGATTTAATAATTTAATAATATGTGGTATTACACCAGAATCGATAATAATCTTTAAAACAGTATCTTATAATAATTATTATTTGTTTAAAAAATATTTACTTGAATCATATTGTTTCCACAATCGAGTAGATAAGCTAATGCCCATGTACAATCGACAAGAATCTATTAGAAAAAAAAAGATATATTTTTCCTTGAAAGTAAAATATTTTATAAACATACTGTTATGTCAGTATATGCTATTAAATAATGTAAAGCTGGTAGAATATCTCCAACGGCAAGTAAAGATATCGGTGGTTCTTTATGACGACAAAGATTAACAAGAACCCATGTTACATTTCGAAGAAACGTAACAGGAATGTCTTTTTGAATAAATTCAACTAATGGTTTTATAACACCCAATTCGATTGCATAATCACGTAATCTTGGACCATCACCTAAATATACATTTTTGCATTGAGAAAAATGATGAGAATAAGATTTTACCGATTAGATTTCCCAAAGCCCAAACAGCTTGTTCACAAACATTTGCATGTGGTGAATGTAGAAGACGTAATAAATACGGTAAAGCATTTGCATCAGCAACAGCTTGCGTTTGCTGGGAATTACCTGATGCAATATTTGTTAATGCCCAAGCTGCTTCAAATTGTAAATCCGAACATTGATCATATGTTAAATATTCAACGAATATTGGTAAAAAATTATATTGTATTAATTGATCTATTGGCGGATTACGATCAATAGATAAAAGTTTTCGTGCTGAACGAACAGCGTCAAAACGTATTGTTGGATCTTCACTTTTAGCTTTTATAACAAGATCATCAAGGTTATAAAATCGATTTTGTTCTCGATCATCCTCTGATTTGTCGGACATACTATCATCAGCTTGAAAATTACGTTTCGCTTGAATTTGTTCATCACGTTTAATCTGGAAAATTTAAAAAAAACGTTTTTTTTTTAAATACTGAATTCAAATCATTACTTTTCGAATTGAAACAGTATTTTGATTTCGCCAACGTCGACGTTCATCGGGATCTTTTCCATGATATTTGTAAGAGTTTAAACGAGGATGCGTTTTTTTTGATGTAGATGAATCCATTCTGATCTAGAAACACGTTATTATGTTATAAGGGCTGCTATTCGATAAAAGAAAATCTCTATTAATTAATCTATGCATTTGGATAGGTTTAGTCTCAAGTCTTTATTTTCCAAATGATCTACGAATCAGATTCGGAAAAATGTTGTTTCAGTGAATATGAATCATCAGAGAAATATAAATTTTGATAGATGCTGATTAGTTAAATAAAAAAAACAATATGAAAATATGTTTATGTTTTTATTTAAATATAGATGGCGATAGAGTCTGGAAAAGTATATTATATGATTATGCTGTAGAAAACATGTGTATTCAATGAGTCATGACATTAATGTTGTACTCAATCAATTGATGTTTGGAACATATTTCAGTAATCCGATCTCTAGATAGTCTCTTACTGTTTTTTAATAAAAATCAATTATGATCAAGACGAAGTGAAAACCTTGATATCACGTGAAACTATTGACGAGAACATGTACTGATTACTTAAACGATGGGCAAACATTGGGTCGATGTCAATCTACGATTCTCTACCAAAGAAGCCTATGACCTTCTATGACAAAACTCGTATCGTTCTTCGAATAGCTGTCTTGTAGTAAGGTCTCTTTTTTGCTAATATTGACCATGAAATTTAAGGGTTTTCAATGAGTATTATCAAAAATCAAATGCTAAAAGAAAACAAAGTTTTTCATTTCTAGAAAAAAGACGATCATTGAAATGTTTAAACTAAAAATTTTTAATACAAGATTAAAATATCGAATTCAATATAAAAAATGAATACCTTTAGCGTAACTTTTATTTTTATAAAAACAATACTTTCACCTTCATATAGTTTAAAAGAGAAATAAATTCTCTAATGATTTCTTTTGAATTATTTTCAAAATGAAATTCCCTATTTGACTCTTCATACGAGAAACACTCACATACGGCTATTATCGGATGTTTCATTAAGAAATACAGCTCCTTCAAACTTAAGTGCGTCTTATAACAAATTGACACAAACTGTGCTATTTGCCTTTAACTTGTGAAGTAGAAAGCACAAAATATCTGTACTTAATCATGCATCAAATAATAACATGTCGATTTTCAGATGAACGATACAAAAAAATGCTACAGTTTAACTTTTAAATTAGAAAAACCCTTGCTTTTCCTTATTTTTAACTTGTATCAGATACGTTTAAATCAGATGCATAAATTTATTCTTTCTTCCCATTCAAGCAGAATTTCTAAATTTCAGACAATTAATAAAATAAAATGCATAATAACACTTGACGTTTTGATTTTTGTTAATAGAATAGTGAAATTTCAAGTGAGAAACTAAAATTATTCTATTCATCTATAATAATAATAATAATAGATACGACATTTGGATCCATTGTTACTTGTACTTTTGGTATAGCAAACATAGATTATGCATAGAATGTGTGCATAATCAATCAACATGACTGTCAATAGTTTAATCGTTAACTATTAGATCAATATTCTTTCTTTTGATTTTTATGAAAAAGAGTTCGTTGATGATGAAATATTCAATAGAACGCTTGAACCAGCTTTCATTTATTACAATAATGTCAGTAAGTGGAAGTTAAAGACAAGTAATAAAAAGCAAGGACGAGATTCATTTTTCAAGTTTCAGTAGTAGGTAAAAATGATACATGCGATTATGATGGAGAGTATGACATAACATCAAGCAAATAAGCTTATGCTAATAGTACATTTGGATTTATGTTTTATTATGTATTGGCTATGATATTCGTTTTTTTGCAGTCGGATTAATCGTTTGAAGCTTATGTTATTTATATTTTATTTTTGTCTCTGATATGATAATGTGAAAGAACGGTCATAATATGCTAAACTATATTGAAGAGTCTAATAATGGGCTCGTTTGAGTACTAAGAATCAAAATAAAGATTCATAAAAAAAATATAAATATTGAATTTGTTTTCATCGAATTAGAATATCACTGAAAACCACTTCATCAGTATGAATAAATTTTATGTTTGGTTATAAACCTTTTAGTTTTTATACTAGTACACTCTTTCTCTTTTTCACGTAGTACATTCATTTCTTCTTAATTACATACGACATTTTAATACGCAGAAATTCTTATTGAAGCTTAAGTACTGGTGACATTCTTATTCAGAAACTATATTTTTTTCGAATCTTTTTTTATTATTGAGACACTTGAAGCGATGCATATGATCAAACAGTTTACACATGTCTATATCATTGGATTAGCGTCACACACATATATTGACAATCGACATGTATATCTATACATATGTATCTGCATCTATGCCAATAGATGCGACCAGCGCTCATGTAATATAACACTTTATCGTACATACGCAGGTACACTTGTCAAATAGAATGTAGGCGTGCAATGCTTATGTATATACGTATATAAAAATGTATTTTTTAAAATTTCGATACATTGTGTCAAGGTTATTCTGTACAATCATAATCCGATGTGAAAATGACATGCAAATGAGTCAAATTCTTTAATCTATCTTCATTTCTGTTCCCGGTTGTTCTCTTTTTCTAACATTACATAAGATTTTGAACAAAATACAACACACAGAAAAAAGATGGTGCTCATTCAATGGGTTGCGACAGATGTGATAATTGATGAAGATTTCCATCGTTATTATCATAAAAATGACTTTGAGAAATAAATAAATAGATTCTAGATTATATGAAAGAATAAAATTTGCATTAAGTTTTATCAAAAAGTTTCAATCACTAAATAAAATATTTCAATTTGAGAACATTATTTGATCAAAACTGATAAGAAAATATAATGTATCCTTGATATCCAACAATTATAAACCAAAACGCATGTGGCTACCAGTAGGGACGACATATGTTCTTAGTACATACTAATATAATGATTAGGATACTCTTTTCTATTCTCTTGGGCTGGCCTTGATCTTGAGCACATATATATAAATACGCCCAGGCGATTGTCATTATGGATAAGCAGGCGCGTGAAAGGTAGATCTGTGTACATTGAGTTGTAAAATAATACATACGTTTTTTGTTCGTTTTCAATGTATTATTTTAATGCATATGCATAAGAGGACTGTTTTTGTATGAAATAGAATGTAGATTTTATCCTGATCAAGAACATACTCAAGTATAAGTAAGAGGGGCGTACGGATATTATAATTTACTATTTTTACATATGAAAAATATGTATCGTACACTCATAAATTCGATGCACGACAAGGTCCAATACACTTCTTGATCTACTCTGGTGAAAAAAGTGTTTTTTATATTTGACAATTTCTTCTTTTTTTTTATTTCTTTTTTAACTGTCAAATGTGAAACAGAATGGGAAAGAAAAAAATATAGGAGATTCTCTTTTGCCCCTTGTTGTCTCGGCTTCTTTGACTGTGTCAAAAGAAGAGAAAAAGCTTTTTTTCGCCGGCATCATTACCTTCTTTTTTTCCTGGTTGCATTCATACTTTTATTATCATTAAAATTGCTAGATTCTCGGCATACATCAAATAAAAGAATACATTGAATCGATTGAAACTATACAACTGAAGTTGTGTCAAATATTGGAAACCTATAAAACCTCGACTTGGTTCAATTAACAACGGCAGCAAACGTTTCATTTCTCTCTTGTTTTCTATATGTAAATTAAGAAGAGGGAAAGAGAGAGAGAGAGAGAGAGAGAGAGCGAGAAGTAGAAGAAGTAAAAGAACACGAAGAAAGAAAAGGAGAGTATATATATATAAATAGGCAACAAGCCGTCTCATTCAGATATGTATACATCTACATATTCATCATCTTCACCTATTCGAACTTCAACGTTCGGAGTTGATTCGCCAAATTATCAAGATCAATCTTTAAATCAAAATAAATTAAATTCTTATCAAATAATGAATGATGGTAGTATCGCATCAAGACGTGTTAATACGGCTTATTCCAATTCTGCTGTACCTTCAACATCAATTTCAATACGTGCAGGATCACCAAACAAATATACAAGCGGTTATAATATTACATCGAATGATATAAATCCAAATAAATATCAATCAACATCGTATCGTTCATACACTGGTGGCAATGAACTATTGCGTTCAGATAATAGTACGACTGGAAATGGTCGATCACATTCCTACGATGATTTACTTAATGATCAAAATCAAATCTATCGATCAGAATCATCAGTTTATAATTCAACTACAAGAAATGGAACAAATACGACTAACAATCCATATGGACAGCAGCAGCAACAACAACAACAAAGAACTCCACGTGATGTTTATGATGAGGATTTGATAGTAAAATCAACTGATTTATCGGCGGCATATGAACAAGAAATGATTGAATTAGTACGTTCAGCTTTTCAAAAATATGATTTAAGTAGTCAACGTGAATTAGCAGGCTTTCTTAAACGATCAGCCGATAAAGCATTTGCGTCGTGTTGGCATTGCATCGTTGGAAGGCAATTCAGTTCATACGTGACACATGAAATGAATGGATTTATTTATTTAACAAAAGGTCCTCTATCGATTTTACTGTTTAAAAGTGGATCTTAAAAATTTTCTTTTTACTATAGTTCATTCACATCGTTTTGTACATATTGACTATTAGTATTTATTTTTTTCCTTTTGCTTCATTCGACCACAGACACTCGATAAAATAAACGTAAAAGAAAAAAAAACACATCGTATGCGCGCCATTTTTTTCTCGCTTGTCTATAGACATCGACAGAAAAAGCAAAATAAAAACGCACTCTGCCTTTAATCATCAAATTTTTTTAATCGCCCAAAAGAAAAACGCAAAAGAGCCTTGATAAAAATAAATAAATCAAAAAGTAACAATAGCTATTTCAAATCAAATAAATCGATTTAAAGAATTTTTTATTCTCATATAGAAAAAGAAGGAAAACGAAATATATATACAAATAAAATCGTACACTACATCAATGTCTCACTGGAAGAAAAACACATTTATATTTATTTACCAAAATGGACACCAACCAATATACGATCTAAAATAGATAACAATAGAAATCGTTCGTAATAGAACAAAAGTTGTAAACATACTGGCAAAGATTTTCATGGCTTGTTGCCTGTTTAATAAGTAATTCGACTTGTGTTGGTATATCAACAGGTTGATCTCGATGAAAATCGCTTCCAGTTAATTTTTCTCGCACCCGATTCATGATTTCTACAGCCCGTATGGTTCGGCCAGGCTGTGTAGCAAGATATTGAACATTTTGCTGTTGTTGTTGTTGTTGTGTTGTACCGCCAATTGTACTCTCATGTTCATTATCTTCTTCATTAACAGTTGATAAATGTGGTTGATAATGTGGTTGCTGTTGTTGTTGTTGACTTGTTTGTGGTGAACGATTGCTTATTGTTGATATTACAGTATTTTGTTCATTTGTATTATTTTCCAATAGACGCCAATTAAGTAATGGATCATGAACAAATGCTTCTAATACAGCCATAAGACTATCACGATTTTTTCTTAATACATCCATAACATGTTCACATGTCATACGAAACGTTCCATCAATACCAGTAACTTCCATTGCTTTTCGTAGCATACGTGTTAAACGGAATGGAATTTTTTCGGGAAATTTTTCTCTTGTCATTGCGACTTCAAAACAATCACCGAAATCTATATGAACAACTTTTCCACTTGCACGATCCAACATTAAATTCGATGGATGACGATCACCTAAACCTAATATATAACCAACCTAAACAATACAAGAAGATTTCAATAGAAAATATGAAACTTTCCGGTTTAATCGCTTTTTTCCTCCTATTATTTACCATAGACATCACTGCTAATGATCTTGTATAATTTGATCTTCTATCTAACCATATCTCTGCACTTGAACTTTTATGCCATAGAATTTTTGCTAAATCATCGCCGTCTAATAAGTTTAGTGCATATTCAAATACTTCAACTTTATTGATCAATGGTAATTGATCATAATGTGGAGCTTTTGCTTGCATATGACGATGTTCAGCATTGAGCATTATACACGCTTTTTCACGATGTTCTTTTATCAATGCATGAAATGTATCACATTGTGCAACCCAACCAAGTAAACCATTATTTGGTGCCAATGGTATGACGGGATAACGTTGAATAATAAAATTTCGACGCCGTGTTTCATCATTAGCCGATAGAAATTCATTAACTAAACCAAATAATTGCATAACACGTTCATCTTGCCGTAGGTCTTCGTGTCCTTTAAGTAAAAAGACGTATTCGTATCCGTCAGAGCCTGTTATACTAATTTTTCTTGGTCGTTGTTTTGATGTTATAACTGTTATATGTGATTGAACATTTCTTATTGTTATTGGTGGTTTATGTGGTTCGTAAGTACCTGGTACAGCTAATTCTAAATCACGGCAATGTGTGGCTAAACCTACAAGAATTAAAATACAAAAAAATAAGTAATTTCTTATTAGAATATTTTCTTACGCGGCGAAACATAATCCAATTCAAGAGATGTTATATTGGGCAATTGAGCATGAATACGTTTGAAAACTTGATGATACAAATCCCATGCTTGATGTAATTCCCGTTGATCTTTTGTTCGCTGATAACGACGAATACATTCATGAGCTTGAGTTAAATCGGTACTATATGAATCGAGAAATGTACGTTCATTTAGTGTCGTACTTCCACGCTCGATTGCTGCATGCAATGGTTCCAATGTTTCAATCATGCCTTTAAAAATAAAGTCATAGATTGAATTTTATGCAAAAATAAAAAATAAAATAGAATTTAGAAAGAATCATGATATGCCTTTGCAAATGACTGAATATCAGAGTGATCATATCGAACTTAGAAAGAGTTCAATTTTTGCTAGAAAATTAATTAGTTTCGATTTTTTGATCTCAAACTTATTATCAAAACTAAGAAATACATATCCTCACGTAGATCTGTTTTGTTTTCCATAGCTCAACAATAGCTTATTTCTTATTAAATATTTTTCTTTTAATACAGATGAAAATCAATGCGTACATACCTGCTATACTTCTATCACCAAAATATTGTCTCGATGCTTCTTCTAAACCTTCATGCCACTTTTCATGCCATAATATAGATATTCGAATTAATTCTTCACTAACAACTAAAGCTTGTTGTACAAGTGTGTGACTATGTTCTCGCATATTATTTAATACTCGATTGGCTGCAACTTCTCGTTCACGTACAACTGATTTTGATGCAACAACTAATGGATAGATTAATGCTTGAGGATGTTGTCGACCAACATCAATAAGTAAATGACGTATTAATTGATGAACTAATGGTCTCGGAGAATCAATACGTGCAATCAATTGTGGTAATACATGCAACCAAACTTCAACTGGTACTGTTTTGTTACCTTCAGTAATGGCATCATAAACTTCACGATATTGTCCATATTCAAACCATAGTGTTAGTAAACGAAGAGTATTTTGTAAACAATGTTTAGCTTTTGAAAGTACAATCGATTTAAATAAACCTTTTACAGCTGGTATTGTACAATGAATCATTTTTTGTGTTAACAATCGATAAGCCTCATTCGATGCATCCAGACTTTGTTGCTGTTGTTGTGGTGGCAATGGTGGCAACAGTGGTAGTGGTGGTGGTGGAATTTGTTGTTGTTGAGATGGCGGTGATTGTGGCTGTCGAGTGGGCGATATTGCAGCATCAACAGTAAGTGTTGATGGAGACGGTGGAGTTTGTTGTGGTTGACTACTACGCGATAATTCCTGGATACGTTGCTTAAAATAACTAACAGCATCATAATTAAGCACTGCATAGGCATTCCATGCTTTATAATTTGAATCATCATAGGTCCAAGCATGTTCATAATTTTTCATTATTTCAGATAATATAATATCATCTGCCATGCCGAACATTTCATGTTGCCATGAACCGATTCTTAAATAGCATTTGGATATTAATTGACGAAGACGTTGTTCACGCTGATTAACTACTTGTGATGATGTTGATAAACTAGTTGACGTCATTAGAGAAAATGCTGCAGAATTAATTGGTGGTGTAGCATTTGTAGTTGTTACAGAAAGTGCCTAATGAAAATGAAATTGAAAATTATGAATTTAGTCTAATTTTTTTCTTATAAATGATTATTTATCAAAACAAAACAAATGAAATCACTGTTTCTCTCGTGTAGTACATAGGTAATAAAATAAAGGCTGCTCAGAACACTCGCAATATGAACCTGCTATTCAGAATAAAAAAAATGCTCGTTTGGGAATAAATTTTACTGTAGAATAAATTAAAAGAATTCTTTTTTTTGTAAATTAAAATCTTACAGATAATTGTTGCATTGTATTAACATTTTGATTGGCTCCAGCTAGTGTAGCTCCCGCAGTAGCTGGTGTTGCGCCGCCACTAGTTGCTATCATTGCTTGTTGTTGTGCATTTCCAGTTGTTGTTGCCGCTTGTTTTCTTACATGATCCAATGCTGGTACACACGTTTTCAGAACCATTTCTTTCATGTCATCGATTAATCGTAATTGTTCCACACGATTTTGTTCTAGTTTAACATTTATACTTTCCGAGTTTGATGTTGATGATGATAAACTAGATGACGATAACGATGGCGTTAGTGTAGGCGTACTATGAACACCATCATATTGTGGACTATTTTCATTAGTTGAAACCGGTTTTCGATTTTGTCTTTCAAGTATAAGACGTTCACGTGTTGAAACTAAACAATGCCAATCATATTTAGCCTTTTCATATTTAACTAATTGTTGATCGATTAATGTTGGATGATAAAATGTTTGTTGAGATTGCAATGAAAATGCAGATGTTGTTGTTGCTTGAATACCAAAATGATGTGATGATTGAGTTTGAAATGCATTTGGACTAATGATCGATACATCACGATTCAGTGTTGTTTGATCATTTAAAACAGTATGTGTTAATTCTTTAAATATAAAATCAGCCATCGTTAAACGATTTGATTGACGACATAGATTAGCTAATTTTATCCACGATAGAAGATCTTGCGCCATGGGTAAACAAAGTGAATGTGTCAACAATAAACGATGATAATCATCAATGATTGGTTGATTGCCTTGCATTCGTTTTTGCCAAATTTCACATATTGATTGACGTCGTTCAGGTAAAATTTTATAGTACCATACTTCTTCTAATTCAGACAAAAGTTGAGCATTGATCATAGCTAAACATGAATAATAAATGTTATTTTTATTCGTAATATAATTATTTATAAGCAAAATAAATCCGACGAGTTTTTAAATCTATTATTTGTAATTCATCTGTTCTATTAAAGTACATAGATGTGCTTAATTTCAAGCATGAAATCGAGTACTTTTGTTTATTAGAACAAAAAATACGAATGGTGCTAATATCAGTATTCCTAGCTGCCACTCATTAATACAAATAGTCAAATGAAATTCATAATTCTCATATACTGGCTATCTTTTGCAATTATAATAATGAAATTAGAACTAGTTAATTACCTGAATATGCTCGATTATAGCTTTCATTAGCTAATGTTGTTAATTCAACATCTAACAATTCTCTTGCTAGATCAATTGAATCTTGTGCTTGTCTAAAATTATCATTTCTAATAGCATCAACAGCCCGATAATAAGCTCCTTCAAATTTTGTATCGGGTATATGAATATAATATTTTTCCAAATCTGGCATATCTCCAAGACTCCATGCTGCACGTGTTGCCATAGGTGCAATTTTTTGTTGAAGATACTTTTTTAATTCACGTCCATTGACCATTCCTTGATGAGAATTGAATACTGTTGATGAAGACGTTCTATCAATTAAACTTGTTGAAAATGGTAACAATGACACTGGCTGTTCATCACGAAGTGTTTCTGTAATATCCCATATTTGAGTGGCCAATTCTCTTAATTCAGACCATGAACCAAGTGCTTGCATACATCTCATACGTCCAAGATGTATATCCATATTCGATGAATCATTCGTTTTAAGAAAATCATAATTTCTTAATGCTCGTTCCCATTGATTTAATTTTTCATACCAAAGACCTTTTATTTTTATATTATGATGTTTAGCATATTGCAGTGCACCATAAGCAGCTTCGGATTGTTGCAATTCATGATTAATACTAATTAACGATTCAACAATATCGGATGTCACTGATTGTTGAGTAGTCGATGCTGCATCATGTTGCCGTTGAAATTCTTCTTCTTTATATCTTAAAGCTTTAGCATAAGCTCGAACACTAAATGCTTTTTCACTTAATAAATTTATATTAATTAACGAACGTTCAAGATCATCGCCATTATCTTGATTCTGATCTTTCTTTTTTGTTTTATCTCTATCACTAGGAATATCATCATTTGTATCGTTTAAATTTGTATCTTCACTACGTTTATTTGTTTTTTGTTGACGTTCTAACTTTAATTTTAGATCGCATTGATTACGAAATTCAGCAAGATTTAATATTGTTTGTATAACATCAGGTTTATCGGATTCCGATAGAACATATGTTAATGCATTTGTTAGACTTTGTCGATCATGAGAATTCAATTCACTCCAACAGGATATAAATGATGCATTGAATAAATCACGTGGAATCGATGGTGATACTTGTGCTAAGCAAGTACCCATAGCACGTAATGGATAAACAGGCGATTGTTCGAGTACAAGTTGTTGAAATTTATTTAGCCACATAGGTAAATCTTTAGCTTTTCTTTGCATAGCTTGTGTCCAATGTAATCGTAATTGATCAGTGCGTATTGTATATAAAACTTTCTCGTCGTGTCTTCGTGATGTATCACTTGATGATTGAGTTGATAATTGATTTGAATTAGCAATCGTTTCTGTTTGTACATCAACAAATGATGAATCTTTTAATTTCGATATATATAATTCATATTTTGAATGTTGCAATTTCATGTCTTCCATAGTTTTTGATACGAGTGAACTAAATACAAGAAAATGTTTACCCATTTGTTGTGCTATGATCAAAATAATATCTAAACATTTTATTTGTAATGGTGTTGTTTTACGTATAATTCGTAGTAAAATTTGTAATATAGCCGAAACATAATCACTTAGAAAAACTTTATCAGCTAGTTGTTCAATAGTGTCTAATGCTTCTTTTTGTAATTTTATTGGATAGGTATTTGTTGATGCAATATCTAATATTGATGGTAGAACAACATTAAAATGTGGTTTTAATGTTTTACCAAATTTATTTAATGTTGAAAACATTTGTGATAAAATTAATTGTCGATCTTGACTTTGATTTGCTGTTAAATTATTTAAGCCTGATACACTTGAATCTATGCGAAATGTTTTCATAACAAATGGTAATAACAAATGAATATAATGACGAAATTCAGTGTCTAATGCAGCAGCTAATGATTCAATTGTTTGAATAAGTAAGATTTGTAAATCTGTATGTGTATCCCAATAATCACGAATTAATTGAACAACATCATTGACATATTGAATTATTGAGCCTTTTATTGATATTATTATAATATTTATTTGACGAAAATAAGGTACTAAATTTCTATCATCTGTACTGCGTACAACAGATAATAGTCGTGGTAAAACAAGTGAAACATATTGTGTGCATGAACTTCCAAGCCATTGAAGTATGATGGATATGGCTTGAACAGCTTTTAAATGTAATTGTGGGCTATTTGGATCTTTTAATACGCGAAGACAAACATAGATTGCCATTGAAGTATAAAAATCAGTTAATGATTGAGCACCGGATGCCACTAAAAGTTCATTTGACGATATTTCAATTGGATCTGGTTGAGCACGAACACGATGTGTTGATGTTATATCATTGACATCGAATGATAATGAACGAAGTGGGTCATTTGAAGAGCGAACATGATAGGGATCGAGTGCACCAAGAAATCCAAGAACACGTATTGTTTCACGACGAAATGGAGTTTCTTCAGGTGATTTCAAAAATTGCAACAGTACATCGAGTAAAATAGGATATTTTTGTAATGGCTCAATTACATAACAGCAACTTTCAACAATTTGTCCAATAGTCCATAGGGCAACTTCACGCTTGCGATAGTTCGAAGTATCTTGCATCATATTTATTAGAATAGGAAACAGATCATGTACACGTTGATCAAGATCGATACCACAAACTTGAGCTTGTTCACCAACTGTTCGGACTAAGGCAATCAAAACATTGGAATGCTGTTCGTGTTGTTTTATTAATGGTAATAGAGCCTGGAATTAGAGAAAATTCTATTGTATCCAAATAAAGTCTTCAAAATAGTAAAGTAAAGGGGGTGATATTAACGAAAACATTTGGTATTTTTTGACTTCCAAATTTTGCAATGGATGAAAGAGACTTGGAGTAGAGGTTATAAACTCAGAAAATAATTATCGGTTCCCTATCGTAATCGAAAATAGAAAGTTTATCTCGTATATACATGACAAAAAAGAGCCATACGAAGAATAATTTACGAAACAAGGTGCCATCCTACTCGCTCATAAACATTGAATACAAAATATTGCACTATTATTAGTTTTCAGATTTACTATTAAATTAGCAAACATTTTTCTATTCGATTCCGTATAATTCAGATAGAATATAAGCTAAATTAGTATCGAATGCTCATGTATGACAAACTTAATTGTTCGAATTAATTTCTAAAAGAAAAACAATAAAATTTAAGCATCATACTTGAGTAATAGATTGCATATATGGTCGAACAATTCTTGGTGTATTTGCAATCAATTGCCCTAATAATCTTGATGCTTGTTCTTTTCCGCTTAGAGCACAACCGATTTCTAATTCAGTTAATAGTTGTAATAATAAATGTCTTAACGGTGGTAAAACATAAGCTGGATTAATATTTGATAAACGTCCAATAAGACTTAGTGCCAGTTCTCTTATTTCATGGCATTCATCATGAACAGAAAAAAATAATAATTCTAATGCTTCAGATTTTGCTAAAAATTGTTTGAAATCCTCTTGTAATGTTAAGAAAACGTTATAGCGTACATCAGGATCTAAATCAGTTACACCAATAGTTAATATTCTATGCGTTATATGACCAATTTTAATTCTTAATTTATTTGCTGCTGTCAATGATGAGACTGCGTTAGATGATAAAATTGTTTGTGATGTTGGTGATAATAATTTTCTCAGTAAAAATGTTATTGTTATAATAGATTCAATTCTTATTCGTACAATTTCGTGTTCAATAAAACGTGTATTTAATATATCAATGAAATATGGTTCAATAGCTTGTGCTTCAAAATCAAATATTCTTAATGTTTGTAATGCAATAATAATAATATCATTTTGTTCGTTAGATAAATTCGTATTATACGCTAATGAATTACATAAAACTGAACGTAGATTTTCCAATAAACCTTGATGAATTTTACGTTTCGTTTCTGTATGCATTAACGGATTTAAACATAGTTTATTTAAACAAAATAATAATGAATGATTTAAACCGCAATGCAATAAATAATCTAATAACGTGTCTAAGCATTTGGAGGCATCGGGTCCAGCTTCACCGATCATTGTTATACATGCAAATACACTTGAATCGGGCGCAGTATATCGACATGGTAATAAATTATTTATTGACGATGTTTGTTGCTGTAATGATACAGCTACAGATTGGGTAGAATTATTACGACGATGCGAATGTGCTGATGCCAGTGATGTTACTGTTGATGATATTGGAGTAAATGTTTGTTTTAGATAATCTAAAATTTTTGACATATCTTTTGTTAATGGTTTTGATGTTGTCGGTAGATCTGTTTCGTTGGCTCGGCTTAATTTATCAGCTAATATCATTAAACCTAATGCATGAAAGGCTAATTGACGTTCTTTTAATTCACGAGAACTGATACGTTCATATATAAAATTCATTGTTGCATCAACATATGGTTGATGAGAGAATACGGAATAATTCAATGATGCCAAACGTGGTAATATACGGATTAAAACATTAGCTATCATTTGTTTTGGTTGTTGACGATACTGAAATACTTGAGTACAAATATTAACAAAATTTTCGAGCATAACAGAACGAATAAGAGACGATTGAACTTGAATTTGAGATTGTTCGGGATTATCAATTATATCCATGGGAGATAATGGGCCAGCACGTTCGAATGTTAAAGCAACACGAGCACGATGTACATCCTAAGATATAAAAGTTTTTCACAGTGATTAACTTCAATAGCAAAAATAGGTAGGAGAAACAACTATTCAGAATTATTTTATATATAAATAAAAGTAGCAATAAATTGGATATGAAAGAGTACCAAGAATGGTTTATCACTAATATGATAAAATTTCAATTCAAACAGTTTTTTGCAAACTTTTTATTCAACCGTTTCATATTCGCTCTTGTTACTAAACCTCAATGCTTACTAGCATATATTATAGACTAAGAAGTAGCGATGTCACAAACACATTGTGGATAGTAGGTCAGAATACAATGATCATAGTACTACTAATCGATAGAATAAAGTACTACAGATGGTAGTACTGATGACGCAGTTTTCTTGCTCTGACAGTGGGACGGCGCCAAGCTTAATTCATCCTTGGCGACGTCATTACTATGAAAATAACTACTGCATCGGAACAGAGCAAAAACATGGTAAGCTGCAATCATAAGTAATATTTCGTATACGATTTCTGTTTCTTACTTTATATGAAATTGGTTTTGGTTTTGCTGCACTATATGGATAAATTAATTCTTGACAAGTATTCTAAAACGAGAGAATAGTCCCTATAATTCATGTTTCAAAAAAAAAAGCGAAATCTTACTTCAAATTTTGCATCTGATACACGTAATAATTCATTGAGTAATAAAAGTCCTCCATGAATTCGCTCTTCTCTTTGTGGATTTTTATTTTTCGCTGTATCAACTGTTAAACATTTCATTGCTTCTGTATAAGCCATCTAAATCAATAAATCGAACATATCAAGTAATTCAATTGAGCAAAAACAAAAGAATTTAAAAAAACAAACATTATATGCTTCGAAGAATGTACTGGCTTCGGTATTCATAGGATGGGCGGTTATAGCGCCGGTTAAGTCTTTTGCAGTTTTCAAATCATTATTTTTCTGTTCTTCACGTTCTCGATCAATGAGAACGATGAGCGTTGCATGCATTGTTTCAGCAAATGCTTCACGAATATATTGCTATACAAAAAAAAACAGAAAACAAATTCTTATATGAAATAAAATATTGATATTTTCTATTTACTTTTGAATCGACCATTGTACCAAATAGTTGTTCAAAATATTGATGAACAGGTGTTATTAAATGATAGTAACGTGTTGGAGCAACAAGAGCAATTTCTCTTAAAATTGTTATACCGCTATAACGTCTTGTTTCATGTTTTTCGTCACGGGATATACGTTCAATAGCTTTGGGAACATCGTGGGAAAATTGATCGATACTCATACGGCCACAACCCTATAGTTGATGTTGATTAAAATAGATCGATAAATAAATGTTTGATTACTTTGACAAGAATACATGTTAATTTGACAACTAATTCACATAGATTAGCATCAACTGACATTTGTTTATAACCGCGTAGCGTGGGTTCTAATTTATTACTTAATTCAGTATAGAAGTTTTGACCGGCACAAATAAAACAAACTAAATGGATATTTTTAAAAAGAGTAAAGAAAAACAATGCTTAAAACGTACGAATAACAAGAAGGGCTGCACGATTTTCGTTGACATCATTTGGATTGCCCATTTTCTTTCGAACAAATTCTTGAACTGTTTCAGCGACATTGGCAACAACATCAGGTGGAGGCTATATAGATAATACAAAAGAACTACTATAAATCTAATCAATTTAATCTTGATTCAATTCTATACTGAATCAATAAAGGCATAATAAATTTTTCTACGCTACGAGACAGATACTTATCCTTGAAATATTTTTTCTTGTGTCGATCGATTTTAATCAATTATCAACAATTAACTGTCATTAGAGACAATCGGTTAATTCAATAGAAGAATTTCATGCACCCCTAACATAACAATTATTACTAGCTCTCACTTACGTCGACATATTGAGCAAGAATACGTTCATAGAGTTCGTCAGTTGCTCGACGACGTGTATCTTCATTGGGACTCTGCAAATCACCGGTAAACTGCTCTAATAAAACAGGAAGCCGGGTATCTGCCGTCGACATTTTTTTTTATCTGAAGAAACAAACTAAGTTATTTTTTTCCTATCAACAATATATTTATATATTGTGTTCTTTTTTTTTTCTTTTAATGAAATCAACAAAACACACACAGATCAGTTGTTGTTGATAACAAAGATCAAATGAGGAAAAAACCGAAAAATTTGACACAAGAAGTACTATGTGTGTAAATAGCCTAAAGACATTTTATGTCGTCGTAATTTATAATTAATTACGTGATGATCGTTCCCATGAACTTCGTTCTTGCGTTGAAGCATCGTCACTGGTTTGACGTTTTGGTTTTGGTAGTTTTACATTAAGATCATCCTCACTATTTCGTTTTGATTCGGATTGAACTGGATTTCCGTAACGTCGTGCTGCTCCTGATTCATTATCAGTACGATTTACACGTGAAAATGATTGATTTTGTTGTTGATTACGATTTTCTTGACGAAAATAGCCATTAAACGATGAATTTTGATTACGCGGTGGAAATCGATCATATTCATTGCGTTGATAACCATTTGCATTGTAGTTTTGTGAACTGAAATAAAAAAAGGGAGCATGAGATATAACTAATAAAAAGACAATGTTTGAAAGCAGACATGTCAAGAGATCGCTAAAATTGAGTGGTGTTTTTTGTTAAGAGATTCGATAAGGGTTAAAAGAGTCAAAGAGGTTTAAATCACATGAGCGGAAGAAAACAGTTGCACGAGAAAGCAACACCATTGGTATATGAATCATTCTGCAAATAGGACTTCATTCTACTTCGTCAACCAAGTACATGATGTCTGAGTTTTTTATTATTTGCTTGAAGCTATTTGCAGTGTTTGACGACGCAACAAAGATTTGATTTCTCTAGCTCGTGATAAATGACGCATTTCTTTTTTTTCACTTCCTGTCACAGATTTTCAGCAGTCACATTATTGATGATTCAACGTATATTATTACACATGGAAATATGTTATAGCTGATTCGCTGATAAGAACCAACAGTCTTTCTCAGTAACTGACATGTTCTTTTTTTGTATATTGCGATTTTCCTTCGCTATTTTTTATGGTAGCCTTTTTCTCTCTTGTAATTAATTTTTGTTTTTTCTTTAATCTCTTTCTATTTATTAGTGGGTTTTACATTCCAACAATACGTATCATCTATTGAGCATTCTCGAGTAGAAGCAAAGGTATCTTGAATGGAAAAATTTAAGAAATATGTTACAGAAAAATTCATTCAAATTTCTATATCATGCATACCGTCGTTCATAACCGAAATCTTGTCTTTGGAAATTATTTCCAAATCGATTTTCTCTATTGAATCCGCCAGGTTGTCGATTGAATCCATCAAAATATCCTTGTCTGAAATTATTTGATTGTTGATTATTATATCCTCCACGATTGCGCTATAGAAAAAAAGAAATCCGAACGTCAGTAAATGTCTTTAGTATTTGTAACTTACAAAATCTCCTTGATTTTGCCGAAAGTTACCACCCATATTCGACTGTGGACCATTTCTAATAGGACCGCGACGACTAAAGTAAAGAAATTTTCCAGATTTTGTTTCTACTAGACAATAGAAGAAATTATACTTGATTGGATCAGTGAGAAATTCAGGTATATCAGTTGTTGATAAACGATTATTTTTTAACACTGTTTTTGATAATTCTTCAAAACGTGATAAGAGACTTTGATCATTCAATTTTTCAGCGGCTATTCGAATATGTCTCATCTATAAAGAATAAAAACTAAAATTTATCGACTATGACTGACTATGACGAACCACAAGTGGAAAAACTCGTCGACGATCACTATTTGCTGGTGTTTGTTCAGCAAGTAATTGAATAATATTGATTGATTCTTCAATTCGTCCCATATCAGCATAACAGATTCCCTGAAAGAAAGATTATTCGTTTTATTTTAATTTTATTTATATACAATTGATATTCTCATACTCGAATATTTTTTACTATAGCATAATTTTGTGCACGAACTGCATCTAAGATTTCCATAGCAAATGATATTTCACCCTAAAATGAATTAAAAATTATGAAATCTATTCTTTTCGCTTGTCATGTTTTTTACTTGTTGAATTGCTAACAATGCAACCATAGAAGCTGTACGTGGATTTATATCTGAATCACGTTCGCTAACTTTTGACATAATTTCCTTGGCTTTAGTTAATGCTTCTTTGGTATTCTATGGATAGCAGCAATACCAGTTATTATTTTTTCTTTCTATTCTTTTAAAATAATAATATTTACTTTTCGATATAATCCTTCGATAGCTAACATAACAACATCTGATGGAAATACTCGTCCACTAGCTGTTGAAAATCCACGTTGACTACCAAAATCAAATACTTTAACTGCATCATCATAACGTTTTTCTTCAATTAATTTATTCATAAGAACAAGTGCAGATGCAGAATCATTGAATATATTTTTTAAACTCTATTGAAATTTTCAAAAAGTAGCTCTTGTGTTGAATTTAAAAAATCTTAATTTTTACTTCATCCATATATAATTCCAATGCTAGATTAGTTCTGTTTTTTATGTAAAGTAAACGCATAATTGGTGAACCAAAATGATAATCGCTAAATTTGACTTTATTATTGCTGTATCTAGATTGAAAAAGGAAATTAGAAAATATTATTCAAAAAAAAAGGAATTTGTTTTTGCGAGACTTTTTCAATGCTTGAATAACAGTATCAATTTCTTGATCATTCTCAGCTGACATAATCATATTACGTAAATCTTCAGTAAAAATCTGAGCATTCGATTGTTCAATGGAATCAACAAAACGCTTTTTAAAAGCATCTGAATTATGAAAATAAACAAATATACAAATAGAAGAAAATAAATGAGATGCGTACCAAGTGAGGGTGCAAAACGCGTAATATGTTGATCACGAGCCGATTTAAAATTATCAATGCCAATACCTGAGCTTGAGAATACTGTACGGATTTGTACATGAAGATTTCCCCATGATGTACCTAAGTGAAATAAATTTATTTAAAAAAATAATAGGATTTGTATTCGAGATGTTAGATCTTAAATTTATTTTTGTTTATTATAAAAGAAACACTTACCGAGAATAGATTATTTTGGATCGAAAACTTTTGATAACAAAAAGGCTTTTATCGTTGAAAGAAAAGGGAATTTGATCACATCGAAGTTTTTCAATAAGACTTTGTAACTGGTCTACATTACATTATATTCGTAGTTTGAACCTTATCAACAGATTCTCTTGACAATGAATTTAAATAGAAATATTTTACAAGTATCCTAGATGAGACATAGTACAGTGTATACAGTTTTCAATCAGACTAAGTAGCAGTAGATTCTCTTCATAATTTAATTGACCTTAGTTGAAAATATTTTAACTTAATAATTAGAACTTACTTGGTTAGCATTGATGATTGATGTATTTCTCTCATCATAGCTAAAATTTAATTCTCAAATAAACAATCTTGTGCTAAACAATGCTTGATAGATTCTGTTGTCTGCACGTATCTATGTAGTATTTTTAATATACATTCTCTTTGTTAGACGATAGCAATATTGTATTCATTGGTTAATCATTTCTCATAGTACATGTGAGACATACCATTGATGTCAGATCCGCATTCGTCTTTAGCAGTATTTTATGTCGCTTTTATTACATCTTTATTTGAAACTCTCAAGGGTCACTAGAAAAATGATTCGAATATTGTAGAGGTCATTATTATCGTTAGAGTTCAGATCCATTATAGTTGTCAAGCTAACATCGACAAGGATCAAATATCTACAAAGATTTGATGAAATTGTATTGATAAGAGAATTGAATCACAGTTGCGAACTCTATGTATTTCGTGATTACTGATAAATTTGAAAAATTAGTGCGCAATGCACTGCATGTTATGAAGTACAGTTACCAATATCTGAATACTTAATAAGTCTTTAAACAATTAATTTCTACATTGTCTGCTGAAAAACTTTCAATGGCGCAATCGTTCCCATCTCAGATATATGTGGTGCGGAAAAGAGAATATTTCAGAAATTTTGACCAATTCAAACCAAATAATCTTTTGACTATAACATGCGAATTAAGAAGACTCATAATTATTTCTTCTTCTTCAGAGTACTTTAATATTTCACACAACTTCAATTTCATCTCTGTTGCGATTAGTTATTGTTCTAAAAAATACCTTGACTAATAATTAAAAAATCCTAGATTCACTTACGATTGATAGCCAAAACAGCAGCACGTCGAAGAATATCAGCCATCTAAAATATAGAATAAATAAACGATAACACAATCGTTTACTATTAAACATGCGTAATGTACTATGAAGTTTATTTAAAAATCGCACACAATTACTCAATATCCACCCTTGAAGTCTTTTCAACGGCAAGCATTAGAAGCCTTGATTACAAACCTTTGATGAGTCACAAGGACAGTCCTCATTCAAAAAGTGAGCAATCAAAGTAAAATCCTGAATATTCGGGTAAAAAACAAGAAAAACAACATTAATATCCGGACCTAATCTATAGATTATCAATAAAGATTTTCATTGGGGAATATAATCGTTTATCGGTTCACTACTCTGAATGTAGTAAATTTCATAGAATGTCAAAAAAAGTAATGGAAATGAGTTTCAAAGACTTTATATGAAGAAATTTCTGCCATTTGATAATTATAGATGTCGCCATACAGTAAAGATTATTTCATAGTGAATATATAGGAAATTAGTTGATTGATTGATAGTTACACTCAATTCATTCGGTCATAAACGAATTGTTTTGATCATACAATAATAATGCATTGTACATATATGAGATAGACGTCTATTGCGAGAAGAATCAAAAGTATTTTATGCACAGATATGTATCATAATAGCAAGAGAGTAAGTTCATTTGAAGTAATCTTTCATTTTTTTTTCTATATGATTTACGCATATTTTATTGCTAACTTTTCGTTACCGACTGTAGCGTCTAATTTTCTTTTACATTCTGTTCTTGTACAATCCTATAATCATTTCATGTAAATATATCTCACTAATTCATACGGGAAATCTATTAAACTAGAGCACAAAGTAATCAAATCAAACACTAATATTTTCACTCCATAAAAAAAATAGGACAAGTAGACACAACAGACTCGTTTTCACATAAAAACAAATTAAAAAGACTCCCATCCGTAAACGGTGTCTAGTTACAAATATCTAGAGGACAGTAATTATGTGACTATATGAAAGAGGAACTATGATTGTTTTTTCTTCTTCACATTCATTTATCATTCGACTGATCTTTTGAGTTCGATGATAATCCTGTATCTTCCGAAGTTACCATTGCTTGCAATGCATTCGATTTAGTCGAATCGGTTGATGTGAATGCTGATGCTTTCTTTTTTTCAGTAACTTCTTGCTTGTTATGATCATCTAGATCAACGAAGTCACCAGTATCGGATAGACCAAAATCAATTTGATCATCATGCCGTATTGTGTGGCTTGCAGATGCTAAATTTAATTGATTTTTTGCTCCAAGTGTAATTTGATATATTTCATCATCAAATGCATCGGTCATTGTTGGTTCATTTGCCGCTGCGGTATTAGCAGCAGCAACAGCAGCTGCACGAAGTTGTTTATCGAAAGGAAGTTTACCAGCTGATGCTGCACGTGGAAACGAAGGTTTATATGATGAATCTGATGAAGGCAATTCTTTCTGTGGAATCTAAATGATAATTATTTGAGTTCTAGATTGAAAAATCTAATGAACTACTTTTTGCGATGAAACTTGTGATGGTGGCAGTTGTATTTGCTGATGTTCATCTTCGTCCTCACTTCCATCATCGTCGTGTTCAGGTGGTGCTGGTGTCGATGAACGAGATACAGCTGGGGTTGATGCTGTTGATGATGATGGTTCACTTGACTTAAGAAAATATATTTAGAGAAAATCTATAGAAAGAAAAAAAAAACTATACCAATTTCATTAATTCTTCTTCGAATTCAGGATGTATTCTTGCTAATGCCAATTGATGAGCACGATAGTAATACTAATATAGATACAAAATAATAATATGTACTGATGGAAATGTCGATACTGGATAAAATTATTCGAACTATTATTTTCTTTTCAATGTTTAGATGATTATTTCTCCCTGAAATACAATGAATTGGTTGGTGTAAGAAAAAATCAAATCATCTGAACAATATTTGTTGCTGTATTCAAGTATGATAGCTAGAGCACGCCAGTAGGATTTCAATGGAATACTGATAACGAAGGAAATTAAAAAATGAATATTATTTCTCCTTGGTAATCATGAAGATTTATCCGTGACACGTATGAGAAAAACAGGTACTGTGTGTTCTCAATAAAAGCGAGAGTTGATCTAGTTAAATTATCATTATCATGGTTGAAAAGTTGCCGAGTAGTTTTTGAATCGTATTCTATTTTCTCTCCCTATATGTTTCTCTTAATTTGACAAGATTTACAATATATTTATTTTTGAGATTTTTTCATCAAATCTCATCCAAAATATTTTTACTGATAGTAGATACTTTTTAAAATTCATGTCATTTTCAATTTGCATGATTTCCCTATCCTCGTATAAAGATAATCAGCTCCTGCTTGCATTCAATTATTATGACCTTATTAGACTAAAAGAAAAAAAAAACATAACAGCTGCCGTAAACAGGTCAAATCATAGGATCATTCATATCCTGTTACAGTAGGCTAAGTCACAAAAACTAGATGTGTGTGTGTCTATAGATCTCAGCATGACAGAAATTCAGTTTCTTATTTTCTTTGTAAACTTACAATGCCTAATATATTCCAGTCAAGTAATTCGCTTAATCGTTCTGTACGATTACGTAAAATAATACGTTGTCGTCTTGTTAATAATGAAAAATCATACATATACTAAAACAATAAAAGACACAATGAGTTTCTGAAAAACAAAAAAACAATTTTTCTTTAATTTTACTTGTGCAAGCTGTTGGCATGAATCATTAGCACTTTGGTGTCTTCTATCAATAACATAAATTCCATATGTTTGATGTTCAGTAACATGTTCTTCCATAAAACATCCAAAACCACTTAAATTTGTTGAAATATTCGGTACTCCCATAACAGTGCATTCAGCTGGTGTATAACCCCATGGTTCATAATAGGATGGAAATACACCCAAATGACAGCCACGTACAAATTCATCATAATCAAGTGGTAATAACGGACTTGTTGAACGTACAAATTCTGGATGAAATATAACTTTAACACGATCGGAACGTGCATTAAATAAATGACAACGACGCAATGCATTCAATACTGGATCATTAACATCATCACATACATTGTGTGTACATATTGGTGGCAAGGCTGAACGCTAGAAGAGACGAATTGGTTTTTCAGCACAAAAAAAAAAGATTATAGATCATACCTGTGAACCATAAATACATTTTTTTAATTCTATTAAATCGCTTGTATACAAAATTTGTTCGGCAGTTGGAAGCTGACCTCTGAAGAACAAAAGAAGAAAAAGAAATGAATTATATACTATTTGAAAGTTTTAGAAAAAGATATTTAGCGTGAAATATGCTGCGATTTATTAAAAGTCTAATTAAAATTTATAATCAGAATTTCTCTTTTGCCTTCATTTATCATTTTCTGCTCTTTTTTAATCTATATATTGATTTGATATTCCTGGTAATTTGTATTGATTAATGATAAACACTGATATTGCCTGTTTGTACTGTCTAAAGTATTACTCAATCGTTCTCCCATTCACTATTTGTTCTTCATTTCTTTCATACTCATAATATCACTATTTGGTGATCGATTGGCCTTGATTTTTTTTGTGGTTTTTATGTGAACCAATTTTCTTTATTCGATTCTAAAGTAAAAATACATTCTAGTTTCAATCAAATCAATAGATTAGAAATCTATTTTAGTTTTAATATATTCTAAAAATATAAAATTTAGTTTCAATCAAGACAATCACCATTTCAAAACATGAAAGTCAACTTTCAAACACTCCATTGTGAATATTTCATTTCTCTACTATCAAGACAAACCTTGACATTACAACTGAAACATTTCACAGTGTAAAGATAATATATTTTGATTCTTTAATTTCTGTTTTGTTTAATCTACTTACTTCAGACTAATTTCATAAAGTCGTTTGCCAATATCCGCTTGTATATTGCTTACTGTATCTCGAAACATTTTAGCAATAGATTGACCACGTAAAGATTCAACATTAAAATTATTTGTCGCTGTCGGAAAAATAAGGAATGCAACAACAGTTACATCTGAACCAGATTTCTGAAAATAAGATGAATTCGTACAAAATAAAAGAAACGTATTTTGCGTAAAATAATTTTTTTACTGTAAGCATATAATTTAATCGTGCTAATGATTCGATAAACATATCAGCACCTTTATTTGTAAATTCATATCGACCAGCAGTAAAGAAATATAATGTTTTGTCCAAATCAAAATCATAATGTCTACATCAAATAGAAATATCTTTTCGATATTTCGATGGAAAAGAATCGTACCCATAGAAATGTCCACGTACAAATGCATTGAGTTTCTCTTTGTTTTGCGCGTGTAAATTTTGAAATTCATGTAACGCAGCGAATTTTTGAACATTCAATCCATTGGGTGTTAACAAATCTATTTAAATCAATAAAAATCATATAAAGGTAGATTATTCTACCTGGTTGTTTGTTCAAGAGATATTCGGATTCGATTCCAGTTATTTTCGAAACAGTAGTAAATACATGTGCGCATGATGCAGCTGCGCGTTCAATGCAATAACGATGATATATTTGACGATCACCAGCTTCTTTATCAAGATTGAACTAATATCAAAAAATCCAATTTCATATAATGAAGTTTTTCGAGAAAAGTTTGATACCTTAGATAAATTATTATAGAAATCTGTTGAACCAGCACATAAATATCTACCTAAAAGTGTAGCATGTGTGGTAAATACTAATGCGCAATCATAATTGCGAAGACGCGTCATGATAAGGCCAACACCAGCTAACCATTCATGAAAATGAGCAATAACATAACTTTTTTGTCGTCGTTTTACTTGTTCAATAAACTAAAACAGAGGAATAAAAATAAATCATTATCATATATATATATATCGTTTGTTAGTGATAGCCTTAGTTTTACTTACATTCCCAATGAACCAAAAAACACAAAAACCAAATAATAATGCATCATTTGATTCTTTATCATGATATGGTATACCGATTCGTGAATATTGAAAAAAATCACCTTTCCAACCATCTAATCTATGTGATACTGAGCCAATATCAAAAAGAACAACTTGAGGAAAACCTTCAATTAACCAATTTCCAGTTACAACCTAAAAGAATTCTTCGTAAAATAATGCGAATTTTTATCTCGTTTTTTTAACTAAACATACATGAACACCAAAACGATTCATTTCATGCACTGCTTCTCGAATAGCTTCTATTTTCGATTCACCAACTTCAACTTCAGTTTTTACAAATGCTTCGTTATATGGACCCAAACATATGTAATTATTTCCATATTCACTTTTTGTTACTGGTACTTTTGATCGTATAACAGTATATATTCCTCCAACTAAAATAATCATATTTACATATAGCGACAAAAATGAAATAAAAATAAAAATAAATTTTATATTATAAACCTTTATTTGCAACTTCCCATGATACTTCAAGAAGCCATTTATTTAATTGTTCAGCTGCTTCACCATTATCTAAGCATTGCTCAAAACGAATACCTTGATAATTTTTTAATGATTTAGCTGCATTCTTTATCTTCGATATCGACATGGTCGTTTTGAATGATTATTATTATTATTATTATTATAAATAAGAAATAATCCTTGTAAATATATTTTACACAATCAAGTATATAATGTGTATCGTTGATTAGATCTAATCAAACATAAACATGAATAAAAACGTAAAAATCATCGAATAGTTGAAGAAAAAAAACAAGATAATGATAGTGAAAAGTGAATAAATGTGTATTATTTACATAACTCTTTTGAACTCCGTTCGCTTGCTTATCTCATGTTGTTTTTCTTTCAGTAATTTGCAACAATTATACAAGTCAATACATGTCTTAGATTCAAGTAGGCAAAAACAAGAGGCAATAAATACATAAGGATTTTTTTTTATGAAGAACAAAAAATGGGGCCAGCCACGATGGCATTATTGATTTCTTGTTTCTTGGCAGACGAGAAAATTTCTCGTTTGTATTTTATGGAGAAATTTGTAGATGACGCTAGGAGAACATAAAATACTCGTGTATTACTGTAAGTCCATTATCTATGAAAGTAACTAAAAAAATTGAAGAAACAATCTAAAATAACGGAATTCACATCATATTCATGATGTTATCGTAAAAGCATACACTAAAATAATTTCAACTAGGTGTATTGAGTACTTTCAACTTGAAAATACATATAAAGAGTTAAAACAACACTTATATTTCTCGACAATCTACAGACTTGTGTGAATTTTACTTTATCGATGTATTTTGTTTTTGTACGCTTATATGTATTCTAGATAAGGATCGAATATTTGCAAGATATTTTTATTTATTGATACTCACCTGTGATTACTAACTTATAGTAGCTCGTTGAAGCGAAGTTTGCTTTCTATAAAAAAAAAGAAGTCTTTATCTAATCTCAAAGAAACAAATCTTGAAAGAATAGACAAGCATCTTACAAGTCTAATTGTCTGATTCTACTGTTTATATTAGAGAAGAAATTATTTTTTCATTCCTTAATAACTATTGACACGAATAAAAAAAATAGAATTTTTGTTAAAAAATGTCCCGTGTTCATGACACACAAAGGATTATATTGCTTTTAAAAATTTGTATTAGCCTTTAGTACATACAGAATTGAATACTTTTGCTTTTGTCGATCTGTATCCCGATGCAGATAAATAGATTTCAAGTTATAATATTACAAGTCTCTTTTAATTTAAATACATTTTTCGTATACACTTAACTTAGGTGAAATATATTGAATAATATGAGAAACATTCCAAATAAAATTTGTTTACTCAACAATGATCATTTCATAAGCTGAAAATTTGAGTGACACGTATCCGATAATTTGTTGCTAGAAATAATATGGTAGAAATAATCAAAAAAACATTAAATAAACGATAATTTTATAGTAAATTCTGGTTTAATTGATTTGTAAAAGCGGATACTGATGCGTTGTCTAATGAGGGCAATCTGTGATTATGCAAAAATGCTTGTATTTGACATGAGAAACAACCTTCATTTTTTTCAATTAACAAGATGCAATGTACCCGTTAATTAAACAAACATATGAGTCATCCAGAAATGATTACGAAATATTCTATTGTTATTTTCGATTATTTCGGAGTATTCCACGAATGAGAGTAAAAAGGACAATTAATTTTCTTCTCACAATAATCGAAGAAAGACAAGAATAGATGAGACATTTTGTCAAGGCGGAAAAGTGACTCCTGGAGCCTAGTGGCTTCTGGCGGATTCTATAGTCGACCAGGCGCTGCTTTTCTCCCTTGCATTTTGTATATTACAATTTATAATGAAAACATTATAGAATTAAAGAATCCAGTCACTTTTGATAAAGATACATAGAATTTTTTCTTTTTACATTTGTTACCTATTAAATAATGTGTAGTTCTAGCAACAATACAAATAAATAATGTAAAAAGGAGCATAAAGAAATGAGATATAATTTGATACGGTTTCATGTATATCTATATTGATTTGATGAAGATGTCAATCAAAGATGAAAAGGTTCGTGAAAAAAATGAAGAAACAAGGTATTTAAAAATTTTATTTCATCAAATGTTTAGTATCAGTTTTATAAAAACAGATCATGTTAACAATTATCTCTTGTTCGTTCTTAATCTACTATATACAGAAGACAAAAAATTCCTCGCAAATATTCGAAGATTAAATATATAATGCCAACACTAGAACGGAAGAAGAAATAGCAGAGGTGTTTGTATTGAACTCTACTATTTGTTCCTTTAGTAAGACTTAGTTGAAAGATAATTGAAGTGCATAAAAAAAAATTGTTTTCATCATCAAGTATACATTTATTTAGTTGATAAAATATGAAAAAATTGCTAATGATAAAAATTAAAACTAAGAATAATTATTAGAATAGATTGGGCTGGACATCAGATAGCTTTCAATGAACTTGGCTATGAAAAACTGTTTACAGAAAACATGAGTTATTTTCAAATCATCGATAAAAAAAATGTTTTTCTATTTCTAACTAATTAAAACAGTACTGCCAATATGGATCTATCAATTTTGCAAATAGTCGGTATATGCAGCAATGCTAAAGAATTTTTACTATTTATTTTAATTAAAACTTGAATCTGACCGTGTTCATCACGAATATCTCTCGTTATTGAATTGCATTTGTACATGAATGTCTTGCACAGAAGTGTCCAATCACAAGATGAAGAATGGAATTCACATACTAAAATTTTAAACAGGTCAATTACCGGCTTGATGATTATTCTGGTATTAAACTAAAATAATATGCCAATGTTTTCTCAACATAAGTGACGCATCAAGATGAAATGCTTCATAATACCAAAACACATCAAATCAGAGTAGCGAATGGTTTTTCATAAACTTTAAAATATTATCTGTGATAAATAAAAAAACTCAGAGCAGATACTATAGTCTAAATGAACAGAAATGTTTTTCGTATATTTGAACTAGATGAAGATTTACTGTTTTCACTATAGAAATTATCTGATATTAGACGAAAATTTTCATTATTTAAGTCACTGTGTACAAGATGAAGTCATGAACGACGTGATGAAACAACATATGATTTGATTGAAATTATGACCGAGTACCATCAATTGCACAATCTAGTTTTATTATTGCTACGCAATTTAAGATGACTAATAATCAAGTAATTAGCTTTGAATCTTTCAGCCAATGCTTACTACTTCCGAATGGTTTGTTTCATTTAATAATGCATAGATCTCTATGTACTTGTTTTTATCAATGCATTCAATAAGCTTTCGTACTGTTGACATGTTTTGGCATTGTAGACGAATCTCGCTGAATTCCATATTTGGCAGCTAGAAGATTACTTCGTATGTTGGACACATTCATTTAAAATGCTGCACTTGTAATTATTTCTCAATCGTCATATGTCACACACAATCATAAGAAAATATGGTGTACTCTTTTGATTAGTTTTTAATTTAATATTTCTATAATCAGATAGTTCATAAAACAAAATATTCATTTGTACTTCGAATAAAAGCATACATATTTTTAATTCGAATTCTCATTCGAAGTACATTTCAGAAAAGAACTGACATAAATATGTACGTCATTTGCATTGAATTCGTTGATCTTCTTTCAATAAAGATTTGAAATAAATATTAACTTGCTTAGAAATCTGATATAAATATTTTTTTGTTTCTAACTTCCAGATACCGCTAATAAAAAGAAACGCTGAAAAAATGATATGCATTGTTGTTGATGTTTTTGCAAGAAATTAACTGCAATACAAAGCATTTTATTTTTCTAGTTATTCAACAACATACGTCGCCGATATCATTTTTCTTACTTAGCTAAATCTCATTTGATCAAGTTACATTTGTATTACACATGATATACTATTCAATATTAACAATGTGCCTACGCAGCCAGGTAAATACATAAATATCAAGTAAAAAATAAAAACAACTATGCGCTTTCCTAAATTCATCATATATAATTGTAAAGTTTAATATCATAGACTCATTTCTATACTTTACTTAATTATGGCAAAGTTTCAAACAATGAAAAATTGTCTATTGATTGCATTAATCATCAGTGTTACGACTGATGCCCAACAAAGTAGATGCAATGATAAACTTTCTTGCGATTGTGGTACTTCGAAGATTGAAAAAAGTTCACGGATTATCAACGGTGAAGAAGGGGTTCCTTGTAGTTGGCCGATGCTAGTATCTATTCGCTATGATTTACTTCATATTGGTAGTGCTGCAATGCATATCTGTGGAGGAACTATAGTTTCGGATTCGTATATTCTTACTGCAGCAAGCTGTTTTGACGGAATAACGAATGATATAAAACTTGCTAATGTAACAATTGCTGCTGCTATGCACAATAGATCTGCACCAAATCAAATAATCCGATATGTCGATCAAGTTATAATTCATCCTAACTGGGACATTTCAACGAGCAGACATCAATACGATATTGCTTTGGTTCATCTATCCACACCACTTGATGTAGAGACACATCACTGTATAACTCGCACATGTCTCCCACCGCAATTACATCTTACTGAAGAACTGTTGCAATATCCATCTGGAGATGAACAATTAATTGTTGTTGGATGGGGTCGTACACATCCAAGTGGCGATGACTCCGACGTACTACGACAAGCATTAGTTGTTTCGATCGATTACAATAACAGTAAATGTAACAATATAGTCAGTAAGCCAAATATACAATTTTGTGCCGGATCATCTGATGCTAGCGCAGGCAAGAGATTTTTTATTATTTGCTTTAAAAGAAAATTTTTTTCATCGCTCTTTCTTATGCATATTTAGGTCCTTGCTACGGTACGTTACTTGGAAGCGATTTGACTCTTTGTATACTTCTTTTCTAAGTAGGTGATTTTGGTGGTCCAATACTACACTGGATTGGTGTCCGTTGGGAACAAGTTGGTATTGCATCCTACACACCAGATGCTTGTAAAGAAAATTCTGTTATTATTTATACACGAACTGCATATTACCGTAGTTGGATCGAAGAACATATAAAAACTGATGATAAAACGACAGAAGAAATAATTATCCTACCAACTCTTCCACCAATAAATATAACAGATCCACCTTTAACGACTTATCAATGTAATAAATACGAAGTACCATGTGGTTGCGGTCGTAGAAGTGTTCAATTTCCTCAATTAGATACTATCATTGAGAGCGAAGCAGTACCGTATAGTTGGTCTATGATTGTTTCGATACGTATGAATGGTAGTAATAAGCATTCGTGTAGTGGATCGATTCTAACTGAATATTATATCTTAACATCAGCTTCATGTATTGCGAATGTACCATCATTTGGTATCACTATTGTAGCTGGTATTCATAATTATTCAGAACACGATTCGACATATAGAAAAATCGATCAAATATTTTTACATCCAAATTATATGGGAGTATCAGATAATTATGCAAATGATATTGCAATCTTGCATATGTCTCAACCATTAGATTTCGATAACGATCCTTTTGTTAGTCGAACATGTGTACCTGAAAAACGTGAACCCATATTCAATTCAACGACTAATCCAGAACATGAATTAGATCTAGCACTTATCGGATGGGGTTCTATGAATTGTCAAAATAAAACTGTTCAGGATTTACTTCAGCAAGTTCAAATATATTCTATAGATCATACAGAAAAGTCTTGTTTTATATTGGACAAGCATCGTGATATTCAGTTTTGTGCAGGTGTAAAAGCAGGTAGCACAGGTGAGAAATTAAGTTCGAGAAAAATATAAATATACAAATATATACATATGTATCGAATTCTTTTATTGTAGTTCCATGTGTTGGTATGTGTGTGAACAGTTTTTTTTTTGATTGAATTTTTTATTTTTATTCTTGAAATCTAGGGGACACTGGAAGCCCAATATTTGAATGGTTGGGCGATCGTTGGCAACAAGTCGGAATTGCATCACATACAATCGATTGTACTCCCCTGAAAAATGCAGGAATCTATACAAGAATTGTGGAATATAATGATTGGATTCAATCTATCATTAATAATTGTACAATACCATCTCCTTCACGAACTACAACTACAACTACTACTGTTAGTATGACAACAAAATCCGTAAAACCTTCTGTTGAATATCGGTGTAATACAACATCAACATGTGGTTGTGGTGCTACTCCTGTAGCTATTACACCAACACGTATAGTAGGCGGTGAAGATGCCCGAGAGCACAGTTGGTCAATGATAGCTTCTTTACGTCTAGAATTTCCGGATTCGCATGATTGTGGTGGAACTATATTGTCTAACTCTTACATTCTTACAGCTGCTCATTGCCATACCGGACCCGTATCGAATCCAACAGTCGGTTTCTCTATTGTAGTTGGTATGACACATATTTCAGATTCGAAAGTAATTCGACGTACTGTTGATAGAATTTATATTCATCCAAACTATATTGGTCCAGAGGATGGTTATCGCCACGACATTGCTTTATTACATATCAATGAATCACTAGTATTTGATCGGGATCGATTTTTAACAAAATCATGTATACATCCTGTTAGTTCACCAACATTGAATGATAGATATATTGAAAATAATACTCCACTTACTGTAATTGGATGGGGTAACTTATATGAAAGTTGGCTATCACTAATGCCAACAACGCTTCAACAAGTAGTGGTTTATGCGATGGATAATGACGATCCCATATGTAGAGGTTCAATCAATGATTCACAATTACAATTCTGTGCTGGATTACCAGAAGGTGGAAAAGGTTAACCTATTAAAGATTTATATTTGCATATTCTTATTTATCATTTCGTTGTATTTATTCTTATTTTAGATTCTTGCAAATGTGCGTTTCGTAAAAAATAACATGTATTCTAATTGTCATTATAATTCGAAATAAATGTTGTTTATAGATGATTCAGGTGGACCAATATTTCAATGGGCCGGACAATATTGGGAACAAGTAGGTATTGTCTCATATGGAAACGGTTGTGCGCGACCTGGACAACCAGGTATTTATACTCGACTATCATATTATTATGATTGGATCAACAATATTCTGAAAAATGACAATGAACATTTGGAACCAGTATTTCCATCAGATGCAACTCCTACAATGAAAATTAATACGACAACAATCATCAACGAATCAACACCAAGTACAAAAAGTGATGGGTTGAATCATGGCAAAAGTGCTATCATCTGTGCGGCACTTATTGTTTTTCTTAGCTTTATTCGATGATATAAAAACTAATTATTATAGATATTGACTGGCACGTTTCTTTTTTGAATTGTAATTTTAATCCACTAAACTCGTATATGGGAAATGCAGTATTTTTCTCTCTATCATATATTTCACGGAAGTGGCTACGTTACTCGTCAATAGTTAATAACACTTAGAAGAATGTCAATTCATGATACGTCTTAATCTAGAAGTTCAGAAGAGTCAAAATGATCACACATAGTGCATTGGTTATTCAAATGTTGATGTGTTGTTCTCTAGCTAGCTTGGTCATTTGTCTCTGCTTAATATTTTCATTTTAATAAAATATGTTGAACTCTCTTTTTAAATAGTTTTTTGTGACTTCGTAGTCACACTATAATCATACTAAAACGTATACATCGTGAAATTAACAAATATATTCCTATTCAAATTTGAGGCGGATATAAATAAGCCATAAACAGCAATTCAGTGTTCATATTTTCTTTATAAAATCGACGAAGTGAGCGTTTGCTTCGTAACCTTGTACGAATGATAGTCAAAACGATATATGTTACGCTCTCTTTGTTCCATTCAGAAAAATATTCACTGCGTTCAATGATTTGTTTGATCTATCATTCATTGAAATATGTTCCTATTCATCTACTGCTGATGTCTTATGGTCTTTCAGCAATCTCAATAGTCATCTGATGGCAATATTGAGGTTGGCCGTAGAAAGGCCGAAAGGAAAAATGTCGAAAGGGAAAAATACCGAAAGAAAAATATCGAAAGGGAAAAATACCGAAAGAAAAATATCGAAAGGGAAAAATGTCGAATGGATAAATGTCGAAAACAGAAAAGATAGAAAAAAGGGACATCTCTACTAAATGAAGGTTCTAATAATTTATTGTTCATTGTTGTTAATCTGATTATTCCATTGGTTTGACACTGTTAACCATTGATAAGTAATATCTTATGAAAACTAGCTAAAATGGGTGTAAAATAGTATACAACGATTAAAATTCTATCATGATGACTACAGCTTGCTCATTTTTATCTGGTGAGAATCATCCGCCAACTCCAGTTATTTCATTTATTCAGTCGTAAAAAGGAAAACCTTTCCTTGTATCAGATAAATATATCTTTTTCAAAATGAATAAAGCAACAACAACTAGTAAATATTGGATATGTGCATCTTTCTTTATAACTCTTATTTATCTATGATTTATGCTATGATGCTATTATGATTTCAAGAATAAAAACATCTTAATGCAAATTTTCGACATTTTTCTTTTGTCATTTTCGATATTTTTCCTTTCGATATTTTACTTTTCGACATTTTTCCTTTCGGGCTTTCTACGGCACACCAACATTGATTGAACGAACTTTCTATCGTCATTTAAATTCATCAATCTATTCGATACAATCAACTCCAAACATTTTTATCTTTAGTTCAATTGAACGAAATATAATCATTTGCTATTGACTTTTATCGATATTCTCTTCAACTGAGACTTTGACCTCATTTACCATTCTTAAGAACATTACAAATGATTGGTGCACGAAATCTCGTTGATATTTTTAATTTTGTACAACGGCACCCCACTACGTTAACTTATAAGCCAGTTCAATCGAATGAATATTCTAGCACACTATTTACAGTGCTTTATTCCGATTTTCTCTTGCAGATGAGGTCATTTTTTTTTATTTCGAAGGGGTGTGAACAGCAGCTGTTAGGAGCACAGTCACATAATACATGATAAAAGAACCAGAAATTCCGATACAAAGTTTCTTTTGAATGAATAAAAACAATTTTCACGGTGAGTATCGATCTTTCGACGACCGCGTGACTAAATATTGTATTTATATGAGTGATACAAGAAATCGAAATTAGCAAACCAATTATTCGCCTTAAATTTACATAAACCACTAAGATGTTAAGTATTGTAATGTTAAAAAAGCAATTAAATCAATCAACTTGTAATTAATAATAGATAACATCTCATATCCTCATTGATTTAAATAGCAAGTGACATGTTTGTCCATAGGTCACAAATGTTCATAGTAAATTACAGCAGGAGACTTGTTCTTCTAATGATTCTCAATTCTTCTAATGATGCTTAAGGGCAAAGCAAATGTCAGTCAAACATAAATATATGCGTGTGTAGTAATTGAATATATATGTAGTAAGTTTGTCATCATCTATCTTGAGAAAGCTTCTCTCTCTCTTGAAGTATCACTAATGATCAGATTCAATGATTACAATAAAAAAGTATAGATCTCTGATTTTTCAATCGGATTTGTCCAATGAATTTTTGAAAAGCTATTTAACTTATCATCTATTCTTGTGAATATTTTTACTGGTACAACTAGCAATCAAATCGACCCGCACTTGCCTGTTATTGTTTTAGTTTGAAATAAAATACATAAATTCTCAATAAACTTATTCAATAGATTTTTTTTCTTTCTAATCTTTTATTTCATCATCACAACACAAAGGAATTCTACATAAATATTTTCACTGTCTAATACTGATAATCTAAACGACAACTTCGTAAACTGTCTTTTTGTTTAGATGATAACTTTTCAATGGTGTTGAACAGCCGCTTTCGGCGCTCTCTTCTTTATTTTTTACTGTATAAATTGGAAAACCATAGCCAAGATATTGTGATTGATTAGCATGTAAATCATTTTCTATTGATGACACATCGGTTGGATTCATATCAGTTATTGTTAAATGGTCACTGCCTGATAATGAAGATGAATTGGGATTAGATAGTATTGGATCGCTTGAGCCATTTGATAATTGACGATTATTAACAACATTGCCTGTACACACAAAAACAAAATTGACTTATGAATTTCATATGAGACAATAAAAATGATGTACCTTGTAATTGATCAAATTTTTGAATTTCAGCTAATCTACCATAAGACGATTGCACTTGTTGTCGTTCAGGATATGTTACATTTGAAAAATATTTAGTTGGACTATAAGTTAGATTTCTCAAATAGATAGTAATGATTCTTTTTATTATTTAATCGACGTACCTGTTCGTAGTAGGAATAACTGGTTTTGTACTGATGACTTGATTTTGTGAAGGTGCTTTATCTGATGTAATAACTTAACATATTAAAAAGAACAAGCGTGTGTCAATCAAATCAAAAAATTATGCGAAGAGTTAAGAAAATACCTCGAGAGAGATTCGTATTTCGTTGTTGTTTACGATTTGTTAAAAAACAAAATATGCCGAGACCACAAAGAATAAGTAAAGCAACAGTAATAATCGATGATAAAACAATAAATACCCAATTGAATGATGTATCGCGTTCTGAAACCGCAAAATCTTTTTAAAACTAAGGTAAAATTATCAGCAAAATCATTTTACTTATTTGCACTGGTATTGATTCTCCGCAATAATTTTCGTATTGGTCAATACAAATCGATAGATTAATATTATTATTTAAATTGTTTTCATTGAATTTCAACACTCCACTTGATGTAATAATACGTTCGCATATATTTGTTTCATTATCGATTTCAATTCGCATACACAATGGAACTTTTATTGACATAAAACTTGAATCATTTAAACGATAATTAATTAATTTTTCTGATAATTCCAATGATGAATGTTCAATATTTGGTAAATCTAATAGCAAAAAAAGCATTATCGTCTACCATCAAACTCAATTGAAATCTAACCTTCTTTTCGTACTGGTACATCTTTTGTTTGAACGCGAAGAAATGCAACAGTTGAACTTTGTCCCAATTCATTATAAGCACGAACAGTTACATTATAGTATTCCAAATGTTGAAGATCTAAAAACATTATTTTTAATATCCGTCGGAATGAATGTATTATTCCATCAAAAACTTGTGGAACTTCTATGGAAAGATTTGTAGCGAATAATATTCAAACATTAAGTGAATCGGTCAAAATCAAAAAATAATTTCGGACCCTATATTTTTCAGTCAAACTGCTTGATCTGTTTTCTATGAGTTTATGCAATCAGAAAATTATAGTCTATGTTTATATTCTACAACTATTTTGAACGATCATGTTTATGTCTTGGTTATTGTTGATGCATATTACATCCATCAGTCCGTACTACTTATACGTATATAAGCAACTAGTGGGTCACACTGATGATATCATATAGTCTTCTTCGATGATACTATGACAAAAGTAACTCACTTGTAAATGTATAAAACGTTTGATTAGTTTCTTTCCATATGGAATTATCTAATGAAATCCAAAACGATTGTGGCCATCCTCCATCAAAGCCCGGTTTCCATTTCAAACTAATTGCTGAATAATGAACATTTGTTACATTTAAATCTGTTGGTGATTCAGGTACAGCTAAATAAAGAAAAATAGAAAGAAAAAATTATTTTCTTTTGTTTTCATTTCATCAGATGATAAACAACAACGATGAAAATGATTGATCGATAAACTATTAGCATAAAAAAATTCCATCCTGTGAACAATAGGAGACATACGTCCGAATGATATGATAATGATCGAGAAAAGAGCAAACACAGTATGACCAATGATTTGATCTTAACATTAGACTATATGTCAATATACCTTTTGATCTCAGTTGGATAGTTGCTGAATTATATCCTAACTTATTCGTTGCATTACACGAATACAAGCCATAATCTGTGTTTGATTCAATCTGTTGAATAGTTAAATAAGATAATGATTTATTTTGTACAATAGAATATTTATTTGAATTAAATATAACATTATTATTATTAAATCTCCAGGTTACTATTGATTCAGGATACGAATCTATTTCACATTGGAATTTTACATTGGTGGTAAGAAGATCAACAGCTACTATCGAATCAAATGTACGAACTTTTGGAGCATCTGAGAAAGTAAAAAGTTATTTTTGATTATTTCTATAAAAATTTCTCTTACAATTAACAGTCACTCTTGTTTGCGTTTTATTATATTTCTCAATTGAACTTCCATTAGAATATTTCAAAGTATTTTTTACCATACAAATGTAAATGCCCGAGTCTTCTTTCGATACTTTTTCAATAACTATTGAAGATGTCAATGAACTTGTATTTAATTTTTGATGATTTTTATACCATTGATAATAATCAATCGATGGATAAGCATCAACATGACATGTTAATGTCAATTTTTCATTTTCATTTATCAGACCACTTCCATTCAAATGAACCATTGGTGAATCTATAAAAGCAACAGAACATATTTTAAAAAGAAGATTTTTCAAATATTTGTTTTTCATTTTACATTGAACACGAATGTGTACTGATGATTGATCATGTCCAATTACATTTGATGCTAGACATGTATATGCTCCATCATCATTACGTTTGATATTTGATAATGTGAATGAAGAAGAATTAATATCTACAAATTTAGTGGAGAAAAAAAAAAGATTTTTCTTTTGTAAGAATTTGCCTTTAGAAATTAACAAACCAGGAAGTGATACACTGTTCTTTAGCCAAGCCACTGGTTTAAGTATGGGTGGGTTTGATTCAGCTTCACATTGAAGTGTCATATGATCATCTTCGACAACCAGTAGATTACTATTTGAGACAATTGTTTGACCATGACGTAGACGAACTTCTGGTTTATCTATATTTACCAGTGAAAATCAAAAACAATCGATTCTGAAATCATAGAACATCTTTCTTTACATTCAATATTCAATGTATATGTAGTAATCAATGGTTTGTCTAGAGCTTGATTTTCTACGTGACAAGTTAATAAACCATTATGAAAACGTTTTCCCATTAGTAAATTTAATTCACTATACGATTGACGTGCATCATTACGCACGTTATAGAATGATCTAATTTAATTTTTAGAAAAAGAAAGTAAATTTATTTAAATTAAAATACGTATATTTCAATTGTTTACTCGTTGATTTTTATTTGATTGATTAACCAAGTAAATGTTGGTGGTGGATTTCCACCTTGTGTTATGCAAAAAAATTTGCCTGAATGATTTTCAATTAAACTCTTATTTGCTTGTTGTATATCGGGTTTTGATGGCCGAGCTAAAAGTAAAATGTTAGAACAACAACAGTTCACACTTTGGAAAATAGAATAGATGTCAACCTTGATATTGTTGATTAGAATCAGAAAAGAGAGAACAATTAAGAAACGGTCAGACATCAATCAACTATTGACCTTCGCCTTTTCTATTCAATCTCACGGCATAGCAGCTATCCAGCTGTTAAACGGTCGCTCATATATTCCAATCAATACTATCATCGGTTGGATCAGTTTTTTAGATTATGCTAAAATAGCTTCGTTCGAAACATTCTTGATATCGATATTACAACGCAACTGTCATTCATAGTTATTTTCTATGCATACAGCCGAGATAAATACATATGCATAGTAAATAGTAAAAATGTTACATAAAAGAATTTAACTCTACTTACTTAAAATAGTTAATAGAATATTCATCGATACAAGTTGATCAAAATTTTGACATAAATATTTTCCACTGTCTTGTTCTGCTACTGTTTTAACCATTAGATCATATTTGTTGATGATTTCATATTTTTTTCGATCACCATTTATTTCATCGTTAACAGACAAAATAACACCATCCTTTGACCTAGTTGTTAATAGAAAACAAAGTCAACATAAAAAACAAACTCGAAAGCATTTTGTTTTTGCAGTCATTCTTACCACATAACACGATCTCCTGTATTTAATTGTTCAAACCGACAGGCAAGTACTACATCGTGACCTTGTTTTTTGGTAATAGTTTTCGTATCAACAATCTTCGATGCTTGAATCCATTCCATAGCGATAAAGCATAGTACTAAACAAATATTTAACGAAGTATATCTACTGCTTTGGCTTTGGTTTTGTTTTCAATCAAATAGATAATCATTATTTTCTCTGTCACTTTCAATATGTCAAAGATAATTCAATAGTATATGGTATTAATCATATCGCTTTATTCGATCAAACAAAGTGTTTAAAATCAAATTAGAAAATTCACTATGACGATACGAACAGATTAAATCTGAGTACGACAAAAGAAATCTTGACATGCCTTCAATGACATGCCCACTTTTACTTTGTTCCAAAGACTTTTCTTAGTACTCAACAGCAAGTCTAAAATAAAAATCGATGCTGTTCGATAGAGACAATGAAAAGAAAATCATAAAATTCTTGACGTTTTCCTTTTTTGTTGGTCACGTCACACTAATGACTATTGTGTAATCTTAATTTAGCATAGAAGAAAGAACTTTCAGTAGAAGGATGAATATGAACTTACCGAAGATTGTCACTTGGTACATTTGCAAAAGTAAAATGACGACAATCGAATGAATACGTTAATCTGCGTAGCAGTGTGGAGGTGAAATTTTTATTTTGTGTTACGTCAAGTTAAAGTTCAACATAAGAATTTCTATGTATTCTTTTTTCGATCCGAACAAAAATGAATTTGTAAATAAACTAGATGACAACCAAGAGGATCAGCTCGATTGAGAGGATAGAAATGATTATGATTTCTTCTATCCTTTACCAATGATGATGATGATGAGTAAATACGAGTTCGTATATTGAGAGAAATGAAGGAACGGCCACATCCTCCTCTTCTTATTCTTATTCTTCTTCTTCTTCTTTCTCTTCTCTCCTCTCCTCTCTATTCGCTTCTCCTCCCCCTCTCTTCTCTCAAGAGCCAAAATGACCGTTGAATAGAAGAAGAAAAAATGTCAAAAAATAACATGCAAGTCCATTCCGAAACTATCGAACTCTTTAATTCCATTTTCCGACTAACGCACATGTATTTAAATACATATAAAGTCACCTACCATGGCCGTGTAATAATGACGACTAAATATATATGTTACTATAATGGTTGTCCCTTGAGTTTTACATTTCGAATTGTTAAATTGTGCATGTTTTTCAACACAAAAAAAAAGAGAGCAATTCAACATTAATTTGTTCAAGACATTCATTGAATTAATTTCGGGGAACAACGAGTTAAAAAACTTAACCTTTTAGATAAAGTAATGAAATCTGATCGTTTTCTTGTTGTACACGACATGAGCAAATATTTCTGTTCATTTGTTTAACACATATCTGTCGAGCCTTATACATATTTACTTCATGTTGTTAGAAGGAAATTTATTGCGTACAAGTGAATAAATTACTATGCACAGTACTACAATACAAGGTTTCATAATTTCCATGAAAAATGAAAAAAGTAATTTTCAGTCTGCATGACATTTTAATTAGAGTGTCTACCATCACTTAAACCTTTTTTTTCATCGTCATATCCGGATTCATCTTTTTCTATATGGTGACGCCGGCAAATGAATGATTGAGTTGGTGTCATTTCCTACTGAGCATTATTGCTCATATCTTTTCTATTCATGCAAAACAAAATAAAGATTAGAATGATTTGTCAAGAAAATAAATGGACAAATGATTGGTGTTTATTTATATACTCATCAAGGGCGTTGCGATGATTGCGTCAATTATCTTGTGTTTACTTTTTTTGTCAAGATATCGACACTTTGGATGGCATAAAAGGCGGTACTCTATACTGTGAAAGAAAAGCTATATTACAATAAATGAATATCAATTAGCTCGATTGTGTATAATATATGATGTGATTTCATCTCGCTTTTACATTGGTATTCAATACCAGAGATTTGTTTGACATGCACATCTACTATAAAGTAGTTTTTCTTTTATTCAATTAGTTTCAAGATGATGTTTGACATAGTATTAAATATTGTGATCGATGCCAGAATTCAATATTGACCCTATTGAGACTTTCTAACAGTAGATCTGCATAAAATCATATTGAATGATGGTCAACATCAATTACATCGATAATGGAACATGCAATGTTCATTGATTAGTTGAAAACTAAAAGCCACATATTGAATAGATCCAATTAGATTTAGTTATAATTGAAATTGTTCATCTAAATCAAGAATCTTAATTTAGTTATATGTAGAAAGATACTTGAAAGAAAAAACAATTTTGTCATCTTGTTTTTGTTACATTGGCCAAGATTTGATGGATCATTCATTTGTTTTTGTCAGTATAACTAGACATAAAGAAATAGATTAAGATTATGATTATATAGAGACAATAGGTAAACAAGTTGGGGCTCGTCTTTTTCTGTATGTTACACTACGCAATGCATGTACAAAAAAAACATTATTATAATGAAAATTTCGCAAAATATGGCAATGCATAATAAGAAGAATTGTTCTTAGACTCTCACGGCTTGGAGAAAGTTTTAAGGTTTCTTTTACCGTTTAAATAAAATATATTCTATGCCGTTGATAGATTTTTGTCTATTGATTTAAAGAAAGTATTTTTTAAATAATTCTGCTTGTATTTAGAGTGTCTGTTCTTAAAAGACCTCTCGTTTGCTTGATAAAATTCTTATCATTCTAGATGGAAAGTAATCTATTTAAGGCCAACGTAGTAGAAATGTGTTCAATCCGATCGTTTATTACGTATAACTTACTACAGGAAGAAAGAGAGATAGATAGATGCAGAATGAAAGAACACAGCTAGACAGTATAGGGCGCCTTCATTCAAAAAACATACATAATCGTAACTGATTAAATATATTTACTTTTTGTCGAGCATATTGAATTGTTTTGTTATCATTGATTCCAATTTAAAAGCTGTTACAATTGAATGCTTTTTATTTATACATTAGTGAGCGGAAAAAAAGAGTGCGAGCGCTCTCTTTTGAGTATTTTCCATTTCTTTCTTTCATACTGTAGTGCTTTTGCCATTTTTTATGATAACCAATCAGCAGCTGAGTGAAGACTAAATAGTATTCTAAATTCTGTAAAAACCAAAAATGCAGCTCATCTTGTTACTTGATTGATACAATAGTGATTGTTTTTACCAATGAAATATAACTCGACCGTTCAGTGTGATCAATAAAAAAGATTTCTCCAGCAAATATGTCTTCTTAAAAAATATACTATTACAAGACAGGTCACTTAATCAGAAATTATCTATTCAGATATCCAATATGGTGAAGATAATGCTATCGATGGATTGAAAAGAAGGATTTTTCTGTACGAAATCAATAATCTCCTTATTGTATAGATATTGATTGATTCATATGTTTGAACGATTCTTGTAAAATAGCACATAGTAAATTACAATTCAAAAATGAATTTTTACTATTTTTTAATCGTCAATTTATTTGCTTTTTGATTAATACAGTCTCAGAACTTTTAAGCAATGTTTTCCGGCACTTTTCATTATTAGATGCTGATAACTTCATCATTTTAACGCTTTATTTATAAAAACAAATATCTTAAATATTTTGCAATGTGTTATTTAAAAAAATCTTATTAATATTCGATTTTTAAATCGAGAAAAATTTATTTTGAATAAATCATTGATCCATATAGAGAGAAATATAATTACTATCTGTCAAACTACAAAACAGAACGAACTATATATATATATATATATATAAACATATAAAGTGAAAGATCGACCAGTTGAAAATGAGTATTATTAAATAAGATTTGTTGAGGTTTGCTCAATGTTTACTTGTTGTTTAAGTCTATGAACAAAATGAGCTAACTGGTCATTTCGATCACGTAAATATCGAATCAGATCTGCCTGTTTTTCAAGAACATTTTCTGTATAAGTTTGATCTCTAGAAAAATACAAATAAAATAAATAAATAATTCACACTAAACAACAAACCGAAAACCAATTTCATTAGTTGATCCTTGTAATGGAACAAAAGTTGAAAGTAAATCATCGAGTGCTGCATCGGGAAGGTTACGTTGTTTATTGAATTGAATAGTCATAACTTTATATCAAAGGAAAAATCATAAAATTAAAGTCAATCTTATTTCACTTACCGAGATACCAGGAGAGTACACTTAAAATAATAACTACTTGAATAGTAGTTAATATTGCAAGAAAATGCCATGGTTGAAGTGGTAAAATTGATGTTTGATAATCTTCAAGTAATTTAATCATCGCGACGAGAATTGCATTACCTTTAGTAATTAGATTTAAATAAAGAAAATAAAACTTTAATATTTTAGCCTTACCTGCTGAGATGATAATTAAAGGTGTACGCCTTAAATTTCTTGTTCGTCGATAAAAATCAAGGTAACCATCATTTCGTGATAAATCTTGATGATAATGATACAAACTAAATGAAACCATAGATATCAACATTGAATAAGAGGAAAATTAAAAAAGAAAGAAAGATTAAGCATATTTTCATGGGCCAACACGATTTATTTATTATGATGATAGTATTCAGTTAGATCTGGTAAAAATTATTTTGCTCGCAGTAATCTCGTTTATGATCGCACAAACACGCATGTCAAAAGTCATATTCCAAAAAAAAACAGACTGAGTAAGGATCATTTCAGTTATTTACTATTACAATTTTCATTGTAATACTATTAATCCTTTGTTTAGTAAACAACGAAATTATTGAATGCATGCATGTACAGTATAGACGAAGGATTAGTTAGTTTAAAGAAAGAAGAAGATTGAATCTGTAAAAAGTTGGACATTCGAAATCATTTACACTGATTTAAAACCTTGTTAAATACTTCGCTAACATAAGGCTGAAACTTTGACAATAGGAAACGACCTGTTGTTTATGAATCAGCCGTACCCTTTTTTTTATTGTGACAAGTATGATAAACATGCTTTATTCTTTGAGAAGTATTTTCAATCAGTCTTAGTATTTAAATTATCATTTCTACCATAGAAACAATATCGACTTCTCATTTAGAAATATTTTATAATCCTACCGATCAAAAACAATGCTGACAATATAAACACCAACATGTATATATAAGCAGATATTATATGGAGAATGTTGGTCACATATTTTAGAAATTTTTTTATCGTAGCATAAAAACGGAAATAAAACAATCACCATTTCAAATATGATCTACAAATAATATGAAAATTTTTCATAAGTCGACATTTATTGTTTTATTTCCTGTTTACCATAAGTAAAATATGAATAATAATGAAAGGTGCTGTTCGTATTTGTCGAAAATGTTGTTCGATACCACTTATCAATGGAGTATTTTCTGATATGATTTGATCATTTCCAGGTATTGATCTATCAGCAAATGACATTGCCTTGAAGAATGCGAGAAAGAAACGAACAAAAGCAGTTAAATAAATGAATACAAAGAAAAAGCAAACAATTCAACTTACTCCTCCACTTCGATTATTTTGTGGATTTAAACTAACCATCTACAAAAAGAAACTGAACAAGAAATTTTCTCATATAAGAGTATGCATGAAAACAATGTTCTTTTTTTTTCATCAAAACTTAGTCCCAGCTAGAACCCCAAGAATCCCTTTCTTTTTTTTTAATTTCTTCTAAAGGCATATCAACGTATGGATGTTTTTCCACATATTCAGGTACAGTTCCCTTCCATTCTAATAAACCTTCTAACCATATCATTAGTTGTCCATTGTTTTCTAATACGTCATCTTTGTAGATTCGTAAATTATTATTGTCATCATATAATTCAAATAATTTCCATGATCGTGGATGGATGGATGTATAAATTGGATTATCACGTACCTTTGCTTTGTTATCATCAATTAATAGCGTATTATTACGTAGTTCGCTATCTTTCGGTTGATCCATCAACCAACGTTCGTTAATTTCAACATCATCCCATACTGATGACAAGCGTTTAAAAAATACTTTTGAATTCGTTGGGTCTTTTGCTGCTGGATCTTCTTCAATGAAACAATGTTCTTGATTCCACCAAAACAATAAACGAGAACGATCACGTTCATCGGGTAACAATATTTCAACAATAGGTGCAATATTATGATATAGCACAGACGACCATATGGCAACATGAAAACGATCCATTAGCCACATAAGAAATTGTTTAACATTAGGACGTAACCATACAGCAAAATTACCTTTTGGTACGGGTTGGGGTAGATTTCCCATATCGTATTGTTCTTTGAACATAGGTTTACATTTTACATAGAGACTTTTATGAACACGATGAATCAATAGACCATTGAGATCAAGAACTATTAAACGTTTAATATTTGACATAGTTTTGTATAATAATAAACTAAATGTAAAATAATTGTGAAAGAAATGAATTTGAATCGACTGGGAAAAAAATGACTTGATGTTCATGATGAATCATTCGAGAGTTCTTCATTGGTATAATGTAGTAATCAATAGTAAATGATAGATGTCAGTTTTAGAAAAAAAAACTTTCTAGTAAAGATAATGAATAAAATAAGCGTTATCAGTGGTTTACTTTTATTTTACATGAATATTAAATGTTGAATCTAAGTTTATTATCAGGAAATGTTTTGATCAGTTGTTTCAATGACTAATGAATAAAGTTTACACTATCATCATTATTTATGTTCTTTTTTTTCGTATATTCGAGATTTGTGAACTGCAAGCTCAAAAATGGAAGACACACATGTTAACGATGATAACGAACAAATTATACTAGTTCCTCGGCAAGAGACAACATCTTATCACGGTTTACTTGATCCACGCAGACCATATCTTAAATGGATTGCGGTATTTTTCATGTGTTTTTTGTCATTCGGTAAAAAATGAGTGCACTTTTATAGCTCAATCTTCTATGATTGTTTTTCTCTCCCAGGATCTTATTATTGTTATGATAATCCAGCTGGTTTAGAAGATGTGATGAAAGATGATTTAAAAATCTCTTCATCAACTTTTACATCATTCTATTCGTGGTATTCATGGCCTAATGTTGTGTAAGCATTTAAATAATATCAGTTTATATTATCATTTGTAATTGAATAGACTGGCTGCTGTTGGTGGTATATTAATTGATAAATGGCTTGGAGTAGCACGTGGTGCAACTTTATTTTGTGGATTTATTCTTGTTGGACAAGTCATTTTTGGTATTGGTGGTTATTGTCGTTTAATTTGGTTGATGAATGCTGGTCGTTTTATATTTGGTATTGGTGGTGAATCATTATCAAGTGCACAAAATGCCTATGCTGTTTCATGGTTTTTTGGAAAACAATTAAATTTCGTATTTGGATTACAACTTTCATTTGCTCGTGTAGTATGTATATTATGGAGGGTTCGTAGAATAGAAAAAAAAATGAACAATTATTTTTATTGTTAAGGGAAGCTTAGTAAATATGAATACAATTCATCGCATTTATGATTCACTTGATAAAGATGTAACTGGTCCACATCGTATTGGTACAACGCTTTTAATCGCTGTTTCAACTTGTCTAATTTCGCTTCTCTGTGCAATTATTCTTTGGTCATTAGATATTCGACGACGCAAAGTCATCCAAGAAGATAACCCACCTGATCCATGTTTGTATAAAGAATCTATTTATTTTTTTCTATTTCACGAACTGACTATTCTTTTTACTATATTCTAGCTGATGAATTTCATATTCGAGGTATGTCTGTCGAAGAAATAGTACATGCGAGTGTACTTTATCATTTGTATTTTTAGATATTCGACATTTTTCAGCTTCACTCTACTCTGTTTTTATTATTTGTGTATTCTATTATGTTGCAATATTTCCGTTTATTGCTGCAGCTCAATTACTCTTTGAATCAAAATATGATTTATCACCTGCTTGGTCAAATGCATGTAATAGTTTAGTTTATTTCATGTATGTTTAAAATGAGAAAATTTTCAAAGATGAAATAGAAGAATTTTTTATTTTTTATTTAAGGTCCGCAATTCTTTCACCATTACTTGGCTATGCTGTTGATAAAACTGGTAGAAATCTTTACTGGCTCATGGGCAGTATTACAACAACAATAATAGCTCATGCTCTTCTTGCATTCCTTTTTGTTCATCCAGTTGTGCCTCTTGTTTTAATGGGCATATCTTATTCTATATTAGCTGCATCTCTTTGGCCAATGGTAGCTTTTCTTGTTCCCAAAAAAATGTTAGGTACAGCCTATGGATTTATGCAGTCGATTCAAAATCTAGGCCTTGCTGTCATGTATGTAACATTTATGTTTGTATATAATCAACGGAAATTGAAATCTTTCTATTTGATTTTTTAGGAATATATTTACCGGTTTAATTCTTGACAGTTATGGCTATTTTATGCTCGAGATATTTTTTATTATATGTCTTGAAATTGCATTATTAGCCTCTGCATTTCTATACGTATATAATTCGGTCAAAAATGGCATGCTCAACGATTCACCAGCTGTACGACGTGCTAAACAAGAGTTGCTTGATGGCAAAGGACCTGACCCAAGCAATAATGTCTCTGGTGCATCATCGTCACCTGATGAAGACGATCAAAAAGCTATTAACACATAAAAAAATTTATTTTCATCGATACAAAATGTCTTTCAAAGCATTCATTTTTTTCTTTTCTTTGCGTTGTCTGTCTTGATGATTTATTTTTCACATTTAATTATATAAAGAAAAATGAGACGATAGTTTGAATGATTATTCACCTTTTTTCTTGAAGAAGGTTTTAGATTACATAAAAAAAATGTTTTCTGCATTACGATCAAGAATATTTTGTCAGACATGCGGGTCTATTCCTCGTTCATTAAAACTGCTTGAACATCAGTCATTGAATATAAATAATCGTACATACAAGCTTTCTGCTATATATTTTCAACAACAAACACCAAATGATGCTTCATCTTCTCCTTCGTCATCAGCGAAATTATCTTCATTAATGGGTGATAATGAAAATAAAACGCCATTTATATTTTCTAAAACATCAACAGATCCAAAATATACAACTGATCAAACCGACGAAGAAAAACGTGAACGTGAAGCTAAAGCTGCTTGGGATGTACGAATGTTAAAGTATACCAGCTATTTCCTTGGTGTATGGTTGGTTTCAACCATAGGTTATATTATTCTTGTTTGGGGCGCGCCTCAAATTGATCAAGACGGAAATATTGTGAGAGATCAATATTCAGATTTGCCATCATGGAAACAATATATTAAACGATCATTTCGAGGAATTATTGACTATTGGCAAACAATTAAAGATCCAACGAGTGATAAACTTTTACCTGATCCATTGCCAGCACCTTATCAACCAAAATATACATTAGTCATTGAAATGTCAGGAGTTTTGTTAAATCCTGAATGGGCTTATAATACTGGATGGAGATATAAAAAAAGACCTGGATTAGATTATTTTTTAAAAGAAATCGGCTATCCAGTTTATGAAGTTGTTATTTATACAAAAGAAACGCCATGGGTATGTAACAAATATGAATATTATTTTAACACGAAGAATTAAATTTTTTCTCAGATGAATGTTAAATAATCGAAAGAAGAAAGTTAGAATTCATAGTTTTGAGAAAATCTTTTTTCAAGAAGAACTCTCAATACTTCATTGATTGCGCTAAGCGATGTTATGTATTTTTGAGATATTCAAATCAATTTGAACTGATGTGTAATTAAAATATAATATGCTTCTGTCAAAATCTCAACTAGGACTGAACGATTATCTACACGCGAAATAGTTTCCAGAAGGTTTTAGAGATACAAAAGAAAATTTGCGGTTTTTAAATACTATTATAAATAGATTTCATGCCTTCATTTGATAGTTTCTCCCAGTAGCACAGTTCGTTATTCAAGTTTTTATTTATTAAAGATGATTAGAATATATTTTAATTAAGTTGGCAAGGCAAGATTATAATGGAGTGCGAGATAAGATAAGTCAATTTTTTGTCCTCTATTTGGTCGGCATGTCTGAGATAAAAACGATGAGGTAAACATCATAGTTTCATTTATTTTGATGATATGAAAGATACTCAGTATGAATTATACAAGACATCGATCGCGTTCAAATCATTCATTATTAATTATTTATGCAGTCTTCACATTTCGAAAAGCTCTGTATTGAAAAGTCGTAAAACTTTATTTACAAAACAAACTGTATGACAAAGATTGCAATGGTGATATTTTTCAGGGTGCTGCATCGGTTATACAAAATATGGATGGTGATCATCGTATCATGTATAGTTTATTTCGTGAAAATACTCGTTTTATTAATGGAACTCATGTTAAAGTAAAATTACATATTCTTGTTTGTTTGCTTTTTTTCATAAAACAATCATTATATTCTTTTTAGGATTTAGCATGTCTTAATCGGGATTTGAAAAAAATTATTTTCTTAGATTGGGATGAAAATTCTTATCAATTACAACCACGAAATGCTTTACATCGTTTTAAAAAATGGGATGGTAACGATGACGATAGGCAATTACTTCATTTAGCTTCATTTCTTCGAAGTTAGTTACTTTTTTATTTTTTTTATATTTATCGATAATCTGTTTTTTTCGTCATAGTGATTGCTGCGAGTGGTGTTGAAGATGTACGCGATGTACTTGATCATTACAATCAAGAAACAGATCCTATTGAAACATTTTTAATTCGACAACAAAAATTACTCGTATGATTGAAGTCATTGTTGTCGGCTTTTATTAGCATGCGTCCTTTGTTTTTTGTTAAATTTTAGGAAATAGAAGAAGTAAAACGACAGAGAGCAGCAACACAAAATTCACCTGGAAAACCATCAACGGGACTATTTAGTGGTCTGATAGGTTCTAAACGATTTTAAGAATAAAATCACATTTTCTTTGGGTTTCGTTTTCTCTCTCATTATTACCAACAGTTATTCTTTTGTTCTTGATGACTTCTTTCGTTTCGTTGTCATCATTTCTAGATAACGATGAGTGTGCTAGAAATTCGTCATGAATTTTTCGATACTGAAGCACGAAATAATGAACAATTATATCAAGCCTTTTGTAATCATGTTTATTTCGGTCAATGGGAGTTATGTCGGATATGTCTACAAATTTTATTTAATAAACGTTTACAACTTAATACAAATTTAGAAGAATTATTGATTGATATTATTCGAAATCCAACCGCTTATTGGTAAAAATGCAAGAGAAAAATGTTAGATAAAATATAGATTTTTTTTTCTCTAATTTCGTTTAGTACGGGATCGAAATCGGTACCGACACCATTTCATTTTGCTTTGCTTTTGGTCGAAGAATGTCGAATCAAACAGTATTTAGACGCGGTAAGAGATATTTTGATTTCAAAACAAATTAATCGACAGACATCGAAATTTTCTTTCTAGACATTAATTGAGTCACTTAAATATGATGCAATGTATAAATTTCTTTTGGCTGTTGGTGATATTCAACCAACTGCACAAGTTGTTCAGGTAAGATCTTGGTTTTATAACAAAGACTAAAATCAGTAAGAAAATCGAGATTTGATTCGATTATTGTCTCCGAATTAAACTTGAAACATGTTTTTGTGGAATACTCTTTTAACTTGAAATTATTTGTATGACGATCGAATGTATAAAATATTCAAAAAATGCATAGAAAAGGTTTCTTTTCCGTCGACTGCTCTAAATGTTTGTCGTACTAAAACAAAATTCATTTCGTTCTAAATGCTTATCCCTTATAGCTAATGATCTTCTTTCAAATAGTACATTCTCTGTTCTTATTTTATTTTAATTTAATTAAGGAATTTGATCGAATTCATACTGATACTGATTCCATCCCGTCAAATCTTCTAACTGATTCTATGGCTGATTTTCTTGTCGATCTATGGTTAAATGAAACTTCACGTGTTCATGCTCTTATTCGTTATTATTTTTATTCTTCACTGCCATCTATGCATGTATGGTTAATTCAAATTCATAAACGTGCTCTTGACTTATGTTTACAACAATTAAAAAGTTTAAATAATGAACAAGAAAAACGAAATCTTGTTGATTTACTTCTTTCATTACATTTTTATTCGTGTGATACAAATGATTTTCGTCAAATAATGTGTGATACATTGAAAAAGATTGTTATCTATGCAGCTGAAGCAAATAATAACGATGCACAATTGTTTAATTTAAAATGTTTATATCGTGCTGTATTAATCAATGGCGATTTAGCACGTTTTATAAGTGAATTAGAAAGTGAATATCGTCGTGAATTATTAGGAAATGATACAGCCATAATACATTTTTTAAAAAAGAATTCTTTTGAACAAGAAAGCTTTTTTTGGAAAGAAATCTATTTGTATTTAATAGAAAATAAATTAGATTTAATATCATGTATATTAGTAAGTTAAATACATAGTTAACTTTTTATTCTTAATCTATCAATAAATATTATTATTAAGAATGATTCAGTATTAATGGTCAAAAATCGTGACTATTCATCATTTGATCAATTATTAAATATTGAACAATTGACACCATTACATCTATATATATTTCTTCTTACATGGACACACGTACGAACAATAAATGATGCTATTGTATTACATGATGCGATTAATCGATTGAAAACTGAAAATTGTTTTTTAAGTAAATGCTTAAAATTATTTCAATCTCATACTGAGTTTATAACATGGCTATATAATGTTCGACGGTAAGTCAAACATATTTATAACTGTTTTTTTTTATTGAAATTAAAACGATATTATTTTTATTAATTTATTCATCTTTATTAGAATTGATCTGTAAGTTCGAGTTGCTTAAAATATTTAATTAATTGAATCTATTGCTCTGTGTTTAAATTCATTTAATTACTTAATTTTGTTTTTCATTTCAAGGAATTATGATGGTGCATCAGCTTCACTGAAAATGTCGGATTTACTAGCCCTGTTACATACAAGTTCACCTCTGTCGCTCATGCATCGATATTTGGATATAGATACAATTGATTCAGCAGACATTTTGAAAAAATTAGAAGAAACATCGGTAGATATCGATGATGACAATGAACGACGAACACAAAAGAAACTACGTAGGTGTTTTTAAAGTGATTGACCATATTTCGATAAACAAACATATGAATATTGCTTAAAGAGTAAATTCCTTTGCCTGCTTTACTATTTCTTAAACTTTATGAGTTTCAAACTTTCAACGATTCGTGTAAGTCTGAAAAATTCTTAGCATAAGGAAAATTTCAAGTCGACTGTTGAGACATTCTATTTAATAATTCCATGTTAGATTTATTCTGAAATATGTCGAAATGTTAAAATGAATACGAATAGGAGCGCATTGCCATGTATATGCACGAGTTTTCATCTGTATCTTTCAACTAACTCTTTCTACGGAAAGCTGACTTAATTTGAAGTAATACTTTAGTTGTATAATTTCAGTAGTGATATCCAAAATCGATTACGTTGACTTTTCTTTTCGATTTTAAATAGGGATTATGCACATCATCGAAATATTTGAGCCCAAGTATATCAATGAACAACACTCCATTTTCACTTATTTCTTTTTGTCTAAACATAATGACTAGTATTGTAATAAAATCTAGCATCCATTGGAAAACAATCAATTGTATAGCGATGAAAAAGTTGAGTAGGTTTCTTTGTCAGCCATCTATAGTTCATCACCGAATTAAATATAGATACGTTATACAAAAGAAAATATTTTTTAAAGTCTCGATAGTTCAAAAACAAAACATTTTAACATGTACGTTGAATTACATTTAAAAATATTTTCAAGGTGCATAGTTGAACTAGAAGATCCGATTGAAATTACAAATTCTTTGACTCCTACTTTATATCTATGCGCTTATATAAATCTCAATGTTAACTATTTCTTTTAGCAGTTCGTTTTGAAGATGATCCAAAACGTGATATTCCATTACCTCGAGAAGCTGCTTGTATGATATTTCTTGGTTATCTTTCAATCAATAGTGTTGTTGAATGTATTCTATCGCCTGTTGATAGTAGCAATAATAATAATAATCAACCAGATAATGATTTATTTGCTACTGCACGTACTCATTTAACCAAAATCTTTCCGTTACGTTTTCGTCTTGAATTACTAGAAAATATTTTTTCACTTATTTTTCTTCAACAAAGAGAATTAAAAGTTGGTGATACAGTTGAAGTGATTGAGCGATCCGTAAATGCAGCATCATCATCTCTATCACCATCAGAGAATTTATTTTCATCGATACGAAGTAATCTAACCAATGATAGTTTTCATGCATCAAGCAATGTTAGTATTAGAACTCAACTATCAGCTAGAAGATTTCGTAATAATTTTGATGAAAACACAGATGATAATGTATCTGTATGCAGTAGCTCAATGAGTTCAGTTGGTGCATCGCATCTTCATTCATTAAATCGTACTGGCTTATTAATTGATCAGCAAGTGCTTCATAAATTATTGTCCTTTCTTCGAGATCAACTGTCCGACGTTCGTACACTTCATCAAAAAATAAAAGATAAAGCAGAAGATCGTTATACAGTGACTTTTGAAACATTATTAGACAAATATTTTCAAGGATGTTCAATTAGTACAAGTGAACAATTTACTAGTCGAGCTGGAAAATTAAATAAAACTCTTAGTGAAACATCATGGAGATATCAACTATTAACCAGTGATACAAGTGGAACATCATCGCAGGAAAATAAAATTGATGGACAAGACAATGATGATAGTTTAGTAAGCAATTCTAGTGTAAAAAATTTAATCCTTCCCGTTCGTAAGTTAGAAAAAAAATTATTCTTTCAGCTCGCTAAAGCTTTTCGTCTTATTTAAAACTAGCCCGCCGAAAGAGACGACGATCACGTCATTCCGACAGCAGCGTATCTAGGTAAACACAAAAGAACATGTTTTGTGTAGAAGGGCACATATTTTATAAATGATTTATTTAGTGTTACATCATCAGTATCAACGCATACTCCAAATAACAAAAAATCAGCACTAGTATCACAAATTCTTTCTAGTCGTGATAATTTATTAGCTATCTGTTTAAAAGAAGGAAAAATTACTGAAGCCAATGAAGTTATTCGAGTAAGTTCTCTGCACAAGCAACTGACAATTGAATTTTATACTATCATCTTTCTTTTTGTAGTTATTCAGTATGGAACATCATCCACTTGCTGTTGAAGCAAAATTTAGTAAATTATTTCGTGATACAATTAATAAATTATCTAATTCCTATTCATCATCTGGTTCTACAATTGATAATTCATGTTCAAAATCGGTTTTAGCTGGTTTGGCTACCTTAGCATCATCAGCTCTTGATAACACATCAGTACAAAATGATATAGGTCCATTGTTAGAAGCTGCTCAATCGTCAGATGTTTCATCAACGTTACCAACGTCAAACTATTTTGATCATGAACATTTCGTATCTTTAACATTATTTGATTTAGCAATAAATGCACCAACAATTACAATAAGTAAAACATTACTTGACTTAGCTCAACTTCGTTTACCTATTCCACGTTCAGTATTTTCATCAAATAATACAACAAATAATAAAAATTCAACAACAAGAATAAAAACTTTGAATGAAATGATAAATAATTATATTAATTTAGCTAATTCATCCAATAGTTCATTTTATGATTTATTACTTGATGTTACAATACCATTGGATGGGCCAAAAGCAACAAAAACTATTCAATATTATAAGAGACTGGATGAACATTGTCGACAATACTATTCGAACGAACAAAATCGAATATCAATAGAAAAGCAAGTTCAAATGACTGGAGAATTCTTTGAAAATGATCCGCATACAAAATTAGATTTAATTACATATATCAGGTAACTATACAAGAATATTTAAACAGTAGTATGTATGAAAGATAAACAGAAATGACAATAACTTGAGTCTTCATATTGTGGAAAGTCAATGTGAATGTTATTGATTTTCACTTATAGACTAAACAGAAAGATTGCTTGATTCCGTCTGAACGCTTTAAATAGCAGTAAGAAATCCGTATTAACCCATTTTTCACTGGAAGTACTGAAAATGTTTTCGTTTCAGTTTCAATTAAAATCAAACAGTGAAAAATAACAGAGGTCTCTCAATTCAAAAAACTTTTAAATTGACTTCAGACCTTTCCTTTTTTCAAAATCAAATCAATAACTTGAAAATCTTCCTACTTTACTAAACGAATTATTTGTCGATTAGAAATGCTTCCAATCAAACAAAAGTACCATCGACTATTTATATAAATTATTTTTCAATATTTCATACGTATCTACAAAATTTTCGTATTCTCCTTGAAAAATTTCCATTACAAGATGTAACAAACGATTTTGATCTTTTGCAACATTCACCATTATCACTTATTCATCGTATCGTCGCACGATCAAGTGATATTGATTTAGCTCAATTACAATTTATGACAACAAAATTAAATATTGACATATCACTTGCTGTTACTCTCAATATAATCCGTCCATTGTTTGTTGACAAAACAATGCCAACATCATCATTAGCTGCAAACAGACGTACTACATTGTTACAACAACAGCCATTAGATATTTTTTCATATTGTCAACAATATCAGACACAACAACCATCACCATCAATGTCAAATAGTAATAATAAGAGACAATTGCGACGGTCAACAACATTTCTTAAACGTCTAGCTAGTAAATTAGATGATTTTCAAAATGAACCGAATTCTTTTAATGAACATCCAGAAAAATTTGTTAGAACATTATTGGCTAGATTATTAGATTCTATTAAAAGTAAGTTAATAAAAGAATTTCTTATACTTTTCTATTCATACTAAACATTATCTAAAGACGTATGAACGATATTCAATAGCTTTCTGAATTTTGTTTTTTTAATAAGCCTTGACATTTACAATAAAAAGTAGATTACGTAATCTTATTCAATTGTCTAGGAAACAGAAAATAGAGTAGATATAAACGTGTTAATATTGATGTCGAGTTAATTGCAACTGAAATCACCGATTATATCCATATAGAATAAAGATCTAGCATAAAGAATATTAATGATTCAATGAGTTTAGGGTTTGGTGGAAAAGACAGAAAGGGAAAACGTCGAAAAGGAAAATGTCGAAAATTGAGTTTTTTGATAATTTTAAAGAAAAAGAAAAATTTATTTTCTAAATTGGTGTGCACATATACGTCGCATCTATGTTCAATACAAGCCCAATACGTTTTTGATGAGGACATTTTATTGCATGTGAACTTATATTGGTTAAACACTAGTAATGGTTTATCTTTATTAGTCGTTAAGAATGATATTTAACTGTCCATTGTCAACGATTGAAAAGAAAATTATTTGTTAGTTGTTTTCGCTAGATTGATTTATATATATGGTATACGCTAACAATGAACAAGTATAGACTATAGACGAGGAGGACAACGAATTTAACTTATCCCACTAACAACCAATACTAACTCAAAAAAGAATTTCGTTATCTATAAACATCTTTTTCATTCTACGTTTTCCTTTTCAAAATTTTTCTACTTTTTCCTCTAGCAGTTTTTCTTCGACACTTTTATTAATTATACTTTTTCATTTTGGCATTTTCACCTTCTGCAATTACCAGTTTCGGCGTTTTTCTTTTCTGCCTTTTCCGCCAATTCGATTGAGTTATGACTAACAAAGTAGTCACATTTTACTGTTTATATCATAGGACTGCGCAATAATCTATTACAATAGAAGCAAAAAAGAAACGAGTATTCTACTGGAATTCTATCGATCTGATCATCTAAGTTTCTCTGTAAAATTAGAATGCAAGAAACTGTATTACATGGAAAAATTCACTTCCTATTCTATTATCTGTTAGAAGACAACAAATCGATCCATTTAACATACTAACCATTTCATAGTAAATCATTGACTTCGATCACTAAACTTAAGCCAACACACTTTCTGAATCTACTCATTTTTATTTAAATAGAAGTCATTCATACAACTGGTCATAATCATATGACAATTGAAGACATCGAAAAATTACTTACATATGATCATTATGATGATATTGTCAAGGCTTTACCACTGTTAACATATGTTGATCTTGATCGTTTAAAGACTAATGAAGAACGTATTTGTTTTTTTACAAATTTATATAATTTTCTATTAATTATATCTCATGTTGAACTTATACGAACAAAACTTACACAAATGACAACAACAATTATATTTCGTAATGAACTCGAACGACTTTTATTTATTTTAACAACACACATTGATATTGGTCAACTTAAACAAATATCATTATATGATATTCGATATTTCATATTAAAACAAAATGGACTCGTTGATGGTCTTAAATTAGATTTAGATCCAAAAGGGCCATTTTATCGATATGCACCAGTAATGAATAATTATCAAAATGTCAAAGTAGGTTTATTATTAAATGATTGTACTTATTCATCATCACCATTTATTATTTTAACACCTGAATTGCTTAATGAACAACTACAATGTTCGACAAAAGATTTCATTGAGAAATGTATCGTAATTAAAAAAATAGAGATAGACAATTCAATACAGATTCGTTTGCCAAGCGTTCTTTACAATCAATTTGATCCAAGCACAGACGAAATTATTAAATTTATTCGAGAATATTTATTAAATAGCGATCTCACATCTGCAATTAATGGTAAGATTTGAAATGTTCTTTGAATAAAAAGTCGCTCAAGTGTAAATGTCTGAAATACCGACTAAACATTGGATGTAAACTTGAACACATCCCAATGAAACACCATTAGCTCAGATTCTCGTACATTTGATTTCAAAATTTTAAATTTGCACTCTGATCAAGACTTTTTGTTGCACACCTCGATTCGAAAGTTAAAAAAGACTTCTCGATATCAAACTAACATAGTCATTTTCAATAGGATACAGAAAAAAGGAAAGTTGACTAATGGAACTCAGTGCTAAAACTAAAAATCTTTTTTTTTAACTATGTTCTAATATCAATGTCGTAAACTAGTTCTGCGTTCTTCATCTTGGAAAATACAAGCGCTTCTATTAACATTTGTTATGCTTTCTTTTTTTTTTTTTAGAAAATCTCACTATAAGAACTGAAGTGATTCCTTCTCTAAACGATTTTGCAATAAGTTTCGATTATCGTTTATGTTCATCTCAATTCGAACCTTACCAAGGTCGACGTCATCGTCGTACAAGCTCGTTCCCATCATTGTCTACAATTGCAACACTATCGTCACCTATTGATTTTCTTCCTCAGTCAGCAAATTTGCCTAGTCATCTCATTGATTCTCGTACGATATCATTTGTTCAAGAAAAATCTCCTGCATTAGGCCAAATTCTTCAAATTTATGTTCAATGTATTGTTCACAATAAACCGATTCAAAGTGATAATACTCCATTAAAAAATTATTTTACAAGTCTATTATTACCGCCAACGTTAATCCAATCAACATCATCGATCGGTGATGAATGGTTTCGTTCGATTGTCTTAAATGATTTAACATATCAATATGATCTTCTTCTTTATCTATGTTCATTATTATGGAATGATGCTAAATATACTGAAATTGTTGAACTATTCGATTCATTATTACCGTCATTTATTGTTCATTCACCATATTTTCAAATCTTACGCGATCTTGCTCTATTATCTTTAGTTAAACAAACATCTGAGCCTGATCGTGCATTTAATTATGTACGGAAAATTCATGATTGTCATTTATTAATTCATGGAACATTAACATATTTACCACGTTTTGATGGTCCGACATGTTTACAATTACTTCAGCTGTGTTTAACATCATGTAAAAAAACTCACCAAGATTATATACCATGGATACAAGAGCGTTTAAGTATAATGTATGTTTATAAAACGTTATGTCTTAGTGCGTTAGCACAATTTAATAAATGTATGGAAAAAATATCTAAAGACGATGGCCAATTAAATATGTCAATTGAAGATATGGCAACGAGGAAAACATCATCAAAATGTTTAACATGGCAACATGCAGAAGAACATTCACAACGTGATCCACTAGCTGTAGTTGAGATGTTTATTGTTGAAAAACAATTTGATATGGGACACAAATGGCTAACTTTATTGAATAATTATGTGGATGAAAATGTAATTAATTGTGTACGATTGAAATTAGTTGAAGAACATATTAATTGGTTATTAAAAGAAGAAAATATTGGAAATGGAAATAAGATTTTACAAATTATCGATACAATTGAAAAGCCGAATGATAAATGGCGTTTATGTACGGAATTAATTGAAGATCTATCGAAAAAAGCATTAGTTACACATACGAAATCAATACCTTTTTCAAGATTATTTATTAAATTTCGTCTTATACAATATATGTTAGGACATTTTGAAGAAAATTCAATACTGTTTCGAGACGATTATGATAGATCAAAATTATGTATTTTAGTTACTGGTTTAGCGTTATTTTTTAATTGCATACCATTAGAACAAACAGATTCATATGTACAATTAGTTGGACAACCATTGTTAATTTTCGAACAATTGTTAATGAATAGTTCAATTGATATTGCAAAATTAAGCATTGAAACATTAAAAGTTTTAATTAAAAAATATTCCCTAGATAATATTATAAATATCAAACAAATCGATCAAATTATTGAATTTTATACAAAAAAAAGTGTACGATTAAATGTGGTACAATTAAATGAAGAACAAACACCTACTGAAAATAAGTAAATAGAAAAATAAAGATTTTATTTTAACGGACTATTTTGAAAGACTGTTTAGTCAAAACACAAAGACATACACATTGATATCATACAAATGTCGTAGTGTACGATAGATTCCATAGGTATCACAACGACTGCATAGAGAATTAATTTAAATAGTATCGAAAAATCTGTGAGTTGGCCATCGCTAGAAAGTCTGATATAGACGGCAATAGGTGATTACCAATGAATAAAAACGTAGATTATGTGTCTCGTAAAAAATATTCTTGTGAGAATCCTATTTCGAAGAAAAAACATATTTTAAACTCTTCGCGTTTGGTATCGGATAATCCTATACACTTAACTATTAAATAAAAAGATCGACTAGCTCCGCTAAAACAAACAGAATATTTTAATGATTTAAACTAGAAAATATTATACGTAGAAATACTTATGTCCAACGCTAAATGCTACATCCGATAACAAATAATAAATGGTGTTTGCGACTAACTTTGGTTTTTATTTCTCAATTGAACATCGAGATTTGAAAAACAATCGATGTCAAATAACTCTACGCTAATGAACAATCCGCATATGTTTGGAACACATTAATCATGAGTTTTCTTTTTTGAACAGTTAATCAGTACATAATCGAATCATCCTAAAATTGCGATACACAGTTATGTCTAGTTGTACCCTGTTTCAAATATCGTTTTTCAGTTGCTAGTTCAAAGATATATATTCATAGAAGCAAAAAAGTTAATTTCTTTTGAATCTTCTTTAGATCTGGCCTTGCATCGTCTCCTGCTTCGCAAATTGAAACTCGTCGTTCATCACTAATCTCACCTTCTCAAGCAAGTCAAAATAGAAATACCCATGAACCGTCGCCATTAGGTCGTCGAAATAATAGTAGTGGTTCAAATAATTTATTGAATAGCCTACGTCAGCGTATGTCATCTAAATCTGTTTTAACATCTTCAAACGTAACAGATGCTGATCAAAATGTATCAACGACATCTTATCACAATAGTCCAGTAATGTCCAGTTCAATTCCAATAAAAGCTCAACAACAACAAGCAACGTCATCATCATTCTTTGATTATCTATCATCATCACTTTCTAATCGATCGAACACCAATGAACAAACACCAAAAACAGCAACACAACCCATGCAATCAAATGAATTCATACTTCCAGCAGCAATACCAGCAAGACAATTGTGGATATCCGACGGCGAAGTGGCTATTTGTATGTGTTGTAATGAAGCTCAATTTTCAATGTTTAATCGTCGTCATCATTGTCGTCGTTGTGGTCGTGTTGTATGTAAAGCATGTTCACAGCAAATGACAATAATTAAAAGTCGTCTGGAACGTACATGTAAAGATTGTTATCAACATATGCAAAATAATCCAACACCAGCAATAAATACTCGTCAGGAAACCAGCGCTTCAACAAAAAAATTTGAAAATCTCCGACAGTAATTTATGATTTCATAATTTACCCTTGAGTAGAATTAGAAGATACCTGCTAGTGGTACAATCGGATATAATATGATATTGAAACAGATCAATAGTCAACAGAGAGTAAAACAGGATTGCTTCTAATCTTAATAATTCGATAATGGTAATAGGCAATAGTTTGCAGGTTTTCTTTAATTCAATAGGAGAACTCTAGACAGTTTTAATAGTGCTTCAGTGATCATCTGAATCGTACCATGGCGAATAGTTCGAAATTCCTTCAGTCTAACGAAGGCATCAAAAATCAAATAGAACACCATTTCAATTTCTTTTCATTTCATTCATAACTACCGGCAACAAGCTATGAAATTTTTTGCATTAGAGTTTGACCTGTAGATCTGATTTCAGTTGGATATTCATTGTACAAGCTCTTTCTCTTTGATTATTGTAAGTAGGCAAAGAAAAAAAACAGAGAGCTCGCACAATTTTAGGCATTCGATCAGGTTATATATTTATTAATTTTTAACTTTAGCCTTGCAAGACCAATCAGTATCTATAAACGACAATCTATCAGTCAAGTTTATTTAAGTAATAATCGACAATCCGAATTAGCTGCCAATCAACTTCTATTAGGTACATCACTTAGTAACACTCCAACTGCTGCTGAAGACCAAACTTTTATACTCAGTTCAAGTTTTACGAATACAAGTCCATTTTTAAAAACAAATAAATTAAATCGTCGAACATCTGTTGACTCCATTCAAAAACAAGACATCAATGATATTCCAATACTACCTGTTATTAATGATCAAGTTCATCATCAACTAACAGGAACAACAACAACTGATGAGATTCTACGTAATGATTTTCACTATGATCAATCGCCAAGTATATCTTTATGCTTATCACTAATTGAATTGCATTCCGATCAATATCAATGTGGTAAACTATTAATAAAACTATGTGAATATCTATCTGAACAATTATCAACGAAGCAACGTAACAATGAAATCGATTATGGTCTAGTATTAAATATAATAAAAAATCTATTGTTTACGGCGAAAATGAAATTAATGACAGGTATTATAAATGATGAGCAATTAGGAGAACAACAAAAATTAATCAGTTCATGTGATATATATAATAATCTTGTTGATATTTTGAATCGTTTGAATATGGCTAATTGTTCACTACCAGCTTTAAATGATCTTTTACAACAAGATACGTTGAGAAAAGTTCGAAATAAATTATTGGACGATGAACGATATCAATTGGCGATGGATATTTCAACACGGTGTAATTTAGATACACATACGATTTGGTTTCAGTGGGGAATGAGTAATTATGAAATTTTATTTTAAAATGAGAAACTACTATTCTGCAAGTTGACATAAAATAGAGATAATCATTTGTACAGTTATTGTTAGAGAGACTAAAATTTACCTTAACGTAGAGTCTGGATTTTTAGAAATGAAAAAATTTGGCTTTTTATTCCTTGAGAAATTAGAAATTTTCTATATAACTCAAGCAAGCTGACGTCAATATATAATCACCAGGCTGGCAAATGTCCACATTTTGTTTTCTTTCTATCAATGCCTTTAACAAATGCAAAGTATTCGTGTTCTTTTTAATTCATTCAAATGCAAAACAAAATCATCGTAAACTTGTTTCCATTTCTTATATTGCGTTTCTAATAACTAGAAAATATTTTTTACTAGTTCTTTAAGTTGCTCCCCATAGTTCGATTCAGCATGAAGATTTTTTAAAAGCATATCCAAACTATATTTGCCAGCATTGCGTTTCGATTGTAAAACTTTCCTTAATTTCAATTCTTGTTATTTCTGTATTCAATAGCTTATCTTCGCATTGGTCATTATGAAGATGCGCGTGATAAATTTGATAAATGTCTACAAAAAAATATTGAAACAACTGATTTACTGCCAAAACAACAACAACGCAGTAGTTTAAGTCAAGAAAAAATTCTCAACGATATCATATCATATCTTGAATCATCACATTCATTGAAATACTCTATGAAATGTCAATATCTAACTGAACAACAAACTCGACAAGCCGGTCAAACACGTACTAGTTTAAAATATCTTAATAGTCTTTCGACAATGCCACGTGTATCGAGTCAACCAAATAAAGGTTAATGGATTTTGCCTCAGTTCTCTGAATTCAATAGAATAGATTTTTCTTTTGTTTTCTAGTGATTCAAGATGAAATCTTGTTCTATTTAACAACTTATAGTGACGATGCTCATTTACTAGATTATTATATTCGTCATGAATTATATACTCAAGCATTTGAATATAAATGTTCATTAGCAGTATTTCGTGATCATATTTATATTCCATTATTAAAACGTAATCACATAAAGCATTTATTCAATTATGTATCCTTCACGAATAATTATAATTCATTTGCACATCATTTAAAATTTATTTGTACATATTTAAAAGAACAAGAAATGCATCATTCGCTACAACAATTACAATTATTTATGAATGATTTCACTAATGCAGCATTTACATCGATTCAATTGTTTACTTTAAACCGAACAACTTATGTTGATTTATACGAAAAGCGCTTAAGTCATTTAAGAAATGCTTTAGACTGTTTTCAACAAGTAAAAGCTGATACAGACCAAGCAATGATGAAAATTCACAGGTATGACACAAATCGTTCTATTCAGTTAGCCAATATATATATATACACGTGTGTATAATAAGGAAATCTTATTGTGTGAAATCTACTTTATTTAATAGCTATCACGTTAATATTACTAGCTATTGATTATTCCAAATTCTATACAGTGAAGAGTATAAAATCTCGAAAAGTTATATTTTGAAGATTCTTTTTTTCAATGTCGATAGATAGAAAGACTTGCCAATTATATCTGTTATCACCAAAAATTCTCGAATGAAGATCTGCGTAAAACTCAGACAGCCAACATTAGATTCTGTTTTCTATTTGATGTTTTTAAGAAATGATTTTTTCTGATAGAGCAAATAAACTACAATGATGAGATGATATGTTCCCACTTCTCTATAACTATCTTTGATGGAATTGTATTTAACTACCAAAGAACTCGAGAAGGACTTTCTCTCTTCGTCGAATAGGTTTCTAAATAATATCTTTAGAATTTAAAATTTTTTTCTATATTCACGAAATAATATTTTCTTTCTTGATTGTAGTACTACGGGTAAAATTGATCTTCAATTGGAACTAACTCGATATATTTTTGCACAATTAAAACGACTTAATAACAATGGTTCAAATATCTTAGTTAATTGCCCAACCTTATTTGATGGAAAAGAATCAGTTATAAAACTTATCACAGCTTTAATCACAATATCCGATACAATAGCAAATGCATTGAATTTCATAAATAAAATAATTAATGTATGATTTGTTTTTACTTTTGACTTCTATTTACTTTCAATATTTGAATTTCTTCAAGGCAATGAATTTTACGCCAACGGAAGTATTTGTACCGTGTGCTGAACAAATTGGTAAACGTCGTGATTATCGTTCTCTTCAACAACTACTTCAATTGATTCGTGAAAATGGTTATACTGATAATAAATTACATGATGATATTATTGAAAGTTGTGTTCGACAATCGGGTTCTGATGTTGAACAAGTAAAACCAAATAGTTAATGTTTTTTATACAACTTTTTTGTATTTCTAGAGTCGAGAACAAGATACATTAATTCAAATGATTAAAAATGATGATACTCGTATTAATGTTTACATGGCTGTTGGTAAATTACGTGCTGCTTATTTAATTGCTATTCGTCTTGGAAGAGAAGATAAAGTTCGTTCGATTCGCGACGATGCACAAAAGAGTGGTCAAACAGCTGTTTATGATATATGTAAAAAATGGTTAGAAAACCGAGCGAGTGAACAGTGAAATCAATCTAGTCTTTCCATAATAAGCTGCGACTAATATTTATTATGTTTTAACTTTTGATTATAAAATTTCGTTAGGTGATTTTTTTTAAATATAGTAATATTATCTTTCTTTTTGTTATAAAGAAATAAAAATCGAATATGATTTTTAAAAATTATTGTAATTCAGTTAAGTATTAGGCCGTTTTTTTTTATTTCAGATGTTGGCAGATTTTTTAGAGAAAAATGATATTAAAACTTTCAATCGTAAGTTTGATTTTATTTACTATTTTTGGGATACTTATGTCAAGTGTTACGGAATTACGCCACTAAGATTATTAGAAACAATGAATGATCTCTTATAGAATCAAAATGTAGCAGTATATGAAATGAATGACTCACGTTTTTCGACGTTTAGGCAATATCGTTCGTCGGCATTGGTGTAGAATTATGCTGATATTTGATCTGTATCAATTATAGTTGAATGGTTGGTTAGCGTCTTGTAAATCGCACTGATCAGACCATTGATGTTCAATCATTCCTGATTTTAAAAAAATAAGATTTAACTTTGATATCGCTCGATAATGAACATTACTGATCACCGTTTATTATTGTTTAATCTAAACTTCAATACAATTAGATTGAGTTTTATCTCGACATTTCCAAGCATACTATGTGCATCGTTGAGCATCGAAACAGGGATGTCCCCGATTCGGTCCTAATTGGAAAAATGTTCTCTCAATTGGGTCCTACCCCAGTTCGGTCCTATCTCAGTTCGGTCCTATCTCAGTTCGGTCCTATCTCAGTTCGGTCCCGTAATTATTTCTCATTTCTATTTTAATATTAATTAAAATAATTCATGATTATATATCAAAGAGAAGAGAATAATTTATATCATAAAGAATAACAAGACAATTAAAAAATCTATTAACATATAGAACTTATAGACATCGATATTAATTCAAAAAAATTGTTGTTTTACTACTTCTTGACTAATTTTGTTTTAACAGCTTCAACCAATCATAATTTCAAAATGAAATTTTTAGATTTAAATAGGGTGGGTATGAACATTACGGTAGGCTTATTATATTTATATTTATAAATCACGAATACACTGACAGGGACCGAACTGAGATAGGACCGAACTGGGGTAGGACCCAATTGAGAGAACATATTTCCAATTAGGACCGAATCAAGATACGACCATCGAAACACTATCCAAATATCTATTATGGTCACCTGTCAACAAAGATTTCTGAGAGTAGTATTGTCCGTAAAAGAACTAAAAGGAACTTCACATCGTGTTCAGTTAATTTGAAATCTGCAGTAAAATGTAACGCATTTTTTCATTTTACTCAATTCTCCTCTCACGATAGCGAACTCTATATTTATTAATTAATTTATAACAATGTTTAGAATCCATCAATGCTGATCAAATTGATTTATTAAAAGGCAATCTAAAACAAGAAATTGATGATAAAAAAAAACTAATTCATGAATCATACATAACCAAAATTAAAGATATAAATAAAATTAATTCACAAACTGCAGAACTTATTAAGCAATGTGAAAAATTAGAACTGAAAAGAAATGAATTAACTAAACACGTTGAAGATTATTCACAATTAGAAAGTCATGCACGTCATGTGAATTCGAATTATCATCAAGTCCATCAATTAAATCAATTTATTCATGGTATTAAAGAATTAATTCAATTACAAAATCACATTCATGGTAAAAGAAAAACAAATATATTTGAAAATTTTATTTTTTCAAGTATCTTACTTTTAGATAGTCGACAATTATGTAGAAAAGGTCATTTAAACGAAGCAAAAATCTTATTTGAAACCGTAGAAAAACTAATTAATAATGAATATTTATTTCCTCATTCTACCGATAAATTTTATCAACAGCATCATCCATTGTTTGAAATATTTCAAAGAAATGTTAGGCAATTACGTACCGATATTTGTCAAACACATCATAGCCTATGGAATGATGGTGTTAATCGAACAGTTAAAAATCAATTGAAATTAAATTTGAACTATCTGGATCAACTTTTTAAATGTACACTTTATGATGAAAAAGGAGAGAAAGTATTAGTGGAAAAAAATGCTCAAGCATTTGCTTCATATTTTTTTCAAGGATTTATTCATGTATTAGTAGAGAAAAAAATGAAACTAGTTATCGATGTAGACACAAAAGTAATTTCAATACGAATGGAAAACGACGAAGAAGAAACAGAGAGAAATACTATCGAACAATTTAATAAAACATTAAATTATTTAAATCAACTTTTTGACACATTGAACACTTATCTATTATCAAGAACAATGAAAATTCAAATGTCGAATAGCAAGTAAGAATTTGCGAGAAAGTTTTGTTTTTATTTAGAGTATTGACAATTTTTTAAAGCTAAAAAACTTGTGATTTAGACAGTCAACAAAAATAGAGAACAACATGAAATTTCTCGTTCCAAAGAAAACTAGCTACTTTGAATATTTACAAATAGATTCTTCTTCTATTCTATAGATCCATTCAACCTGTTTCATTGATGACCATTTTTTCTTCCACTATTGTCAATGATTTTATCGAACTTATTCGTGATCATCTTTTGAATGTTATTCCAAACGATTTTCAACACATCGAAATATTTCGTTCATTATTACAAACTGCAACTGATTTCGAAAAATCTTTAATCAAAATAAAATTCTTTTCGTCAAATAAAATGCCGAATATATTTTCTTCTGTTGTCGGAAATATTGATGAATCCATAATAAAAAGTCGGTGTCGAAAGTATCTATTCCAAAGTCGCCAGTTACTACAATCACATGCAACAATTACGACATCGTTAAAAACGATTGAAATCGGTGATGATGAACAATTATTTAAACAAAATGAGCAAGATAAAGAAAAATATAAAAACGAAAATTCATCAAATATTCTATTGTCAACTATTAGTTTAGATGAATTAGATGCAAATATGTTTCGATTTCCTCGTACAATCATTGTGTAAGAATAAAGTCGTCTTCACAGTTTGTTTGTTTTTCGATTTAAAAAATGGCAATTTTTTCATTTTTAAGAGAACATGTTTATGAATATATGCAATCGATTCGAAGCGTTTTACAAGAAGCTGATCAATTAGAAAATTATGGTGCACATTTCTGTGCAACCGCAAGAAATATGGTAGAGTTATTTCATGTAATATACGCGAATTTACATGGAAAAAAAGCACAAGAACTCTCTTATTTAACAGGTTAGAATTTTTCTTCGCGTGATGGATGAAAATGAGTGAGATTATATTTCACGTTTAACATAAAATAGAGTTTCGAGATGCACAGTGTTTGCATGGAGATGAAGTCCAATAATCTATTTATTCATTTGCAGGCTTGAATTTAATGTAAATCAGATATCGTAAATTTTATGAATTCAAATCGATTCTTAATCATTAAATTGTAATTTATACTCATCAAACATGAATCCAGAGCATCTAGAATCTATCTTAAACTCAAGTTTGTCTTCAAATTTACTAATTAACATGAAGTTGCAAGTCGTAGAAATCTTAAATTTAGCTAAACAAATGTATTTTTTACTAAATATTAATGATTAAGTCAGTAATTATTCAAAATCGTTAGTGAACGAAGTTATATCTATCGAAATAAAATAAGCCTAAAACTTCTACAATTCGCATGAAAACCTTCGGTACAACTGAATAAACGAAATAAATAGTCTCATGCATTTTCGATTAGGAATGTGAATAAAAATAGTATTTTGTTCATTTCTTTTCAGCTTTACATTTTAATACATATATGTATGTTGCACATGAATGTCTTATTCTCGGCGAAGAATATTATCATTTGAAGAACAAGACAGGTGATGGTCAACCAATAACATTTGTTGATTATGTTCCAATATTTCGTAACCAAGCAGCAAATTTACTTAAAGCTCAATTAGACACTCAAAGAGATATACTAACATCTTTTATTAAAGAAATCGGAGGTATGAACTATTTCAAATTTTATTCTTTGCTTTCTATTTTTTATTTCAACTACTGTTTTTATTAAATAGCATTTCGCAATATTGTTGTTGACGATGAAAACCAAGATATGTTAAAACGAGCTATCAGTAAATGTATAATGCACACGGAAACACTGTCTCATAATTGGAAAAATATTTTTTCACCCCAAGTTTATTTTAAAGTTATTGGTAAGCATAATTAAACACAAAAAACTTTTCTTCTCTTCTTATTCTATCTCTTTTGTGTATCAATTAGGATATCTATGTGATCATGTTAGTCATCTTCTTCTGAAAGAAACTTTAACACTCGAAGATATTCCAGAGCAAGAATGTCAAATCATGGTTGATGTTTTTACACAATGGTCAAAATTTTTAGAAAATATACTTGTGAAAGATGAACTGAGTCCTGGTTTAAATGTTCTTGCTCGATTAGCACCAAATTTAACCAGATTTAATGAATTATGTCTTGTTCTAAATAGTTCGTTACAGAATATTGTCGATCGTTGGTTTAATGGACAAGGACCACTTGCTAGTCAATTTACAGCTTTAGAAATCAAACAACTTATTCGTGCTCTGTTTCAAACATCCGATAGACGAGCAGCAGCCCTTTCAAAAATTCAATAAATATTTCTTTTATTTATGTTTGTTTGCTTATCTTGGGGGGGAAATGATCTTATTTCTTGTATTTTCATTGTATTATTCTTTTTAAGATAATATATGGGTTCTGTACAGGCGAGAACTCGAAATAAAAAAGGAGTTACGTATTCCACAGATAGTAATGAAGTAGTTGATTGTTTATTCTGTCGTATTGTACGAGGTGAATCACCAGCTAATCAGCTATGGTATCGTGATGACCAATGCGCAATGTTCATTCCTCGAACACCAGCTGCACGATTACATTTCTTAATAGTACCATTAGTGCATATTCGAAATATCAATTCACTTACAGAAGAACACCGACCTTTACTTGAGCATATGAAAAAAGTATATACGATGATTCGTTTGCTCAGATTTAAAACGAAATAAGATCTTTCATTCTAGGTAGCTATGGAACAACTTCGTGTTCACGCTCAACATATTGGATCGGCTGAAGCTCCGTTATTACCTCTTGCAGCACCACCAGATCAGTATGCATTTAATCGAGGGCATTTACCAGCGTTGCATTCGTCATCTGACGTCTACAAAGATGAGACAACACCGATAGATTCATCGTTTGACTTGTGTTTTCATCGTCCACCATATAATTCAATAGATCATCTTCATTTGCATGCGCTGCAAAAACCTCATCGAGTTTGGTGGAGCCGACTCACGTTTGCTGAAAATGCACCTTGGCATGGATCATTGCATAGTGTTCTTCATCTCTTATCTTCACCGAAACCCAAATTATAATTAATCATATTTGTTGGTTTTCTATTTATTTCTTCAAAATAGAATACAAATATATTTATATAGGCTACAAAATTGGTCTATGCAATTCAATAATCTCCAAATGTATCAAATTTTATTGAAAATATTTCACATATTTATACAAAATCTGACTCGATATGATTGAATTTATTCAAGATTTTAACCGTAGTATAATCAATTAACAATAAAGTTCTATGTCGATTGTGTTTATTTTAAAACGTGATATTGTTTTTTGAAAATTTTCAAATTGTTATGAAGATAAAATAGGGGGGAAATATTTTTATAATCATGTGTGTTTTGCATGAATTCAACAGATTTAAATGCTATTATTCTTTCATCCATATCTTAACGGTGCGAGTGTGAAGGAAGGTTTTTTTCTTGTTGCAAATCTTAGCAGGAGTAGCGAGCTCCCTGATCACAGTTTTTTTTACCAAAAGTACGTGTGTTGCTGTCGAGTCTTGGCAAAATGGAAGTAGCCACAGAAGAGTTTGTATTCAAAGCAAATTGTTGTAAAAAATCTTTCTCGAGTAGGAAGTGTGTGTGTGTATCAACATGACTTGTTTTTATTCTTTTTCCTAGGAAGTTGATTTACAGACAGTCATTATTACGAAGGAATGTTGGCAAATTAAAGATTGAAAAGAGTATATAATGAAGAGTTTTTTATTAAAAAAAAGTTATTCTGAACATTTTCACTGCTAAGCTCCTTTTTTTAATACTTACCGCTACAGTAATAGCAAGAATATTTCGCATTGATCTATAGCTTGTTCTATTGGCAGTAAAGTTTCGAAATTACAATTGTGATTCAAAAAATTTGCGATTCCAGCAGGTAGTTTATTCAAATGGCATATTTAGAAAGACAACAAACTCAAATTCGTGACACAACGTCACGAGCGGATGTACCGAATAGTGATATCGCTAAAATAATGTATTATTTAAACTGCGTCTGCTATTGTATTGACTATAATGACAATGATATTCGTCGTTATACAAACTATGCGAGATGGGCATCCTTATCTGATGAAGAAGATCGTCTAGTTTTTGTTCTTGGTATGGCTCTCAGTCCAGATTTATTCATTGGTAAAGTTTTTTTTTCCAAGTGATGCTCTCAGTCGTGACATGACTGGTCGATTCTATGAGATTAGTCAGATTAATCATCAACTGGTAGTGGTTCCATCGCTGGTCATTGGAGGACGCACCTGTCGAGTCAACAGAATTCTTGCTTACAAACAAGTATGGTTACAAGAAAACTATATTGATCCGATGCGAAGACTAATCCAAAGATTTCGCCCACAACAACAAGCTACGAGATCCTGTTCAATTTCTTGAGTTTTTGTTTTATTTTTTAAAACCAATAATCCCGTTGAAATCGAAAAACTTACTTATATAGCGAATATCTATCAATGTAGTTGTGTCTGTCGGATATTTTTTGTGTTCTGTGACCAGCGGCTAGTCCCGATTGTTTAATGATTAACCTCCTTTGCTTTTCTTGATAACAGATACAACTTTTCGGTGAGTTATTTTGATGATCTAATCGAGACTTTCAAATATACTAAGATAACATTGTGTCATATTTTGCTACAAAACGTATGATGTATTCTCAATGTACGATTCAAATCCACGTTTTCGGCGTTTTTATCAAGCTGCTTATATAAAAATAAACATTAATATTCACTTGAATTATAGTTGGTAAAAACTATACGCTAACCGGAAAACAGTGCACTCTCGTGATTGTAAGTCGTATCGAGTCGATTCATTGACACTGATAGAAATTTATTCTAGCTTCACTACTCGTCAAGATAATTGTATAATTTTATAGTAAGCAGATAAGAAAATTTAAGGACAGGATGTGTTCAACTAAGCGGATGACATATAGTTAAAGACGCAAAACAGAAAGATGCTTGAAAACTCAGCAGATCTATCACAATGTACACCAACAAAAGTATACAATACATCTTGCAACAGCGATAACTGTAGGTCACTAGATATTAAACAACAATATCCAGTATATCAGACAATGTTGATCACCTTGTATTGATTGCATGTCAGAAAAGTATCAGGACATGTTTCTAAACAATACTATTTTGTCAAAAGTAGTTGTATAGCTAACATAACGTGCGTTACTATTTTTGTAAACAATCGTAAGTTTCAAATTCTATTATCGTATTCCTTAGCTGTATGAAAAAATAAATCATAATATTTGCAATTAATTATCCTTTCTGGTTTATTTCTTTTCCATTTTAATTATATATGAAGTGAATAAAAATTTAACCGCTAGCTGGACGATTGATGATTGGTCGAATCCAATCCATATAAGGTGCTATTTTGGTAAATACAGTTGGAAATGCTTGTCGACCACATTCGATAGCATAACTAACTACACCAGCAGCATACCAACGACCATCCTTAAAATACAATAAACCACCACCACTATCACCTTGACATGATCTAAATTTAAAACGAATCTATGATGATAACTAATGAAATACTACTACTAGACGAACCCATGGTCTCTATCAGCAGGTCCGTTATGAGCTGTACAAATTTGTTTTTGAGCTTCATATGCAAAATACATGGAACAATCAGATATGACACGAAGTTGTGCTTGGAGAAGAACGGTACTTGAACTATTCCACATTTGATGTACCGTATTACCCCAGCCAGCAACAAAAACAGTTGCGCCAAGTGGTGGTTCAACAACCTATAACAAATCAGACTATCATTTCAAAATAAATGATGAACACTGATTTTACTAACACTATCAAAAAGACAAATTGGTTGAATGTCTTGTGAAAAGTTTATTGGTGCAGCCAATTTAACAATACCAATATCATCGGTCGAACGTTCTTCATTATAAGTTGGATGTATAATCAACTCAGCAATAGGTAAAAGTTGGCCAGATGTATATTTATTATGTGCACCAACACGAGCAAAATAATTTTGAAGATCATTTGAATAATCTAAACAATGTGCAGCCGTTAATATATGCCATTGGTCAATAATTACTCCTCCACAATCATGGACACCCCTATATTGTAAGGAAACTACCCATGGCAATGAATGGGGCTTAGCTTCAAAGCCGTTGACAATACGAAGTAGAGAATTTACTTGAGGTTGACGAAATGTTTGACCGCATTGCTGTCGTTCTTTTCGACAACAGAAACGAACGCTATAATCTGGACAACGGGATGTTGGTGAACCCATGCAAAAAACACCATTATTATTGATTAGTGTTTGATAGAGTGATGTGTTATTATTGGATTTTCCCAAAACAGAATATTCAACATTTAAAACTTGTTCACAGCGAGCTGCTTCTGCATATGAGTTTCGAATGAATGAAATATCTTCGATATCGTTGCCATTGGTTTGGGGATTTTGTGTATTAAACCACGAAGTCCATGATGCTATTGCAGGGTCACATTCATTATTTGTTGATGATGACAATTCCTGACCAGCGAAAACTTTCGATGAATAAAATAAAAAACAGGCTAGAATAGGAATCAATACACGCATGGTAATATCTTTCTATGATTAGACCAGCTCGAATGTAAATTAATAATACCAAAAAATATCGAATTTTATAGAACATTATATATATATATATATATATATCTACTAAAATATTGATTTTACTCAAATCAAAATAAAATCATACGATTGTTTTTGTCCGCGCATCAGCGAAATTTGATATCGTATGTACTAATGAAAATTTAAATCGCTAAGATTAGACGTAAAAAGGATTAGACTAAATCATTTTCCATTAATTGATCACAAGGAGAAAAGATTGAAAGGATTGCTTTTTTCATGAAGAAAAACAGAATTTTCTATCATTTATCATGCTTGTAAAACAAAAGTTCAAAGTGTAAAACGTCTAATTACTTTTACTTCCTGCAGGTTTCTCATATAAAGTACAAGTTCATATAATCTGATTTTGTACAGTCAAGAATATTGCTTAAAAACTGTTACTTAAGAAATACCTTTCCGAATTAATGCCCTCATAGAAAAACACTCCTAAACAGTGGCCTTTAGTCTTCTGATTCTTCGAATGATGGAGAAAGGCGTGTAGTAGTTGTACAGGACAAAGCACCTTCTCGTACGCATAACCCTCATCTATCATCGTTTTATTTGCACTATATTATTAAAATAATTGCTTTTTACCATCTAGAAGACATAATGCATGTTCATCTAATTATATGTGTAATATCAAAATGGAGATCAGAAAATGTATTCAAGGCGGATTTCTATAGTACAAGATGTTCTAACATTGTTTAAAGTTCACGAATTTATTGTGATATGAACTATTTCACTATGAGTTACATACAAAAACAATTAAGTTTATCTCTAATTTCTGACGTTAGTAACTAGTAAAAATAGATTATATTTTACCAGGATTTCATTTTCCAACTTTTTTGTTTTTCAATTTTTCACCTCCTCAAGTTCGTGCAGAACAAATATTTCTAGTGCAAAATTTTATTTTTCCAAAGAATTATGCACATCGTCAATATTATCTGTCAATAGATCTTTGGATAGCAGCGTCATCTACGATCTACATCATACATATATATATATATATAAGTTAGCAATTGAGAATGACGCACATTTTCACGAAAGAGATAAAAGAAGATATTTAATCTAAAGAAAGAAGATTTTTAGAAAGGCGCGTAATGTCACACCATTTTCATAAATGACATTTTAGCATATATTCACTTCTATTTTATCAGTCTATTTTCTATTTAAGGAAAAGCCTCTCGAATGCAGTGTAATATGTTTGTTTACTCAAAGCAATAAGTAGAAAAGAATTCAATCAATTTATAGCAAATAAAAAGAATAGAGATCACAAACAATTAATCATTAGTCAAACTGCTGTGTCAAAAATTACAAAATAGTTTGTATTTTTAAAATCTACAAACATAATGGATTGTACAATATTAGTATATCCAGGAATTGCCATTTACAGTAAGATCAGTTGTAGCGCTTGTTCGTATGATGTAATTGATTTCTTAGTATCCTCGATGTTCTTCATGGCACCTTGATTATTTAACTAAACCTGAAAATAGATTTGTGTTATAAAAGTACTTTTATGTGTTTTTGTTTTTGTTTCAGAATAAATGTACGAGTTGAATTTGGCACTTTTGATAAAAAGCAAACAAGAGATTTGTTGTGATTATAAAGTTAGTTAAATCATTTTTATGATCATAGATATAATTCACTGAAACATAATTATTTTAAATTAACTCGTCATCTTAAACAAGGTGCTTTTTTTTTTAAATAGTAAGCTATTGGAATATGATATACTTTGCGAGATTGATGTAACTTTTACAGGAACACCTCGTCGAAATTGTTCTTTTTAAATATCAATAAAAGTTGCAGACAGGAAGAGACTAATAATAGAAATCATTCAATAGTTGGAGAAAGTTATTGTTGCAAAAAACTCGATATGACTAATGAATCTCGGTAATCAGTGTTATCAATCTTTAGCAGCTATTGTCTTTTTTAAAATAGTTATTGTTGTGAGAATCGATTTACGACATGAATTTATGACTAATGAAAGCTGTATTCTATTGTATATCGACTAAAATTTTGGAATATGGTGGTCTCAATCAATTATTTCTTTTTATTGACATTAAACCAACAATCTATGTTCTAAATATGTTTTACCTTGATATTCTCATGCAGTTGTTAATAAAGCAGAAGTATTTACAATTATACGTAGGTATACATTATGCTAATCAAATAATGAGGTCTAGATACGAACTGCTATTATTAATAGATGCTTGCATCTTTCGAATACTATACATACATAAATACTCATTTAAGTGAAGTACTCCTACGTCGTTGTACCTTCGCAGTGAAAATAATACATAATGTTTTTATTTTCATTGCTGTTATAATTGCATAAAATCTCCATATATTGAAAAGAAACCGGTCAGTTGAAGTAAACTTTTCTTCTAATAATACTTTGAGTCATTGAATATAAATTTTTTAACATTCTCGGAAGTACGAGAAAATTACACTTGCTATGACGAGATAATTATTAATGCAATATTTTTCTTTACGAGTCAAATTTGCAAGTAGTTGTGTAACGGAAATGCATGCTTTTCTTAGTCATATGTCAATTCATTATCTAGCTGTTTTTGCTACCGATTTAATACGATATAAATTCTTATTCGTAATAATGACCGCAATAAAGTTGATATTTAAAGAAGAAGAAAAACCATTTCATTTAATATTTTTTAAAAACAAACTTTTTTTAGAAGATTTATATTTTAATTATTAACATAATCCACAGCTGAAAGTAATAAATCAGACAGAAAATATTTTAAACCCAAAAACAAGTGCATTTTTGTCAATGATATGAATCATGACTATAGAACTAAGCTAATGCAACTGTAAAAAGAAAGAAAAGGAGCAGAACGGAAAAATATTATATATATATATATATATATATAAGATATGTATTCAGTTTATTGCTTTTTATATGTTGACTCGTTAATAAAATAAGGTGTAAAATAAAGCAGCCATTCTTGACTGAGTATTTCTATTTTGTTGTGTTGCGTAATCTTTCTGACACAAGCGAAACTTAACAAACTAAAAAGTTATTTTCATTCTTTGTGAATCAAGGTCACAATGGAACAGTGAAAACGCTTGGCGGTGGAATGATTAGATAGAAGAAAAAAAAACTTATGAATACTATTTTTGTTTCTCTTTTTTCATCTGTATTCTAGATCACATCTACTTTTTTCTTTTATACGTTCATGGCTGCATGTATTGTTGAAGATTCAGTTTCACTTTTACGTTATTGTCAGACAACAGATGCAATGAAACAAACAGAATCATCTTTTGAAACAAATAATCAACAGTATCCATCTAGTTTTCATGTGAATTCTAGTCAAACGGACTCAACACAACTATTAGGAAATCAGGAATTAACAAAAAAACGACCATTGAATCGAAGTCATACATACAATAGTAAAAACGAGCTAACAAGAATAGTTCTTGACAACAGCTGTTCGGTACAAGCTGTTTCAAAAAATAATAATGACGAAAGTATGACACGAATATTCATAAAAAAAAATTCTTTTTTTATATAACACCTTTGATTTCAAGTATGTTTTCTTTCCTTCATAGCGTCAACAACAACACGAATTCGGCCGACTACGTTGTTGCTAACAGATGCAACAATCGATCGTCCTATTCCATATCTGCGAACATGCTTCAGTCATCCATTGACATCGTCGAGTCGTTTCATTTCAATCGATGATAAAGATCTATCGCCTACTAAATTCAGTTCATTACCCGTAATTACATCTCCACCAACTAAACGTCTTCGACCACAAACATTAACTTTGGCACCGAAAAATCTCTCAGTTTCTGTTCTATCGAAAACAGTTTCACCATCACCATCATCACCATCTTTTAGTTTTATCGATTGTTCCACATTAGCCGATAAATTAAAAGAACACTTTCAAATAATTATTTTCGATTGTGGTTCACCATTTCGGCATAGTGAAAATCGTGTTTGTAATTCTAATCTACTGTGTGTTTCTGATAAAATCTCTCGTAAACGTTTAAAATCTAATTCATCAAAACATTCAATCATCAATGAAAAACAATTGAATGAATGCGATGCAATTATTCTCTATGATGATCATACGGATAATCTTCAAGAATTATCAGCAGGATTAAAATGTGCCTATGGAGAAATTGAACGGTGTCTTACAACAAAACATACTCCAATATTTATTCTTAAAAGTTCATTTAATCAATTTTTTAATCTTTACCCAGACTTATGTGAATCATATTTGTCATCAAAAAATGAATCATCTCTTTCATCAACACCTATTTCACCCGACTTTGATCTTCAACATTATCCTATGACGCATATCATCGATGGTTTATTCATTGGTAGTGAAGCCAATGCTAAGAATCTCGAAGAATTGTCATCCACGCAAATTCGTCATATTGTAAATGTAACATCTCATGTACCTGCTTATCATCCGGACCAATTCAATTATTATCATATATCTGCTGATGATACACAAAAACAAAATCTTTTAAATCATTTTGATCAAGCCTATCAATTTATACATAAAGCAATTGAAAATAATGAAAAAGTTCTTGTTCATTGTGTTGCTGGAATCAGTCGATCACCGGCTATAGTTATTAGTTTTCTAATGCGTTATGCGCAGATGAACATGAATGATGCTTATGAGTTTGTTAAAAAGAAACGTCCTATTGTTTCTCCAAATATAAATTTTATGGGACAATTACTTCAATATGAAACAAAATTAAGAGAACAAAAAATAAGTATTTGAACAATGATTTTTCTTTTGTTTTTTTTTGCTATATGGATATTGTTAATTATTTTTCTTTTGTTAAATTACTGTTTCGGTCTTTATTCATTTGAAATTCAGCAAAAATTAGTCACCATTTGTAAGAAACAGATATAATGTTATTCGAGAAAATCGGCCAGCCGTGATGAATAATAGATCATTTTTGTGTTGCTAGTCTCCCATGTGATTGTGATTACTCATCTAACGATGATTGATGTTAAACAAGATAATATTTCATCAGCTATTTCATTGAATAAAATAATCGACTTAGATCACTATATTTTCCTTGGATTAGTAATAATATTCTAGATTTACACATTGCACTGTGAAAATATGTGTTAGAACCACATCAACAACTGAATGACATTTAAATATGAGAGTTGTTTTCAAATAGAGAAAATGCATTCGATCAAAATATTGAAAAATCGCCCTAAAGATTCAAAGGATGATGCAAGACAAACAGTTCGCATGTAAATAACAAGAACGGAATATTTTTTATGACAAAAGGATTCATCAGAATATGAATCATAGTAATAAATTGGAATCTTAACAAAAAAAAATCATACATCATTTTGAAAATAATATTCTCTGATATGTCAAAACGACTGTAAGAGGCCTTTTCTAGAAATAAACCCATTATTATTTTGTAGAACACATATTACATAGAACTAATAACTTTCTTGGTTCGTAGTGAATATTTATATACACATACCATAGATGTCCATCGCGGACGAAAATCTGCCGCTGCATTAAAAATTATACAAAATCTATTTTTTCACAAAAATAGGTAATATGTGTGATGTAGGGTTAATAATTCCTGTTTGATGAAATACTAATGTAAAAAGAGATGAGAAATAGAAAAAATTCTTTCGAAAAACAGTAGATTCATTCTTTTTATAGGGTCTAGAGATTTTCTTCACAACTAAAAATCTGTCGCAGCTGCACCGTACCGCGATGAGATTTTGAAAAAGGTACTGCTACCGCGCCGCTAACGCTGTGGCGGCAGCACCACCATGGACATCTATGACACATACTAGGAAATGTTACGCTTACTTTTTTTTGAAAAGCAACTATGCCTCAATATTATACTATTCATAGAAAATTGTACAGATCTGATTGTGTTCTTCATTGTAAGCAAATATTCTGATCTGGACTATCCATTGAATTGCGTATCTATTACAACAATTCTTAATTATTGGTACAAATGAGAGACATGCATCATCCTTCAAGGCGGAAAACATTTGAGGTCGCGATTATATTGTAAATAAATTACAGAACGTGCTGTTTTATTTCTAGATTAAGATATTATATTCATTATTCTCATTATTTTTATATACTTGAGAATTACCTACTTTTCCGTGTTATTCATAAACGTTGATAGTTCCAAAATCTATTAAATCTATAAGATGTTTTTCATCAGACATAAAATATGATATTGAAAACAGAAATTTCCCAACAACAATAAAGCAATATCTTCTTGATTACGAAGTTAAATTTGTGGACATTCATCCATCAAGCATAGATTTTTACTGTAAAATTTATTCGATTTTGTTTCTATTGAAAATTTGGTCCTATTTGAATATTTTGAAAATGTTACTGTTTCATAATTATAATCTAAATATTACTCAGATTCTATCAATCGACAATGTCTAATCAATAAAACTTTGACAATATATACAATCGATACTATTAAACATTAGCTGTATATCATAATATAGAGTTACTGATGTCAGTTTTAGCTAAAGAATCGTTTTATTGTTAATAGAAAAACAGAGACACCATCACGGGAGCAATTAAAATTCAACTGATTTTCACAGAACAACGTGATTAACTCTTTCTTATTTTTTGCACCTTTTTTATCCAATAACACTAGTAAATAAGAGAAATCCCAAAGCTTGATTACTATCGTATTTGTTTTTGTTTTCATTTTACGGAAAAGTGTTATTGTATATCAAAAGAAATAAAAAAATGTGATGAAGTAAGTATTAATAGTTCTTAGGGTGGATTAGCGATTATAGAAGTTAATATTAAATAGGATTATTTTGTAGGATTTCAGTATTTAGCGGACTTAAATAGTATTTAAAATTACCTATGTGGAAAAACAACATATTGATCGTAGCCGAAGCGAATCAAAAATGAAAAGCCTTTAAATCCGCTTATCTTGTCGATGACTTATTGTTTTTGAGTTTTGAAAGAATCAAATAATAATAATAAATCAAAATGAGAAAAAAAGAAGAATTTTACGTCAGTTTGATAGGAGAAGATTATTTCGTTAATTGCAATTTTTATTTTGTTTGCCTTGAAATCTGAAAGAATTAAAAGAGCTTTATTAAACTAAGTTAAAATCATAATTATCTATCTTGAAGACGAGCGTATTTCGGCAAGACAAAAGCTGGGATAAAAAACAACTCCTTTTCAATTTTTCATTCATATAGATTTTCTGGAATCATTTTTCACTGGTTCTTATTATGTTTTGATTGAAATGTAACTTAAATTTTACAGCATTGCTTTCTTATTGTACTTATTCTTCAAAATTAATTGGCATGTTTATATAAAATAAAAAATAAAAGCGAACATCAATAATATTCTTTGAAAATAACGAGTCGGTTATTTGTGTGCTTAGACTGCTATTCACAAATCTCACTGATTTTTCTTTGTTTCCGTAATGGAAATGAAAAAAACATACAGAAATTCGTTAGTTATTTTTTTATCTGTTTTCATTTCTTAATACCAACACTTGGCCTGCATGTGTGATATTTATAGCAACAGATTCTGGCAAATAAAACGGTTCGCCATCCATTTGAGCTGTCATTGGACAACATAATTCAATACGTAACTGACTACATTGTGCAATACGCATGCCACGAAAACCGATATGTATTGTAGCCATATGTGTTGTACTTAAGCCAACAACTTCAATTCTTCTATCACCAAAATCTTGTCGTTCAAAACGACTCGGCGAATTGTTTGTCGTTGTACACGGCGTTGAATTGTTTTGATCATTGGGACAATCACTTAATGTCACTAATTCATAAACTTCGTGTGTATTTGCTGGCAAGTCAGTTAATTCAACAGAACTGGTTGATATTTGGTCAAATGAGTCTGAATCTTTTTGTATGGTTATTGATGATGATGATGATGATGATGAATTATGTGATGATTTTCCCCATGGATTAGTTCCTGATGCATAACCGGGAATATTTAAAACAAGTAAAGTATGGCAATTTTTAATGCAATCTGTTAAATTTTCTCCGTCACATATTAAACGTATATATGAGCTTAAACTCCACATTTTTGAACGTGCAAAATCATTTAAATATTTTCGACTTTCATTTAAATACATCAATTTATTTTTTAATGGTGATGAAAATTTAGCTGGATCACGTGACCGTCTATCATGGAATTCTAATGCTATTGCTGCATCTAAACCAAAACTCATATAATTTATAAAACGTGTATTGGGTAATGTGCGGTGATTTTGATATGATGCACGTTGGGTATCGCGAATAAATTTTGGATGTGCTATAAACGATAAAAATGTTCGTCCACTATTGAGATTAAAATTAGACTTGGTTAAATCGACTTGCTCCATAGCTACTTGCCAACGATCAAGTGCTATAGGTTTTGCTTGAGGAATTTGTGTTAAAGTTGACAGTAAACGTTTTGGATCATATTGTTCGCCCCATGATAATACTCGAGATAGATCATTACCTGTGCCCAATGGACATATACATACAGGTGGATTATTTAACGATGGAAATAATTCAGCTAAACGACCTAATACCCACCCGACGGTACCATCGCCACCAAATACACATATACGAATATTTTCTAAGGATGAATAAATTTCTAATGCATTAATTATAGTTTGATCATTTTCAAGTAGAAATACTTGACGAGGATTCAGTAAACGTAATAATTTACGATAGATTTTTTCACCACTTTGACCACCTGAACGTTTATTTATAAAGAGAAGTATTGGTGTATATATTGAATGGTTTTCATGGTTAGAAGGAAATTGAGCACGAAAATTAGGTGAAGAATTTGAAATGCGACGTATCCATTGTGGTCGAACAATGATGTTTCTAGAATATTAATAATAAAGAAGAAATTAAGAACGTTTTAGAAGACTACTTCCATTGTATGATTCTACCTAAAGATTCCATAATCACATTTATTTTTGTCATCTTGATTAGATATGTGCTCCCAACATTGTCTATGATAACCACGGGAGCACCAAACACATTGAAGGCCACCTGTTGGGCCAGACAATTGTGGACTACCAGGCACAGGACTTTTACTATTTGTAATACTTTTCGGCATGAGATCTAATGTTGGCATCGTTGATGCTCGAGTATTATTAAACAGAGAACTTGACATTGATTTTCGCTTACAAAATGCACAAGGTTTAGCGAGTACTATTGTATTCAACCAAAAATGTCGATCACGCTTATGTTGTTCATCAGGTTCATGATCATCACAAAATGATGGACGACATGGAGGCATACAATTTGTTATATTTGATTTTGTTGTTCGTAAATTTGACAAATGATGAGTATGTACAACAATTAAGCAGGATTCACATTGAACAAGTGATAATACTAGTGTTGGCCTTGGATTTTGACACGACAGAAAATAACATGATGGAGCTGATGATGGATCGGTTAAAGTATACGGAAACCAACAATGTGAAAGTGGATGTGCTTGTTCAGTCCAATCGACACCAAATGAAATTGGAACACTTAATTCTGATGACGAAGATTTCGAAGAAGAATATTCAGTAGATTGCTGAAAACTAGAAACATAATATTTGGAGTAAAAAAATTTGAGCTCATTATAAATGTAATAGAATTTGAATGTAAAATGATTGTTTAACTTACTAACTTGTGTATTTATGCTTTGCATGTTTTTTTAATTTTGACAAATATTGTTTTCAATTAGAAATTCAATATCATAAATTGATCTATCAATTTATTCTTATATATTCATCTGTTCATGACAGCTGTTAGTTAGTTTGTTCCTAGAAGTTGACAATCAATTTTCTTTCTATTTACTTTACATGCATAGACATAATCTATATGTCCGAAATAAGACAAGTAAATAACATGTCAGAAAAATATTTATCTTTTATGCCTTTATTTGCTAATCATTGAATATGGTTATTATGATTATCGTAGGTTTTCTTTTCTTTGAACTAATAATATAGATAGTGACGTTCTTCTTTTTTCTTCTTTCTTCCTTCCTACCTTTTAATATTTGATATTGACTCATTTGTTATTTGTTCTGACGAAGTCAATTTGAAGTTTTTTGATGATGTAAAACAAAAATGCTGTATAGCATCGTCATTATTATCATCATCATCATCGTCATCATTCACATAACCATCATGCTCATGATTAATTACTGATGTTGCTGTTAAATTATGAGATTTTTGATTAAATGTTGAACACATATGTTCAACTGGTGTAGTTGGTAATGAAATAGATTCAGTTCGAGCTAATTTCTTATTTTTCATTTCTATACTAAATTGATCCGATTCAATATCTAATCGACGTAGATCACGTTCAAGTATACGATGAGATTGCGTATGGCGGTCGCAATTTTTAGCTATTGAAGTATCGTATTCCCGTGTTTCACTAATCAGATCAAAACTTGAATGAGGATTCATATTTCCACGTGTTTTCTTCGATGTCGACGATGCCACTGTTGTATCAATACATGGTGTATATTCGACTCTATGTTGTGTACGCGATATTGTTGGTGGTGTCGACTCTGCCATTTTTGATTAAACAATGAAGAAGACTAAAATATGTGTGGAATACATGGGAACATTTTGTTTGATTATATTAGAAAAAAGAAAAGAAAATGATGAAAAATTATCGGAAACTATGTTGGCGTCTCACGATTTTCTTCCCTCTCCCCTCCCCCCTCTCTCCCTTTCTTTCTCTCTAGTTGTACTAACAGTGTTCTACTTGTCAACAGTATGAACATCTTCGAATATGACAGTTTTTCTCTTTCATTTGTTCTCTATTGCAGCATGATGTCTGCGATGTCACCAGGACAGACAACATCCATGTCGACAACCAATGAAGACAGTGATGATGATGATATGGAAGACTGTCAAATCTTTTTCTATCAAATGAGATAACAGTAATGTCTTCTTCATTGTTTCAATCATATTCGCACTCCTACTGTGTGTATTATATGTATATTAGGCACACTAAGGGATCAATCAATGAATTTCAGTTGTTGTTGTTATTATTGTTTCTTTCTCCATTTTTACAATCAATTCATCGATTTTATTTATTAAATAGTACAACTAAATGTACAAAATAATGGCAGTTTACTCTGTTTCTATGAGTTGTAATAGTGCATGACATTACTTCTATTTGATTACTATAGAACTTCCTCTTAACTACCTACCGAATTTGATAATTTAGTCGTATAGATATACACATACGGATTGCAGCGCTAATTGTGACAATATATTCCTTTAGACGAGCATGAATAGAAGCCAGAAGTTTGTTATTTTTTTTTGACAGACAACACACACACACACACACACACAGACAAACAAAGCAAGAAAGAAAAACCTATGCCATCAGACGGAGCTCGCGAGATTTTTCTTTCTTTTTTATTCGTTTCTTTTTTCTATGATGCTGTCTGGAACGAGAATACGTATTGCGTTTGTGTGTCTACATGCAATAGAGTAAAAAGAAAAAGGTGCATGAGTGTTTGTGAAAGCTAAAACTAATAATACACAAGTGAAGAACTCCTTTTTTCAAACGTGTTGCTTTTTTAAAAATTTTCATTCGTCATCACACAAAGTAAATAAAATAACAAAATCATTCTGCCTGACAAATATCAGCGCTTTTTATTTTCATGATATTTCTTTGACTTAAAGTTTGTAGGTTAAATGAACTTAGAAATGATGCAACTGCAGAGAAATGAATTCATAAATCGAATATCTTCTTTTTATTTATTCTGGCTTACATACAAAAAATAAACTGTATAATTTTTAGGAAGCAGCATTTTGCTGTGACATTTTTCTCATGATAATAGCTTCAAAGTCTTCGAAATCAGGTTGCGTTAAATCTACAAAAGTAGTTTGTTTTTTCGTTGATGTTGCTGCTGTTGATGATGGCGTAGTTGTATTTGATTTTTTTTGAATTTTTACCGAAGCAAACGGTCGATCATCCAAACCTTTTTCACTTTCAATAAAATTTGATACATGATCTTGATCAAATTCAATTAATGCACGTTTAACATTCTTGTTAATAATCGTTGAAATATTGCCAAATTTTGTAAATACTTGCCGAAGTTCATCATCTGTATAAGGTGAAGTATTTGGAGCGTATTTAATAATTATTTCTACATGATTAGATGAAGGTTTTTGCTTATTTTGTTCAAACATCTTATGAAGTTTTTCAAGCTCTTCATCAACAAGACGACTTCCTTCACGTCTTAAACGTTCAACTTCCGTACGTAGCTTGTCAGAATTTGATTTATTAACGGTTGAAGTTGGTGCCTTTGTTGCTCTTTCTTCCTTACGTTCGAGATCTTCTTTAAATTTTTTTCGCTTATCATCCATTTGTGACAAACGTTCTTGTTGAATTTTCTTTTGTTTTCGACACGCATCATAAGCTTGTCGAGCTTGTGTATCTGTTAATAGTTCTAATGCTTTTCTAATAAGTAAAAATAGATCTCGTTTGCTAAGATCATCTGGAAATTTATCTGGATGGCATTCTAACGCTTTTCTTCGAAATGCTGTTGTTAATTCTTTCGTTGAACATGTTTCATCAATACCAAATAATTCATAGAGATCCATCTTGGTTATGTCGTCCATTTTTTTTTTAAATCTACAAGGTCAAATAAAATAAGTAAATGAATGAATGTATTTATTTTATGAAATGGAATGATGAAATTTATTTCACAATTTAAGAAAAAAACGAAAACAAAAGACTGTGTCTCATTCTATTTTCTTTTTTGTTATCACTCAATGCCAAAACCTTCACAATTTTCAATAGCCAAAAGTAATTTCTCTTTGAGAATTTCACGGGTTGAATAAGGCGGCAAAAGCAGTTGATTGAAACTAAAAGATGATTGAATAGCAGAGATAGAGAGATCATATTGATAAAGAAGATGAAATAATTACATACCATGTATGTGACATGGGTAACCTAGAAAAGAAACAAATCGACATGCATATTTATGTAAATAGAAAATTCTTTTATTTGATCTTATCACACGATAAGAAAAACTATTTTCATGCGATTGTCTTTTTACTCTATTGAATAGCTTTACACAAAACAAAAGAAACTAGTCGCTAAATTCATTCTGCTCAAATTCTGAACTTATTCATGTGATATTCTCGGAGTATTTGCGATAAACAAGAAGTTACATGCTCATAAAATTCATAATGATATTAACTTACAAATCATGTATGTTACACCTATTGGACGAGATTTTTGCAATTTTAAATGTCATTTCACTTAAACCTCCGATTGGCATACGATCACTGCCAGTTACAAATAGTAATAGACGTCTTTGTTTATCTGATGACATTTCTTCTACAACTTGCCAAAACCACCTAAAAACACATAGCCAGAAGTTTTTCTTTTAATGGAAAAAAACAAAAACAGAAAACGAAGAGAATTCTAAAAATTACTTGATAAAGTCTTCACTTGCATTACAATTTTCATATTTGGTAATTTTAGCTAAGCTACTCAAGTTACATTGTTGCATGCCACAGATTAACATTTCAAGTTCTTCTGGTAAAAGTAAAAGAAGTGCATTCGATGAGCAAACGCTATGAAATCCATAATAAAATGCTTCGAATTGCTTTGATACATGTTTATTTATATAGAAATCAATGAGTAGTTCAACATATTCATTTCGATTTTCATTTGTTACATCGACTGTCGATCCATTTTCTTTCAATGGATAAATTACTGATGTATCAAATTGAGCCACGGAGACCTTGAAAGAAACAAACTCATGAATCCACTGATGTATTTTCTATTGTTTATACTCAGTATAGGGATCACTGATTGCTTTAGTTTTTTTTAGCTTCCCGGTACCGAGAATAATAATAAGAAGCTATAGCATGCTAATTAAAAGTTCAGTTTATGAAATTTTTCTTTTGTACTTGTTTGAAAACACGCTAATAGCTTTAGAACTCATTCAAATGATTACAAATATTTTCAAAGGTTCATTGAAAATTTCATAGAACCGACTTGCAATGTATTGCATTGAAGTTTGTCTTGTTCAATAGCTCAATGCGAAAGCATGAGTATTCATCAGATGGACGATCAAATTATTTCACTTAAATAAATTCAACAAGTTAATTTTCCGAGAAAAATACCCTGAGAAATCCGATTGTAGTCTAACTTAGATTTGTTTTTCTATGAGATGAAAACGCTCGCATTTTAATGTACTGCTCTCTTTCCACATAGACTCATACTCAAAGGAATTAATGTTTTTGGTAGAAGAAAAAAAAATGAGCTTCTTATTTTTCTTTGTTTTTTATCAATGAATCTCATTATATCAGTTCACTTTGTCCTGAATACAATCTCTAGTGGATTCTGCATGATACGGATTACTTTATATTCAGGTTTCCTATTCCATATAGTAGATTTAAAACTCTAAAGGAATCATAAATACAAAGTTATATTGTAAGAAAAATGAGTTTCATGAGACCATCACCAACGCAAAATGAACTACTAGTAAATATGCTCATAAAATAGCTTTCAAACAAACAGGATGAATATTTTATTTTCAATCTACCTCAAAAGTAAGACCAAAATCTTCTTCGACATTTCCATCATAATCGAGTAAATATTGAAGACTATTAGCAATATCCTAGAAAATGAAAATAAATAAAAAATAATTCGGTTCAAGAAACTTTAACATTTCCTTACAGGTCTAATTGTACGAAAATCTGCTAATGTTGATTTAATAATTCCAACTTTAATTTTTGATAATCTTGTCATCTGTTCGGTCAAAAATGCAGGTGTTAACAGTTTTTTATAGCAAACTAATGGAAAACGTATATCAAGAATAATTGCATTATAAACTGCTAATCCCATTAGTATTCCAACTAAATGATATTCTCGAACATTATCAGTAGATGCGCCATTAAACCAAAAAATACCGGATAAATCATAATATACAAACATACCTAAAAATAATTGAAATAAAATTTTCGTTTTTTTTATTTTTATGAATTCAATAAATATTAAATACCGTAATCAGGTGAAAAAATGTGTCGAATCAAGAGAAGAAACCATTCTTTAGTTAAACCGCCCATATCAAGACCATGTTCCCCAACAAATGTGACACGTAATTTTTTCTTTAAATCTTCATGATTTTTTGTAACCTGCAAAATGTATACAGGCAATAACAAAATAAAAATAAAAATAAAAAGAATTACATACTTCAGCAAGAGAATCAGCAACTAAATGTGCTCGCCGAATGTAGAAATTTAAGAACAACATGTTTAAATTTGGTATTTGTTTATTTTGAACTTTTTGTATCATACTACGCTGGAAAAAAGAACAGAATTTTTTAAAATCTATTAAATAATTTTTGATCTCGATTCAAAACTTACACGAGCATTAACAATCATTTGTTGTTCCGAATCACGTTTTAATATTGTCCGTTTAGCATTGATACTTAGCACAAAAGGATATTGACAAAATGTAAACCTAAAAATAAGCAATGACATTTTCTTATTCCATTAAAATAACTAGTTTCACATTGACAAAGAAAAGGCTAACAACAATAAAAGCCGCGAAACTGTTCCGATGCATATATGTCTGATTAACGACATCAAGCAAAATATTTCTAACCCGCCAATTATTCCACGTGATTTTCGATTTTTCCATTCAAAGTAATCACGTTCTTCATCAATATAATTCAATGAATCTATTACCATTTCTTGCAAAGGTATTTTACGACCACTAATCATTTCATTAGCATGATCTGTTTATATTGGAGATACGAAAAAAAAAAAAACATATATAGCAAATATATTTATATTTTTTAAATATAAATTTAGAACTGACAACCAAGCAAAAGAGCTAAAGAAAATTATAGTGACATATATCGTCAAGTACCCTTTTGATCTTTTCAACCAAATATGATATTCAAATAGAATATCAATATTATCGAGCAAATCGATAATAAATTCATGATAATACATCAATATTCGATTTAACTGTTCATTAGCTACATCTTCAATTCTCGTTTTAAAAAACTTCTTTTCTTTTTCCTATTTGATTTAGCTTACTAAATAATGCCAATGTTCGAATAGCACTTGGAATCCACCAACCATTAGCAACTGTCGATGAGGAATTATCCAGGCGTGATGGAAAGAGATTTATAGCAACAAATGCTTGTAAACGACGAACAGTTAATCGAAACATCTCGACTGGCAATCTATTAATAGAAAAAAATTTATTTGAACTATTCGTAAAAAAGTAATTCTTACGTTTGTAAAACCAATATTATTTCTTGCTGTTCGTGATCGACAAAATGTGAAATACGGCGTAATACATGAGCAAAAATATGATTATTTGATGCATCATCAAAAACCGGCGCCTGAAATATCATTCACTTAGTTTTAATTATGATAATAATAAAAAAACAGATTACCATCATAAGAATCGTATAACCTTTGCGAGTATGTTCACTTGGGCTATAAACAAAAAAATTATTTGACCTTATCTTTCTTTTGAACAATATTCAATATTTAACCGTCTATTTTTCGATAAACGTCTGTATTTAGACACTTCTATCAGAAAAAAATATACAATCGAGATACAGTGGATTTTTTTCGTATTAAATGAGATTTCTGCAAAGTAGTAGTTTGAAATGGAATGTAAGTTCGTATCACAAGATTTTGAAAATCAAAAGCATAGAACTGTAAATTTTACCTTATTCAAACTCGAGAAAAATATACAACACTTTCTGTAACTTGATATCTTAGATAGGAGCTAAGTACTCAAAAGAATAGTCTTTTTAACTTAAATCATTCATTGTAATTTGAAAAACATACAGTGAAATATATTTATTGAATCAATTAAAGATCAAAAACAATAATTTCGAAAGATTCTTACCGAATTTCTCGTACACAGCAGGATGCAATGGTTTTAAGAATCAATCGAGATATTGTATCCGAATTGTTTGTAATATACTCATGAATTATTTGAAGATATTTCCAATCTATTTGCTTTTTATCATCGTTCTAACCATACAAATAAATTCAGAACGAACTAAATAGTTTCGTTTTCTTTCTTACCAGCGTTAATGATTGCATCATATAAGTCAAATTTGAATAGAAAATTGAGAAAAAAGTAAATATTTGATTATTATCAGAATTCTCTTCATTAACCAATCGCCTATTCATAATGAACAAAGAAAGAAGAAAAAATATTTAAATTAAAGAAAACCTTCTTACTGAAAACTTTCAATATCATGAGTATTAATCGATGGCATCGATATAGCTGTTGCTATCATTGGTAGTGACGATGAAGCCATTTTATCTTTACTTTTCTATTGAAAATATTTAATATTTTAACTTCGCAAGGAATTTTGCAAAAAAACAACAATGATCTAGCAGACTCTTTAAGAAAAGTGATCACTTCCATCTGAAGTTATTTTAGCTTCTCTTGTTTTACTCAAAAATCGATGATAAATCAATTGTCCGTTCAATCTCGATTGCTTTAGAATGTATCTAAAGAGAACAATCTGTTTGAAAATTACAAGTAAAGGATATGTGCTTTATAACCACAATAATCTTAATTTTGTGGATTATTTTTGTTTGAAAGTTAGATATTATTGAACTTTTTAACAATTTCTATCATCCTACATTCTTTTAACTTACAGACACAGCAGTCATCGTACCGAAAAAAAAGAACACGAATTATCTGTCAAACTTTAGTCATCTATTTAGATTGGAGTCAGTTCGATTATTAGTACTTACTTGTTCACTTAATTGTTTTTTATTTTCAATGGCTGGCAGTTTAACATTTTTAATAGTTTTATCTCGTCGATGGCTTGCTGTTATACCATTATTATTAAGCATATTTTGTCTTCGTAGAAGTATTCGATTGAATGTTCGACTAAAACGTGAACGAAGACTCAGACCATGATCACTATTATCATCTTTTGCTCTTTTCTAAATCGAAATCGAAAAGTGAAGTTTGAGTAAGATTCAAATTGTAATTACATTAATTTCTTCTTTCAATTGTTGAATATCAGTCACATTGGGCCCAAAAAGAAATTCTCCACAAAATGGACACAATATTCTTGTACGTCCATTTGCTTGTGGATCGGATTCAATATCAAGTTGACATCGTCGACAATGAGAGGTGATAGTTGGTAATTCAGAAAAAGAATTTCGTCTTAAACCATTTGCCATGGTAAATTCTCTTATTTGAGACAATAAATATAGGTACTTGTAATTGCTTATTATTTCATTTTACTTAGTTAGGCAACATAGGTACATATGATTGGTTTAACTCGCTAACCAATCATGAAAATACATGATTGTGAGAGCGAGCGAGCCAGCCAGTTGTTGTTATTTATATATGCAACAATCTTTATTCCACGTGTCTATGTGAACCAGAACTGTATTCATCTCGTAACAAAACAAATGCCACAAATAATATCAATGAAAGTCGAATATTTAATTTTACTTAGTTTCCTATTAACATTTGCTGTTATAACTAATGCTTTTTATGTAAAAAAGCAATTTTATCCATCAGTTGTATATTTAACGAAGTCAAGTACAAGTCTTGCGGTAACGAGACATAAATTAATTTCTTAATAATAAAAAATTTCATTGATCAATATATTTTCTTAGGTTCTTTATGCTCAAGCATTTGTATTTGCTATTTTATTTGGTAAATTTATTCAACGTATATTTCTCGGACCGCTTCGTGCGATTGAAACAGAAGTTAGTTAAGATCAAAACATTTTTTTGTTGTTAGAATTTTACCGGATTATTTTTATTTTTATTTCAAAGCATCTGTATGATCGTGCATGGTTTTCTATCACAGAAACATGCTTAGCATTTACTGTATTTCGTGATGATTTCAGTCCACGTTTTGTCGCTTTGTTTGCAGTTTTACTTTTTCTGAAATGTTTTCATTGGCTTTTAGAAGATCGTGTTGATTATGTAAGTAAAATTAATGTTTCTTACATAGAAACGACATATCTTGGATTTAGATGGAACAAAGTCCTGTTCTTGGACCAATATTTCATACACGAGTTATTGGTATGATAAAGTACTTGTTGTTCAGTATTATCAATATTCTTTGATTTGCTTATAGGTCTTTTAAGTGTTTTAAGTATTCTCGATTATTTATTTATTTCATCAGCTTATATGCATACAATAGCCAAGGGAGCATCAGTTCAAATTGTTTTTGGTTTTGAGGTATGATCAACAGAATTTATTCAAGCGTTATACATTTGAAATTTGTTTGTAAAGATATTCTCTTACGAGTAGCTTATTTTTAACTATCAATTCAGTCGCATGCCCACTTATTAATATAGAGTTATGATCGAAAAATTTAAATTTTCACTAATGAAAATGAAATATTTTTGAAGAATTCAAAATCACCGAACTTCGATCTGAAAGTTTCGTCATTGCACGCATCTTGATGTTTATCATCTAGTTATGAAATTTGCAATTTTACAGTCACGTCTTCCTTTCAGCAATACTTTTATTACAGCGACCATAACTCCTCTTATCAATAGGCGACTTACTGATTGATCTTCGTTTTTATCATGTCCAAATTGAATACGATGCATCCTTAGCGAATTACCTTGAAGGTAGAAACACAGATCTTCCTTGTTACTGAAGTATTTAGATGCGTAGTATTGGGAATATGTATGTATTGGGAAGGATGCTAAAGATTTTTACTTTTTGTTATCAATGACAGTCAATAATTTTATTCTTTTGAAAATACCTTTAGTATGCAATCCTACTTGTTTCGGTTATTACAACTGCAATAAAATATATTCTTCATTCAATTGAAATTCGTGCCGGTGAACAATGGGAAAATAAAGGTGTATTTATGCTCTATTCAGATTTAATTCTTGGACTTTTTCGTCTTACACTTTATATGATATTTATCATGGTTATGATGAAAATACATACATTTCCATTATTTGCTATTCGACCAATGTTTATTGCCATGCGGTAAAATATTTCTTTTTTTTTTAAACATTGATCTATTTTTTTTCGTGCCTATCTGATTTTCAGAGCATTCCGTAAATCGTGCAATGATGTTCTTGAATCACGACGTGCTATACGTAATCTAAATACCATGTATCCAGATTTAACAGCTGAGGAACTTGGTAATGCTACTGATACTACGTGTATCATATGTAGAGAAGAAATGCAGGTACAACAAAGTATCAAGCGTCTTACTTGTCAACATATATTTCATAAAAATTGTTTACGTTCATGGTTTCAACGACAACAAACTTGTATGTTTAGCATATTTATTTTTTTTTCTTATTGATGTTATATAACAAATTATAATAACAGGTCCAATTTGTCGAACTACTGTTTTGCGTCCCGTACCTACTCGAGCAGCTGCGGCCGCCGCCGCCGCCGCACCACTAGTCAATGCGCAACCAGCAGCAGCTTCACAATCACAAGCTCAAATACCTGTTTCTACAGCTAGATTTCCTCCGTCACCATCACATCTTGCGCCAAGTTCAGCTGCATCATCAACCTCTAGTTCTACACCAACTAATACATCAACGCAAGCGTCACCACCAAATTTCAATACAATGGGTGCCGGAGTATTTCCACAAATGGCATTTAATTCATTTCCTATGGTATTACCACCATTCGGTAAGGTTTTAAAAAAAAACGCTACACTACAATATCATTATCTTTAATTAAGCTTTTCCACCTCCACCTTTACCACCAGCTAATTTTGCTGGTATGTCAGAAGAAACGATTCGAGCAATGGAAGGAACAGAATTATCTCATGTTCAAGCACGTATTCAATGTTTACGTAATGTAAGAACATTATTAGATGCATCAATGATACAAATGCAACAATATATGAATATTGTCTTAACGCAAAGGTTAGTATTTTGAAGAATTTTCCTTTTAAATTAACGTTTGTTTTCTTTTTTACCTTTAAATAGTAATATGGAAAATGGCACAGGTCTATTGAATAACCTCAAAAATGATACCGATCAAGTTTTGACATCATCGGACGAGAATAATTCGAGAAATAGTAAGCATTATTTTAGTTAGATGTCATACTAGTGATATAATTCTCTACGATTTAGATGTATTAAATCCCATTAATGAGAACGATGCTGATGTAATCCGTCGTCAACGATTAGAGCATTATAGGCAAAGATTGTCACCATCAACAACAAATCAAGAAAACAATAATGATAGTTAAACATATTTTCATGTATGCTTTAGTGAAACAGTGTTCTCTTCCTTTTTGACTTCACTTTTTTTTTCTCTCAATTTGCGTACTCTTTCATTGTAAATACGTATATACATATAATTATAAACTAATTCGAAATTTTGTTTTCTTATCTGTTAACCCAGCAAGTTATTGGTTTTAGCTCATGTAAGACAATTGTATACGCCTATGATTTCTTGAATGAAAGTAAAGCAATGAAACATCTAATTTGTTTGCTTACGACAATTTATTCTACTTCAATAAAGAACTAATTTCAATATCAAGAATTTCTTAATCTTTTTATGCAGAAGCTTTATTATCTGTCTCGATAGAAAAAACGGCTCAAAAACGTATAATTCATGAATATCAGAAGTTTTTATTTTCATCTTCTTTAGTGTTTGTTTTGGATGTCATGTCGCCAAGTAATTACATATTTTTAATGATAGTACAATTGGATTCATTAAAAAAAAATATTTCGGAGACTAAAAACTAAAATTGAAAAAAGATTATTCTGTCACGATTCTTTTGCAGCTTCAAATTACTATTCGGCCTTACTCTTACCATTGAAATACGTTAACTCGAAAATAATGAGTACTCTAAACTTAAGTGAGTGTATGCACACACAGATTACATTGAACCTTTAAGTACGTTTGATAAGTAAAAATACTCAGTTCAAAAACGATTTAAACAACCTGACCACATTAACGTCATAAAATGTTTTGCATTAAGTTATCTTTTTGTGATATCTATTCAGTCATGTCGTTTTCATTCTGATTAATCAATAATAAAATTTTGACTGATTTTGTTTTGCAATGACTAATGCAATCTATCCTTCTAATCTGAAATCATCATGAATCATTTACGAATAATAATCTCTTCAATTGATATTCTTAACCGAATTCATGGAACGAAAAAAAGAAAAAAGAGCAGTTAATCCGTTAAACATGATAAGAGTTAATTGGCTTATATATATATATATATGCATGCACTACTTCAATGTCACTTAACAGAACATAACTTTGATTAATTGCATGTAAATAATGAGATGATCTATTCGAAGTGAAATTGGCTTTCCGATATATTATAAATAAAATTCTCTGTCCATCGTCAGTTTGCTTTCAATTCAATCCACAAAATGCCCCGAGCGCAGCAATCACGTAAACGTCATTCTTCATCGTTCATCAAATTCGTTGCTCGTCTTCAACATACACTGTCAACGAAAAATATTAAAGCATCAACTCCTGTTATTCAACAGCAATTATCTCGGCAATCGAATCCTGCTCCAGTAAGTCTTTTCTTTAACATCAATAACTTCGACGATGTTGTCTTTTTTTTCTAGCTACCTAAATTTCCTTCATTCATAAATTCAAATTATCCACGTTGTCGTTTATCACAAATTCTTTATGATCCAACACGTCAAACTGAATATTTAAGTGAAATAGAAGAAAAAAGCAATTCTGATACATCTGAACAATCACTTGCTGCTGAAGATAACGATTCATGTTACGATTCGATGAGTGATCATCGTCGAAGTCATAGATTCAATTTGTCGCAAATGAATGTTAGTATGGATAATGTTGTGAATCATCGAAATCAACCATTAAAATTGAAATTACCAAATTCATTGGATACTGCACGTTTTCATTCAACTGCTATCCATGATATGGGACACTTTTGAAATCTCGAGATCTATATGTATTTATTCATATGTTTTTGTTTTTGTGATATCTATTTATTCATAATAAATTATTTATTGATCCTAGGGATCATTTGCTTAGAATAGAAAAAACTGTTCTTAATTTCTCTTATCAACAATCAATTTTCCGATCTATGTAGAAATAGATCGTAGTGTCACATTTTTCTCTTCGATTTAATTAATAGCTATTCTGTTAGCCCTCACTGAGATTCAAGAAACTGAATATAATTTTTATATCTTCTATAAGATCATTGGACGACTTCACTATTGGTCACTTCATCTCATATTTGAGTTGCTGCTAATTACTAAAGTAACAGATATGGCCGAATTAGAAAAGAATATAAACGATTTATGTCAAAAACAGTCAACTACAAATCAATAAACGTGCATCGGTATCTAGTCCTCTATGACTACAGAACTACTGCGAATGACATTGTAATCACTACCATTCAAGTGCGTTGAAGGGTCTAAACTAGAACAATGAAAGATGCTACTATTTTTTTTATGATATTACTATACAACTATGAGCAGAACAGAAAGAAGAGTTTTTTTTTGAAAGAATCAGTAAAAAGATGATATACAATTTATTCTCTATCTCCAGTTTTTGTTCTGTTTTTGTTGCTAACCATTCAACCAATAAATATATATCATTTCTTAGAAGCGACCGATGGCCAGCATTTCATGTTGAGTCAATCGAAAGATGAAATGAGAAAAGTGGGAGAGCGAGAATTGGTCGAACGACAATTAGTCGCAGTGTAGATTTGGTCGCATGTTTGACTGAAGCATGGTTCTTTTCTAATTCAAAAAAACTTCAATTTACACAATTGTGACTCAATCACACATAGCACAGCTTGAGGCTGAGAGGGTATGTGTAAAAAATGACGATGTGCTTCATGAAATAGATAAGTAGATGGTCTGGCTGGTAAACGCTAACTGAATGATGGCATTCGCTGTTCAGCTTCATCGAAATATTATGAAAAGATGAAAACTATATTCATAGCGGAATAGCGAAAAGCGCAGCAGGCAGAGACCTCTGAATAAGAAAAAAGTCATTCGCATGAAGCAAAGTTTTAAAGTAACTACCACTGGCTCTCATGTAGTGCTTTATACGTAATTAGAAGAGTTTGCTAAACATCGATATTCATACTCATATTTAATGTTCCTGATTTTTGACTAGATTGTTAGCTATTGTCTAGATCTCTCTGAGTTATTTTTCTGTAAAACTAATAAAAACTTTTCTGCAATTTTATTTTCGAGAATTTCGACCAATTCTATAATACAACTAATTGTCGTAGCGCCCAATTGTCTCTACGACCAATTGCCGTAGACCCATCAACAACAACATTCAACACACTAGTTGATAATCAACAAGAACAATATTCAAACATTTTTATGGGCAATATTCATTTCGTAACATTTTCTCATTGCTATGATTTTTATATATGATCATCCTATATCGTATTCTTCACTTGAAAATATCCCGCAAGTGTATGAACATTAGTTTTCATCCTATTTTGAATATATTTGTGGTTTTTCTTTGATGCGGTAAAATAATAAATAGTGTGTAAGACGAATTTGCATAAAGCTTATAAAGTTTGTTACTCTAACAAATAATGAACGAACATGCAACAACAAAAAAAATGCTTACAATCTTTCTTTGCATTTTATATTGAAATTCGATAATAGAAGACTTTCGTAAAGTCTTGTTTTTCACGCATAAAAGGTATGCTCCAATTTCTTTTACTAGTTTCGACTTCAGCAATATAATACTATTTGTGAATGTATCGTAGATAAAGAGAAGATGAGTTCTAGTTGCTATCTGTCTGCTAGTGACAATCGATAATGATTGGTTCTAACCATTGATACCCATGACTCATCGGGTAGTAGGTACAAAATTGTTCTGTCAGTTAGGCATACTATTTAATCCTTGTCACGTCTATGGACGAGTATGCTACAGAGGAAAATAACAAGGTCGAATCTTGTACATCAATATTACCTCATGATATTTTTACCACAATTTATGACATAACTCGAGCAATATTTCGACACTTACCAATTCGTTCAGTTGATTCATGTTCATTAGTTTGTCAATCATGGACCGATATATCTCGTTTAACGAAATCTCATCGTCATACAATTCATACTTTAACCTATCCGTCAAATCCGTTATCAACAACAACAACATGTTCTAATCTTTTACATGACTTTGATGAATTTATATCATTATATATAAATAATCATCTTTGGTCTTTACCAACTTTCGCCTTAGTTGTATCGACAAATATATTAGCAAGTAAAGGATTTTATTCTTCAGGGAATTCTCCGCCGCCAATAAAGCATCCGCGTAGAGTTCATTCAGAAGCAGGAAGTTCAAAACGAATTACTGAACGTTTTGGTATATCACAAGCACTGATAAGACATTTAAATAAATCATGTAAAGTTTTAATGATAGCTGCCGATGGAATTATTGCATCAACAGAGAATAATCAATCGAATGAAATTGAATCAGGTAAATAGTAATCATCTAGTTTTATTTTGTATTTTCAAGAAAAAAAAAACTAATGAAAATAATAATTCTTTTTCATTTATTTAGATGATGCCATTGGTATTTTATTTCTTCCCCATTTTCCTCCAGATGTACTTGGAGTATATCCATTTGAAATTCCATCGACTGCTCAAATAGCATCCGATATGTCACGGTCTGAATTACATCGTTTTCTTGGTTCAGTACCGGATGATGTCCAAATACGATGTGTTATATTTTTCTTTGTACAACGTCAATCCTATGCAGTTGATTGTATAAAAAAATTACTTGAATATTATCCATCACAAATAGCTATTATTGGAGGTTTTGTTGATAAAATCAATTATGACGATAGACAAATTCATACATCAAGAACATCGTATGATGCATGTGGAATTGTTATAACAGGTGATAAAAAACGTTTACATATTGGTGAAGTTTTATTAGAAAATCATATACGTACACGTGAACAAATACGAGATAAATTAAAAGAATTAAAATACCTAGAAACTAATCCGTGTTTATCATTTGCAATACAAATAAGTTGTATTGCCCGTGGCTCAAATTATTATAATGATGAGCAAAATGTTGAATGTTCTGAATTTCGTAAATTATTTCCTAGTACACCATTAATTGGCGTTTTTGGAAACGGTGAACTTGGCCATGATTATTTACCAAAGAGTAATCAAACAATAGCAAAACAGCAAACTGGAAAAAATTTATTTCGTGGTTATTCATCTGTGTTTTCATTGATCTCACTACAACTATGAACAGTATTTTAACATAAGAAGATAAATTTATCTAATTTAAAATATTTCGTTTGCTTTAAATTGCATATTAGCAATAAAATCAAAATAATCTCGTTTTCTCTTATTCTGTTTTTGTTTTTAGATAGATGAATTCAAATGATAGTCCGGTGATAGATAATGATCAACGTGTAAATAGACGTGCTCATAAGCATTTACATTACATTCCATGGGAACCAACTCGAGCAGCTATTTCAAGAACAGAGCAAACAAAATGTATTCCTACGGTTCCTGAACAATCTATTTCCACACAACTATATCGATATCACAATAGTACTAGATCTCCATCACCACTTTTATCATCGAATATCATTACAAAAGATATCATTAATATTGGAAATAAAATTAAACCGACTGCTACTGTTGAGCCATTCCAAGCATCAATTAACGTCGATGAAATTCTCTATGGAATAAGGTCAGCTATTGTTCACAGATGAAATTTTGTGTTTAATTAAAAATGATTGATACAATAGTTTCTTTTTCTTTTACATTAGACCATCGAGTCCAAATACTCATACATCTCAAGATCTCAATTTATCAAGTGATCAACAAGAACTGAAACTTGAATTAGAACGTGCACAAGATGAAAATGCTGGTCTTAAACAACAACTTGATATTCAAACTCAAGTATTTATTTGTTCAATCAAGGAAACTATTATTAGAATATTAATCATTTCTTTAGGTTAATGCTGAGCTGAAAAAATTACTTGTTGCTTCAATTGGTAATGATTTTCAATATCGATTAGAACGACTTCTTCGGTATTCATTTTTCTATTCAATTTTTCTAAATATTTTAATTTTTCATTCTAGTGACAAATCTCGTTATGAAATAGAAATTCAAACATTAACAAGAAAAATAAATGATTTACTTGAAGATATTGAAAAACTTACTATCAAATGCGATATTAATCAAAGTAAACTAGCAGGCAGCCGGTAAATTGATTAATGAATTATTATTTATTTAAATATTCAAATTATTTATTTTTTTCTCTGTAGAGTTCTAATCGATGAACTTAACATGCATAAAAGTGTTTTGAGTGTTCAATATAATGATTGCACTAATGTTATTCAACGTTTACTTGCTGAACGTTCTAAAATAGCAAAAGAACTTGTTCAAGCTCATAGGTTTATTTTTCGTTTATATTCAAAAATTAAATCTTCACTTTTTTGTTTTTATTCCGATATCTAGTTCTCTATCGTTGTTGAATGAAATGGCCTTAAATAATAGTCGAAAACATCTATCAATCTCGCCGAAATTCGATTTAATTCAACTTTCATCTTACGTACAAACATTAGCATCATCACTTTATAATTATTTAAAACAGACTATATTTCATCAGCAAGCAAATTATCGTCAATTGAGTATACAACTTGAATTAACTGAAACAGAAACATGTGCACTGGAGGTCAGTCTACAAATAGAATAGGCGATTCTATTTTTTTTTATATAAATGTTTCTTTTTGTTATCTAGATTTTACAGAGTCATACATCGGTATCATCATCAGTACAAGCATCAACAAATACAATTGATAAAAAATTAAATGATATTGAACAAATAGAATCTATGATTAATCGTTTAAAATTAGTTAGCCAAAAAAAATCCCATGAACGTTTTCATCCAACAACACGTTATGAAAATTTAACCTTAAATTGTTGCCGTGACTGTTCAGGAGAAATTTATATTGTCTAATACAATTCTTTTTCTTTTCTCTTTTTTTTCGTGAATTATTTACTAAAAATAAAATATTCTTTCTTATTTTTATTTCTTTTGTTTTTCATTAGAGTCTATCAAGATATAGAAAGAAATGCGCGAATGTTTTTTTTTCTCGGCGCACTTCAATGTAATTCCACGTAGTATTTGTTTTGAAAATCTGCATACCACTTGAGATGAAATAGCTTGAATCATTGATTTTCAATAATCCACGCTTTAAAGGCCTCAGTGAGTTATATACTGTTCGATAGATTTATGGAGTCTATTTTATTCCGGAACATCAACTTGCGTTATAAACATTTCCTGAAAGCTATATTTTACTGTTGTTCTAGTCAAAATACATGATACTATATTGTCAGCTAATTGTTTACAATTTAGGTTTTTTTTTGGTTGGCAAGTGTCATCGATAAATAGTTAGAATGGCATTTATTACATCAATCGGTAGTGCTTAGTAAAATGTTTACTATAGTGTTTATTTTCATTAGAATTCTTGAATAAAAATCCTTACATGTCTCTTCTCTGTAGACTAAACATAAAAGCATCTCAGATTATATCTTCTCTTTCAGCACTTGCTAAACTGTAGACAGTGAATTGTATTCCTAATAGACATAGCTTATCGGATCAATACTATAAGGATAATTGAGAGCTAAAAGTAACGTTTACTGATATTACTGTTCTTTTTTTACTATTTTCTTCAAGCACTAACAAATCAATAGTTCTCATGGATGATTACAAACTGTGAGAATATTAATTGAATGAACCGATACATTTTTTCAATAAAAATATGAGACCTTACGATAATAGTGTGAAAAATAAATCGAAAAAGTAATGAGATATTTTTTGTTTTCACTATGAAATCCCATCACTAGTGAACTCGTTTAATTATCATATATGAGTAATCCTATCGATTGTTAAATATACTCGAACATCACTTCATTCGTTTCATACTATTGTCGATTGTTTATTTGTTTTTAACCCATAAATGGATGTTGATGATGAAAACTGTTTGTAGATAATTATTAATTTTATACATTATCAAAATAAGAAAAAAAATCATGAAGGAATTCGTTTCATTGATAAAAATTCATCTTCAATATCAAACATTTATTTATTTATTCACATAGAAATTGTAACTAAACAATGACAATACAACAGTAATTGTTTTTTTGTTTCGTGCTTTAAAGAAAAACGATAAAAGTCTCGATAATATTGTGTTTTTCATATAAATCAAACGTGGAATTTCGTATTTGTTAATAGAAAACTTCGAGATATCTTGATCGGAAATCCCATTTAATTATCTCGAATTGTTTGTTCTTTTTTTCTCTGCATACATACCAGCCATATATAGATAGATATTTTTTTTTCTATACAATAATTATATGAAGAATTTCATGTCATATTAAATAATTTGAAACGCCATTTCATTGGCATTGGTACTACAGTTGATGTTTTTTCAATCAGCGATTGTTGTTCTGTTGAATTTATGTTTGATGATGCTGATTGATCGAGAATATTTAACAGTTGTGTTTGCTCAGGTTCTTTATTATCAAATTTAGCATCGCTGTCGTCTGCAGCTTCATTTTGATCTTCTTCATTGTTCGATAAATGGCCAAATTTTCTTGCTAACATATCGATTTTCGCTCGTAATATTTGATTTTCATTGTTTAATTGTGTTAATTTTGTTTCTAATACAAGATCATTCACTCGTCTTTTTACGCGTGAACGTTTAGCAGATAGATTATTTTTTGATCGTTGTGACCAATAGGTCGGATCTTTTTTATCGTCGGGTATAAAATCACGTTTTTTACGACGTGATTTATTGTTTAGTAAAGTGTATTCTTTTTTTTGAATATCAGGACTTGAACACGATGATGATGTTGAAAATGATGTTGACGAGGATGTTGGAGTATCATGATGATATGGATGACTTTCATCAGAAGTTTTCATGTACGATGATGTGGACGATGTCATAGGTTAAGATTAATCAAACAATTTTAATTGATCATATTTTAGTCATAATAATGAGAAACATTGTGAGAGATCTCAAGACGACGACAGTCTGCCCGCCCGACCGTTCACTAGTTCGTCGTCTGTCTGGACACTGAATGAGTGTTGCTCTTTCGCGTTCTCTTTCTATTATTCTTTTACATTGAACAGACATTAATGGAGAACGTCTAGCATGAGTGGGAGTATGAAAGCAAAGAGAATAAGAGAGGAAGGGCAGCAGACACACACATATACATAGCTAGACAGAATGAATCGACGGCGAGACGATCATGTCATAATAAACACACATATTTTCTCTACATGATAATGCGAAAGAAAGAGAAAAAGGTCAAGTATAGATTTGTCTCTTTTTTTTCTTTCTATGAATGCTTAATGAATTGTTCATAATTTCAGATCTGAACAAAAAAAACTCTCAACAAAACAAAAAAAGAAAATATGTCGCTATCATCTGTGGAACAAAAAATGCAGACAGTCTTAGTACGGCAAAAAATGAGTACTTTGGATGAAGAAGGCAGACTGAGACAGGTACTTACTATACAATGATCGATCTTATGGTGCGTCATTCATCAAAAGATATGTGCAAACTCTAATAGCCAATCATACAAGAGAAAGAATAAAAAAGTTATGACTAGACATTTCAAACATGCCTTTCTATAATATTAAATTTTCTCATAATTAGTTTTAAATCTTCTGCTTCTTCTAATTAGTTTGATGTACGTGAAGATCCAGAACAAAAGGCGAAATGTGATCAGACGATGGAATTATTATTAGCCGCTGGCTATTTTCGCGTACGAATCAAAGGGTTGTCTGAATTCGATAAAGTAATCGTTCATTGCTTTTGCCTATGTATACACTTATCTTTTCCCAGGTGGTCGGTGGACTAGCCTGGAGCATTCAAGCTTGCAACTTTACTGTTGATATTGATGTACTTTATCAAGAGAATGCTATTCTTGGTCAAAAAATGTATGAAAGGATATTTTATATTCGTAATTGAACCCTTAAAAACAAAGAAAATTATTCTTTCATTTAATTAGAGCATTAACAGAACGTATTGTTGTTGTTTTATCTCGTATGAAATGTCCGTATCCAATAGAACCACATCAAATTCAAGGTGGCGATTTTATACATATATTCCCTGTTGTTCAATGGCTTGTTAAACGAGTTTTTGAACGACGTGCTGATATAGGTGATTTCAATCGAGCCTATACATTAAGTCAATATGATAAACATTTTGGTGAGACAAAAAATGCAGTACAACAACAAACGACAATATCACTAAAACAAAACGTTGAAGCCATTCGAGTAAGTTCTCTGTGTAGAAAATAAAAATCACATGAAGATCATTTTTTTTCTTCAGATTCGCCATCGACCACAACGCCGGTATCGATGTTTGGATAGTAAAAAGAAGCGATTAAATACGTCTGATGAACGTCGCAGACGAATACATTCCACACTTGTAGAATTTGGTCAAGTACATCAATTACTCGCATCATTAGATGATGATGAAAAGCCTCAACAGGATGTTAATGCACTTATTAAAAATATGGTTCAAGAAAAAGTAAAATAAAAATTTTAGTGACTTTTTGAAAAATTATTTTTCCAAATTTCAGTCTAAAATTCCGACACAAGTTGTACATTTATTAGTTAATCAACAGCAAGATACTCTACGTGAAATTATTGAAGATTTCGAAGAAAAAGTAATAGAAAGAAATTTTGTGCTGAAAAAGACGAAAGAAATTGTTTTTGGTTTTAAAGGAAAAAGCTCGTCTTAAAGAAACTCTTCTATCTGAAAGTGGTCAACAACAACTGGCTTTACGTACATTTAAAATTCAAATAAGTAAACAAACTGAAAAAATTAATACATTACAAAATCTTATTGAACAAACTAAAATACAAAAAGAGGAAAAAAGAAATTCAGCATTAGAAGTAAATATTTAGTTCAGATTTTTCATGGGTTTATTTCCACTTTTTCATAAAGATTAAACAACAATATCAACAATTGAATACAGAACTTGAAGAAATCGAAATGCAAACAAAAAATATCGATTCTGAGTAATTTCTTTCTTTTATTGTCCATCTCAATGAAATATTTTCATGTTTTGTTTTTGTTCAGATCACTGAAACTTGTTGAAGCGCTTGTAGCTGAATATGAAACAATAAAAAAACAAGAACAAGAACGACGTGTAACGTATAAAAGGCAGAAGAGTGAACTTGAACAAGAAATTGCTCAATTAGAAACTCGTTCACAATCGGCATCTGATATAGATCCAGAAGAACAAGAAAAAATGAAAAAAATTGAAGAACAATATCAATTAGTTTCTGATCGATTACAAAATCAAAGAATTGCTCTAGTAAATTACAGCCTATAGCTTTATTTTCATTGACTCTTTATAGAACTTAGAAAGAAGAATAAATTGTTTTGCAACTCGTATTAATCTCATATTTTGTTCATGGGATTCTTTAATTGACATTTTTAATCTAGTAGAAAAACTAGATCAGTTTTTTTTTCTTTCTATTATTAGGCAAAGAAAATACGCGAAATCTCATCAATAAGTCGACATATAGATGATATTCCAACTCCTATTGAACTAGCTCAATATCGTCAAGCATTTTTTCAATTATACAATCAAAGTGCTGTTTTATATCGACAAACAAAACAGAACTATTCCTTATATAATACATTCACTGATATGATTGATTATATGAAAAAAGAAATCACATTACTTGACTCAATCTATGAAAATTATCCACAGTAAATGAAACTATTTTATATTAATTAATTTTGAGCTTTCTACTAGAGCTTTTCAATCACAAATTGGTAAAGAAAATTTTCTTAAACAATTAGAAAACATTGTTGAAAGTGTCAAACAAAATCGAATTAAAATTGAACAACGTCAACAAGCAGAACAGTCAAAGCGTGATGGATTAAATATTCAATTAGCACAATTAGTTGATAAAGCCAGGCATTATGCTAAAGTTCTTAAAGATTTTCAAGAAGTATAACTATTTATTTTATATATATATATATATACATATGTGCTATTGCTAATTGTTTCTTTAAATATTTTAGGCAATTCGCGAAAATGAATCTCTTACTTCAAAGTTGAACTAGATCTGCAAACCAAAAGATTTGTCATATATGAATATTATTTTTATCTGAATAAATATATATGAAAAAAAAACGAATTTAATCCTCTTTAGAATGCATTACGCATATTAGACTATAATCAGCTGTAATTTATATGATCATCATGTTGGTTCACTTACAGGATGATTTTTTTTAAATAGGATGACTATATATAAACAAACGTTCTACAGCTATAATTAAAATTGAAATATAAAGCTAGATTCTTCTAAGAACAAAGCCATTGAGTACAATTTAAATGTGACATACCATCTTTTTCGTTACTTTGAAATACAAAAATTTTCTATCAAGAGATTGAGTCATACGCTTTTAATTGACAGATTCATCTGTAGAATCTAATCACCGAATGAATTATTATAGAAAAAAATGATTCGTATTGAATTATAAACAAAATAATCATCCATGATAATTGTGAAGAAATTTTTACAATTTATTTCGGTTCAAGAATATGATAAGAAAAAGTTTATTATTCCTAATTCCATGAAGAGATTGAATTAGGAATACGAAAACAAACAAACAAAGAAGCTTCATTAGGTTAATCTCTTTTTCTATTTTAATTTTAAATAAAAATCTATCTTAGAAGTAAAATATTATACTATTGAAATTATGAAATCATTCTTCTCATATCTATTTTTTGAATTGTACTACTGAGTTCTTGCACTTGAATTATTTATACATATATAATTATAATTTTCATCGTGAAACTTCTTATTTGATGCGCAAAATCTTTTTGAGCAAGAAAGTCATGCGCTATGGACAAATTTTCTAAGATTTACGCATTTCATGCACACGCATAAAAGGAAAAGCTTCGTAAAGAAGTCGTAGTCGCGTATTTCAATACCATTGCACATCGGATATTGTTCTTCTAATATAGAAGTTTTCAATTGCTCGTTTAATTTTTACTAGACGTAGCTTTGTTGAGTTTCTTGAACAACAAATTCATTGGGTGTAGAAACATTGCCCGGTTTGTAAAGGTAGATTGAGGCCGTCTTCCTTTAAAAATCTTCCTGAGATTCTATTTATTTTTTTTTTGAAGCGTTATATTAAAAGGTATGTCAATTGCAAGTCATTTGAACTATTTATCACATTTCTGACTTATTAAAAAATTTTCCCTGAGGAAAACCGTTCATTAATAAAACTAGCTAGGTTATTAAATAAGTTTATTTAAATTAAAAAAAATTAATGGTGTTCTTTAGAATCGGACGATTCCTGTACACGACTAATTAACGTTTCAGAATTGTTCTTTAAAGTTTCTTTGCTTTTAACATGTTGGACAAGTAGAAATGTCAGTATGATAGCTGGTGTTAATATTGTAATATGTACGATGTCAAAAGCAATAACAAAACTTGAATAACGGAAAAGAATTCTGACGGTGACGTCAAATATTGTATACAGTAATTTTGCAATCAGTACATAACCTGATACTTGAATTATTTGCCATATCGTTTTTTTTCGACAGACAACAATCAAACACCATATTAACACACCCAACACAAGTAAACAATAGCTAATCCAGTAAGTTATATAAGCACATCTTGTGCGAAGAGTAATATAAGCAAATCGGATGTTTATTATATGTGTTATTAAATGTGGAACATAGCATAGGGCACTGCATAAATGAAAAAACACCAGAAACATACGATATAAGTGCATGTTGTTTGTGTGAAACAGTTAATCTGTGTGTGCTTAGCGTTATTCAGGACTGAAGAGTTATACCAAAAATAAATATATAAATGCTGTCAGAACTGTCATTTATATAGTATATTGCGTTCTTCTAATGTTTCTTATTGAAGATTGTCGGAAATGAGAAGCATATAAGAGAGATTATGGAAAGAGACAAAGAAAAAAGAGAGATGCTCATTATTTTTCACTTCTTAAGAGAATAATATTCATTTAATTTATTAACACTTACGTCACAGAATGTTGCTATCATGATTCATTATGCGTATGTTGCTTCAGAGGCAAATGCTGAAGCATGAACTTTTTAATTCTTCAAACTTTGACCTGTTGAATTCTTTGAAATGCTCCCATTAAAAATATTTTACACTAGTTATCATGCACCGAAAGGTCTGCCAATACAGACGTCTAAAGGATTGCTACTATGTCACGAATATTAACAATAACAAAATTTTTTATAATAATATCTTTAAATAGACACGTCATAAAAATCTGCATTCTTGTAAACGGAGTACCGGAAACGTTTTTGCCATAGGGAAAATAAAAGCAGATCTTGATATATTATCGTCAAATGGGCAGACGTAAACATTCGCTAGTGCAAGATCTTGCACTAGTCTAAACCTTGCAAATTCGATTCGGCTCTTTTAGCAAGAAAGCTGGTTGTCCATTTTACGTATTTTGTTTGTTAATTTGAGATTGATTGCGAACGAATAAGTGTTCCTTTAATGAAATATTTAATTTCTTTTTTTTTGATTTTAGTTACTAATTGAAGTCTTTCTTAGAAATTTTTTGTTTGACCTTCTTAAGATCGATTAGAATAAATCAATAACATCTATTGTGTTTCAAATGTGATGATAGATTTCATCATGCATCAATTTGAAAAAAATATCATTTATTATAAAATATCTTTACAAATATAGATGTAAAAATGATACTATTAGAGAGAGTCGTGTTACTTGTGATATTACTCAAAGGGAGTAATCTTATACTCATCTTAATTTTCAGTTTTGTAATTCCATCAAAGCAAAGTACAATGCTTTTCTCTTTCATCATCACCGAAGAATATTCAATGACTTATATTTCCAAAAATAGAAGAACAGTAATATATACGAAATAAATTAGGTTACACATATTTTTCAACGAGCAATAAATGTACTCAACTAGCTATGACATAAATGTGCTTTGACGACGTATATTATTATTATTATTATTCTTTCTATTAAAAGCATTTTATAAATAAAATATATAACTTGAATGTTTATTAAACTGTAATGAAAGGATAAAATTATTCTTTGAAATATCATGCACAATCATACTCAACGGAATTCTTCAATCGTAAAATGACTTTGCATTTTTTTTATAGTCTCCTTCCGATTTGAAAGTCATTAATAGAGCATAACATGACATTCAAAATTGTTAATTTTAATTGATTTGAACATTGTATCAAGCAATATATTGTAGATTGCTTAGAGATTTTGGAGTCATTTTTTTTTGTATTTTCAAGCTATTCATCGGTTGTCACGTTTTGCTCACTATAGAATTGTTGATGGAATTAAAGATATATGAATGTTGCAAATATTGCTCCACGGTATAATAAATCAAATGGATATATGTCGATTCCAGTACATGATATGAAATGATAGCATTTGTTTTATGTCAAATATTTTCTTGTAGCATAATATCACGTATCTTTAAACTTGTTTACTTTGCTTGCAAGCAAAAATTTCCCTGATTAGTATACGAAAAAGAAAATATTCAGTTAGAATTATAATAATAATACTCAAAAATGATGATATCAACATTTATTTACATGTTAGCTTTTTGTGTTTAAGAAAGTCGATTCAATCAAAATTAATTGACAAAGAGTATACAAGCATTCTATTGCAATTTGTGTTATATGCAAGGATTGCACAGTTGTCTGAAATAGTCGACTATTACAAGATAAAGTTTCTTTATTTTTTAATTAAATAAATAAATAGAATCCTTACATAACAGTACAGTATACTTTTCTTTTCACAGGCCAAAATTTACTGTGAATATGACATAAAAGGGCAACGTTCGATAACTATTATATGCAGATTTTTACGCCTACATATTTTAATTACGTGTCTAGAGTACATCACATTTTTGTTTTCGATTATCGAACTGACATACTTTTTTAAAACGAAAATGACGATATTCTTTTTCTTTATTGAACATATTTTCAATATTTATTAATAAACTTTAAACAATTGAAAATTCTCCTTCGCCGCTCATAGATACTTCACTAACACTTGTTGCTAGCAATTCTACTTGCATTAAATCTTTTTGATGTTTGAAAATTTTCTTTGCTAATCGAAACGCAAGTATCATGGTTGCCAATATTACACATAAATTAATAGAATAAAGCAATAGTTGTCCAATACCAATATCATGTTTTTCAATGATTTGTCAAATGATCATGATAGTAGTTTGTAATAATTCTCCAATTAACAATATTCCTGTTCCATATATCATTCCAGCACCATACCGACGGCTAAATAATATAGCAATGACACATAACGAATGATAAAGTGATATACGAAATATATCGCTAATATAAGTAATAATTAATGACGATTGCTTTTTATGTTTTGATGAATTTTCGACACGAGATGAATAAGAATAAAGATTACATATTAACAAAATTGTAATTAAAGCATGCAGAAGAATAAGTATAAGACGAATATTTTCCTTGTTTTATGAAAGTATTCTTTTATGCTCGTCTTCGCATATATTTATAATATAGATATGATTAACAAAAGAATTTTATCTTTCAGAACAAAAGAAAAAGAAGGGGAAAAAGAAATAGCATTCCAATGGTAGTGTTTCATGTGGAAATTTCTAAAATATCAAAGAAGCTGTGCAACTTAGATTAACTATATCAGTAGCTATATTCTTCATTGAAATCAGTTTATGATAAAATTATCAAGTTTGATCTGTAATGGATGTAAACTTAAGAAGAAAAGAAACTATTGATACCTTCTACATATGCTTTATACCTATGTAGATGAGAAAAAATAACTTTACTATTATCAAAAAAAAAATAGACACACATTAAAGAAAAAAAGGAGTATGTTCAAGAATGATGATTTATAGAATTTTTCAAATTTATTTTATTTTAAAATATAAAAAAAATTAATCTTTTGAAATTTATTTTAATAATCTCTTTATTCGCAAATCCAAATGATAATACGTCACTTTGCATATCGATCTTTGATATAATTGCATTTTTATTTCTTACGTTCATGCGGATAATTTGTTGCTTTTCTATTTTATATCATCTCTCGTGCAATAGCGATTGACGGATATTAGTTGTTATGTAGTATGTGCTAAGTTTCAATGCGCGTGATAAATTATACGTTCAAAATCGTTTCAATTTGACATAACTCAAAAACATGAAGAAGTATACATGACGATTGTATGCGAGAGAAACATTTAGATAGATATCTTAATGTGACAACCTGTAGATTTGTTCAAACTGTCCAATATTTTAATTGGACACTATACATGTCCCGATGATAATGATAGAGAAATATATCGGACATTACCATCATCATCATTAGTTTGTTATTCAAAAGTAGAAGATATGCAATTTTTATTAGAACGACCAACATATTCATTATATAATAATCAAGAACGGATTAAATTGTTTCAAAAAAATCGATTAGAAGATAATATAGGTAAGAAATATATATATTCCGTAGATGCAATTTTACTAGTTGTTCTTCATACTATCTTCAGATTCTTCATCGTCCAGTGAAACTTTACAATCTGTTCTTGAACGAACATTTTTCACTAAGGAAATTTCAAATGCAATAAATAAAAGTTTTATTAATAATTCTGAAAATCTTATCTCGTCAATTGATAAAAATCAATTCAATCAATATTGTTCTTCATTAGCAAAGAGGATCGAAAGTTATTCTCTTTCAAATCATTCAACCATGGCTATAGCAGCATTGACAAGTTTTTCAGAAGAACAAACAAATAGTTTGGATTATGATAATACTTATTTGTACGCTGAAGAAATAAGTAGATTAGATGATATTTCATCTTTTACAACTGTTACATCAAATTTAACAAAAACGTTAAATACTATAGAACAAGATGCAAGTGTTTGTTCTGATACAGCTATTATTCATTCCGATGCAGATGATATTTCAGAATCAATTTCATTCAATATTCAACAATATCAGAACAATAATGAAAATCCTCCTGTATCGTAAGTTGATTGTGAAGATTTTCAATATATCTTACCGATTTTCATTTGGTTATTAACTAGTTAGAATGGATCGGGAATATTTTCATGAATTCTATCATAGATCATGTTGATAGAACATTAAGTAATTATTCATTGATAGAGTCTATTGAAATAGTCAGTTCTTTGTCTTTATGTAAATTAATCGTTTTTTTCCTGTGAACAGAATAGTCAGTTTTCTCTTACATGAGATTTAGATACATGAAATAGACGATTTAATTGACCTTTTAATAATGTCTTAGCACAATACAGTAACTTGGATTAGTAGCTGTCTTTTTTCTCTGTTTTTCAATCGTCAACGTTCATTATTATTTTTCGTTTACAAAATCGATGAGGTTTATTATCGGTAGTATTTAGTGTTAGTTTTCTAGTTAATATGTTCTAGATCTTTTAATAGAATTTAATACTATATGATTCTGATAGTTCATTGCATGAATAAAACTTGATACTGTCTATCAACAACGAAAGAATCGAATTCTTTTGAAAGATCATTTACCAGCAATCTTCTTCTTCTTCTTTTTCTCTTTTGTTCTATTAGAAAAGTAAATACCAAGATTATTAATGAAGCGATTATGCCAATAAACATTAATTTAACTCCAAGTGACCTTAATTTTACTGGCTTAGTATATGCAACAAAATGTACAATCATAAAGTCACAAGAAAAGGATGATGAGCAGACTTTATCCGCCTATGACAATGTTGCTTATTATTCTGAACAAAATAATAAGATAAGGTCACATGTAGACATTACCTCGTTAATTTCATCGATGACATCGTCTATGCAAGACAATCATTGTCCTATGACTTTTACCGGTGAACAACTGAATAAACAAGAGACAAAGAGAACAAATGAACAAGAAGGAGACGAAGAAGATGATTATGATGATGATGATGATTATTTTATAGTAGATCAACAAAAAGCAATTGATCAGTTAGCAATGATGAATAATGAAAGTGAAACTGAAGTTGAAGAAGAATATGATCATGAAGATGAACATTTTGAGTCCACTAGATTGTTTGACACTGGACAACATGATGGAATGCTTTCCGATGAATCACAATATTCAGATGATTTAAGGTTAGTTTACTTATTTTTTTTTAAATCAAGGCTATTCAAAAAGGAACTTTGGGAACAAAAACACATGGGAAATAAGATTTATCTTATATATGTTTGATTCCATAGATATTTGTTTCTAAGTATTCTCTTGGTTATTTTATATCGAAAAATAGATTTTTATTTTTTAATTATAAGAAAAATATTTTTATTTCAACTCCGATCTCAAGAGATCAAAGTTGTAAACATCACTAATAACTTACATGAACATATATATATTCTCATGTTACTATAAGAAAACAATCTCCTATATCAATGAATCGTTTATAATATAAATAGCCGACTAATTTTAACACATAAAATGTCAATCTATTTGAAATACAGGATCATTGTTCAATATACGTACACATATATATATATTCGCTGAACTGATTTCTAAATGCATGGCTGTACAATCACTTTTGCAAATGGTGACATATAATTTTTCATCATTTGTTTCGTTCGTTGTCGTATAATGTACATAGAAATCAACGTACAAAAGAACTCCTTCGTGCCGATAATAACTAATACTAGAACAGTGCCAACTACGTATATGAGTGATGCAATAAGCAGTATAAAATTCGTTCTTTTCATTTTCTTTTTCTTCAACACATCCTATTAAAGGCGTTAACGGATACAAGAAAAAGTTCAATTAAATCATTTTTGTTCACTAGATGTTTAGAAAGAAGCGAACATTGAATAGAATCATGACCACTTATAGTACAATGAATAGACATTGATCGTTCCATTTTTCTTTCTTTTTTTCCTTCTCATGTTAGAAAAGAAAACACATAGATCAGGTCACTACTAGGAAAAGACATGCACCTTGTTAGTCATTTTTTTTTTATTTCATTCTCTGTAGTACAATCTTTAACCTTCTGTACTAGAAAATATATTGATATTTCACTGCTTTTTTTTTCGTGAATACTATTAATAGTTCATGGACATTTGAAATCAAGGTCTTATTTCACTTGTTAACTATAAGTGAATTGTAAATGGAGAAGACATATATAGTGAATTAAATAAAATAAAAAGCAGTTCATTTGACAATTCTTCTCATGAGTATAGATAAAATCATGCAAACATACGTACATTTAAGAGTCACTTTATATACATAGGAACTATTCAACGCAGTCAAAGATCCTATATTTTTTTTCAGGTTGTCAAATAGAATCGTCAAAACGTGAGTGTTTTAAAACAAAGTCCGACAGTAATATTCCATCTATTTTGCTTAAAGACATTCTATTCAATGAATGTGACTTTTCTTATGTCATCTTATCACATACATACGAAATATTCTACTATCTTGATAAGGAGCCATCCACTGAGTCTAACGATATGGTTCTACTCGTAGTAAAACATGTTCTACGAGAAAGAGAAGCTTTTTTTTTTTACATATCTCAGAATAATTAGTGAACTCTTTTGCTCATAGCAGTAGATCGTAACTAACATACCATGACTTAAAATAAATATATTTCTTCAGTGAATAATTTCACGTAACCTTGATATGTCTCAGACTATTTATTCTCGAAATAACAACGATGAAATAGTTAAATTTACTATCTAAAATAAACATAAATTAAATCGAATTTGAAGTAGAAGATTAGTTGCATCTTCAAAATATCGACGCATACTTAGCTCTATATGAAAGACACTTACATAATCTTTTGATATCTATATGGTATAAAATATAAATCGAATTTGATAAGTTGCTTTGTCTGCATAGATATTCATCGGATGCTATACGAAATAGTTCTGTAAATGATGATCTCAATAATACAAGTTCAACATTACGTCAAGAGGCTATTTCAATAACAAAAGTTCGTTGCAAACAACGTGAAAATTGGATACGTTCGTCGCCAGCATATGATCAAGGTAAGACTATAAGACATTTTCATCTTAACAAATACGTATTATGAGACAGTGATTACTTTATAATAACTACGATATACTTTGATGTAAATATGCTCTCGTTCTTTATTTGCTTGATTCAATTTTACATAGTATAGAATTTATATATACATATATAAATATCAAAAGAAGAACACGAAAATTTTGAGTTCATCGGTTACTATTGTTCTAGTTGATGGCACGATTACACCTTCTGCTTTTATAAACGGCAACGTGAACATCACGACACGTGTTCAAACAGGAACTACAATGTTATTACACAAGAATTCTGTAGAGTATGTAAAAAAAATGCCTTTTTTTCTGCAAAAATTTTCGCTACACGATGACTCACATAGAAAATTGACTCATTCATTTGAATTCATGATTTATGCGTAGATTCGTTAATCTTTCATTATCTTCTCTTTTTTTTTTTATTGCAGTTGTAATAAAAGTGAAAATAAGAACGGTGAATCAGTCTCTTATGAATTTCTACAATTGAATAATGATCCTCATTCGACCAAAGCTGATAAATCAATTCTGTCACCATTGTTAAAAACAACCAACACGTATGATAAAGGTATGGTAATATATATTTATGTAGAAAAGAATCTTTTATGCACACTATTGGCAGCAGCAGAAGTTTCATTCCTTTTCTTTTGTCGGCGGTTGAAATGCAAACGACCATGACGACGGCCGTCCTCTTACAACGTCAGTCGTCAGTCGTGATCCTATTCTGTCTCTCTCTCTCTCTCCTTTTTTCGATAAAAAAAAAAGGAGAGAGGAAAAAAAAGAAGAGAGACAGCAAGACAAAACAATCAACGCAAGATTGATGTTGTTGTTTGCGTATATTTTTCAGGTAAAAAAAATCCAAGGGTGCATCTAATTTCTTCTCTTTGCTGCTTATATAAATAGACCTATATATGACAAAGCCTAATCTACCTATATTTCGATCAACAAGAAAATAATTTGTACGCAAAAAACACCAGAGTGTGTTTTTCTTCTTTTCCTTTTCATTTCTATGAAAGTGACTAATCACTATAGGTATATATTTTGTCTAAAACATCTGTCTATTCATTCTTTTTATAATCTTGAGTGTTATACATAGATCTAAACTTATTGATGTTTTATATACATCCAACTGACAGCAACTTGTTGAACTCCTCGAAACGAATGATGTCATTGCTACGCACTGATATTTGATTTACCAATACTGTGTTTTTCTTCTCTCTGCTCTTTCTTCCTTTGAGTTGTGTATTGAATCATGCCGACACACACACACAGACACGTTTTTCTTTCTAGCATACCTGTATTGATCCATTCGAATAGCGATGATTATGTTTTAGATGCACCATCAACAAGTCAAAAGACAAACAGTTTTTATTTAATTCATCATCAATCATCATTAATTCCTATTCAAGATTTATTAAATAAAAACCTTAATAAAAATATTGAAATTATACAAATGGATGAACAAGAATGTATATTAGAAATAGTTGATGGAGTTTTAACGCTTGTACCAAAAGATAAATCAACATCATCGACAGCCAATAGTTATGAAGAAAAATCAGAAGAACAACGAAAAACTTCATCGGATTATGAAAAAAATAATAATTACAGTAAGAGAAACGTCATGAGAAAAAAAAGAAACACCTTGAGTTAACTGTTCTTTTCAAAATTTGAATTTTGATGAAAAAATAAATAAACTAAGCAATAAAGCATCTGTTTCAACA